CAATCAACAACACAACAACATGCAGAAATAACAAGGTACGTTACACACATTAGATAAGGCAGTTAGGTATTGAGGACGGACAGGGGAGGGGGCTTACATTTAAAACACTACTACTTGATTAAAAATGAAAAAAAAACTGTTCAGTGATGGGTGAAATTCAATCATTTATATCACACCTGGAGCGTAACAATGTTAACATAAAAGCTTAAGATGAAGATTTACATGACTTGGAATTTTTTTAAAATGAATTCATCATCATCATCATGCAGATAATAACTTGAGGTAATATGGCTGCTTATAGACTTCTCTACAATGAGTGATAGTCCCTTCCCCTAAACCCTGTGACATAAAACATAATATTAATGATCAAATTCCATACCAATCTAGTGGTCACATAAAAATCGGTCTCATTTCTATATTCCTTTTTTTCATTTCAGTTGTATTTCATCTTTTCAAATAGAAGTTGATGCATATTCAATAATGTATAATTACCGGAGAGGACTTACAAAAAATTTCAGACAATCTTGAAAAACAACTTAAGTTCTTAGAAGTGAAATTTTGTTCTCATATAATTTATATTTTGAGTTCATCCAAAGGGAACATACAATGGGTTGATTTCTACTGCTGAGAAATAAATAGAGCATGAAGTCCTGACAAGAAAAAATTACAACTAGTATATGATCTAGTAAGATATTAGAATTGAAGATTGATCTCTTTATAATTTATACCCAGAGTGAATTAATGTTCCAAATTCCTATGATACAATAAAGCAAATTTCACCTTAATGTATATATGTATACCAAAGTCACCCGGCATGATATCCATTGGCCCCACCATACAAATTCTGACTCAAATCATGGGATGGGCTTATTATAGGACAATGAAATAGTAATCATTTATAATTCCTTTGAACAGTAATAAATGTGGGTGGGCTTATTACAGGACAATGAAATAATATTGGTTCACTAAACAGAATTTAATAATAGATTTTGCTGAACAGCTACTTTTTTGGATGGGCTTATTACCAGGCATGGGCTTATTGATGGATAGATATAGCAACAGCCATTAGTCAGTAAATATAAAACATCCACACTGTCACATACAAGTCAGTATCACAGAATCGCTTTAAATAATCAATGTACAATTATCTGTATATATAACAGAATTAAAGACTCGCATACATTACAAGAGTGACTTCACTTGTACATTTACTCATGTTCATTAGATTCTTTTTCATCACATTAACTTCGACTAAATCATACAAACTTACCATATTAATTACAGACATATAAGTTTGTATGTTGAGGACTGTCTGCACTCTGGATTAATAATTCATTTCTTATTCAATATTGTACTTCTCTGTCAACTTTGTAAGAATAAAAAAAACCTGTTTGCCTTGTCATAGTTTGAATGCCAACTTCGAAATGCCTTTAAATTTTTTTTAAAACTTAGGTTAAACTGAACGTTTTTAAATTAAATGGATGAATCAATTAATCAATGTTTGAATAAAGACAATTGTATACAACTCTACAATATATCCTCCAGAACAAATGGCATTCATTTACATTGTATATCTGAAAATTAATACATCAATTCTCACAATGAAAATCATTTGAAATAAAATTAGCTGACAAACAAAACTTCTTTGCTTGAAACAATATATAAAATCTGTATATTGATATATATTCCTATGACATATTGGATAAAATTTTCAATTTCACAATTTCTAAATTATAATAGAATAAATGAAATTCTACTAAAAAAAGAAAAACTACCTAAACATACTTATTTTTGTTTATATAAATAAATGATGCAGCACCATGCTAAGCATAATTCTAACCAGTATACAACCAGTTGTGATGGCAATTCTTCGTCCAAACTAAATATCAAATAATATACCTCCAATTAAAAACAAACAATTTCTAAATATTTTACATACAATGCTCTTGAAAAAAAGTCTTACTACCATAAAATTTGATTCAAACATCAACTACCTTTTTACACAGAAACATCTTTTCAGTAACTACAATTGTTTTAAAAGCAAAACTTTGATAAAGTATACATACAGTGGGAATTATCTCTTGTTCCATGCTACTATGAAAAAAAACAACAGATTTACGTAGCTCATATACTTAAGAAAATCTCAAATGAGTAAACATTCAACACCAGGAGATCTCAATAACCCCTGAACTATCAGTTTCAATTTTTGTGGGTTTTCTTTTTGGTTTTTTTTTATTGTTTAAATTGTGGTGGTTTACTAAAAGCTTGAAGTCAAAGGATGTATTTTACATAGCCAACATGAGTAGATTTTATTTTTCACAATTTATTTTGTCTCTAAAAATAGAAGCTCTTGAACATAACAGCACAGCCTTTTCAGTATTCTGCCCATTGGTATCAATCTTGAATCTTGAGGCAGGATTAAAAAAAACATATATCTATTACCCTACTCGTTCTAGTAATCGCCCTATTGATAAATAGAACACTTTGGAATTTCAAGTTGGGGATTGGCAATTATTTCAACAAATACAGTATTATAAATGATTCGAGTTTTGAATATCAATATTGAATGTTTGACTCATTTGGAGTCATAACTTTCAAATAGAATCCGGAAGTCATATCAAACATTCTAGATTACATTTTTATAAAACCTGATATCATATACAATACATGTGGATTAAAACAAGTCACAAAACATTATTGTTGTTGTGGAATTGTTTTAGACCAAAACATCAACCAATGTCAATCATACATAGTACACAAACCTCATGCATCACAATTTTGATTACAGTACACAAGAAAAACTATTCACTTAAAAAAATTGGAATTACTATTTTTTTCACAAAAATCTTGTAAGAAATTAATAGAAGCATCAGCTGAAGTTGATATATTTTAATTCAATTGTTTGAATTTCATAAAACTCGCACTAGCTTTGAACAATTTATCAATATAAATTTCTATTCCGCTCACTTATTTTCATACTCTTATTAGTTAAATTTTTATTCTTATTTAAAAGTTATGTAATCTGACAAATTAAGATACTGTACTAAAAATCATTTATATTTTTTTATAAAAAAATGAATTTTCGAATTTTATTAAAAGATCAATTATTAGTACAATTAAGTTGTATAAATAAGAAAATTGGAAAAAAAAGGTAAAAATACGAGACATATTAGTCCGGTGAAGTGTCCATGCGAATACAGAGCTGAAATACAAGCGGTCATTCATTTACTGACCACATCTTAGGTGTCCTCAAGACAAGAGGTCAATCACAGGTCAACTATCCTAAAGTGACATAGAGAGTTGGCTCGGTATCCGTACTAGGCCATAGCTGTTTCTACACAAACATAAATCTCCCCCTTACTTCAAACTTGTACAGTTTGACATATCTTTACTTCAATTTACATTCAATTTATATCGTAAAGTCCTAATTCAGTCACAAATCGTCTCGGGTAATATACCCTCCAAACAACGACTATTCATAAAATCTTTTGACATTGAACCCATTTACATGAACTTCAAGTCCATTCACTTTCTTGTCTTACAAACATAAGCTATTTTGTCATAGAAGACAAGTATTTTCATCTGTAAATTCACAGGTGCTTGTGACCAGTTCTTGTGTATTCAGTCAGTCTGTCATAGTTTAACACTACGTGTGTACAACATATCCTCAGCTTTTCCAGACCGCGGTGAATATCCTGAGTCTCACACTTGACTCCTAGCTTTTGAAATGTGGAGAGATAAATTTTGTGCCTGCCTGGCGAGCACATACACACACATTTACTAGCCTAGTGTTTTCAGCTCCAATGTTTCTGGCAACAAGGCTCTGATCACATCACAACACAAGACTTTGAATCCTGTTAATCAAGAAAATAAATAATAGTTAATTAGTAAGTCCATCAAAACAATCAAATAATAATTAATTCACAAATCAAATTTTCTTGTTTCTTTTTTTTTTCAATTTTTAGTTTAATTTATCCAGAAATTTTGTTAATTTCCCAATCATTTTACACAAGAGCTCGCATTGAAATTGATCAATTGTGATCTTAAAACAGTAATGTTCCTCTTGTCTTTATATCTCTTTTGCACCACATTCACGGATGCAAGAGCTACAGCCTTGACAATTTTTTTTCTTTGATATAGGTCAAAGGTCAAAATATTGGTCATAGTGACCTATTTTTGATACATGACACACTGTCTCACCAACAATAACACATACCCCATGTAAAAAGTTCTAGTGGAAAATAGTGTAGAGGATGGAACCAGACAAGACAAGACAGAAGGACAAACAGACATTGTATACAATGCAAAACTTTAGTGCCCCCAGGCCCCAGTGAGGGACTTAAAAAAACTTAAACACTCAAGAGTTATGGCAAACAAAATGATGTTTGTATGTTGAATTATAAGGTTAATGTATCTCAGAGACTTCAGTCCATCAGTAGTTTTAAAGACCTACCTTTTCTTTCACTCCGTCCTTATTTGCATTCTTATCCTTACTATCCTCTTTGCCTCCTTCTTCTTCTTTTGTTTCTTCGTCATCTTCCTTATCCTCTGCCTCCTGTAAAAAGTAGCATATACAGGGTCACTGAAACATATTCTACTCCAATGAAATATATTCTATTCCACTGAAATGTATTCAGACAAGTTAACCTATATTTGATCAATGGATTTTACTTACACATACCCTATGTGTTTGTGATATATATAGAAATGTTTACATGATATATCTTTTTTGCAAGCATTGCTCAAATAATTCTAGATTACTAATTATGAAAATAAAGAATTGTCTAATTCAGATGTGAATATTTAGCTTCTAGGCATTACGACAATTTATCATGAAAGTCTGATAAAACTTTATCAATAACATAGCAAAAAAAATCGACAATTTGATCAAGCAATAACAATTAGTTTGTTTTATAAATGTGTTTGTTTTTATTCAAATAACATTAAAAAGTATCTCCCAAAATTCAATAAAGTATATCTTACATTTTATCACAAAGGAATTATTGAACTAGCATATATGCATTTAGTCTAAAAATCTGAGAAAGTACCTCTTTTTTGTCTTCATCCTTTTCTTCATCTTTACCCTTCTTTCCTTTTTTATCTTTCTCCTTTTTATCCTTTTCTTTATTTTTCTTGTCTTTCTCCTTTTTATCTGAACAATTGAAATAAGAGCATTTATTTCAATAATGGACAATATATCACTACAGCTTTACAATAGGCAGAATCAACGCAAATGAAACTACAGTATTTATCCCATGAGCAAAGGGGTACAACTACAAAATTTTGACCATTCATACAGGTAGGGCTTATTGCAGAACAATGGAAATCATTTTTTCTGAATTATAATAGACATAGCCTGCTGAAATATGAGTGATATTTATTTTCTACAGACAGTTGGTCTAATTCTCTAAACACTAAGTTTTCCTGACTTCATTTAGCACCAAAACAAATTCTGAACTTTTGAACTTCAAAAATATTTACCATTCACACTTTACAAATCAAATTAAACATTTTTTTTGAATGATAGAAATCCTTATGAACACTTTCAAACCTTTCTTCTTGTCCTCATCCTCTACTTCTTCCTTTTCTTCTTCATCTTCTTTATCATCTTCCTCTTCGTCTTTCCCTTTCTTTTTGTCTTTTTTCTTATCTTTATCCTTGTCTTTTTTCTTCTCCTCTTTTTCTTTCTTTTTGTCTTCTTTTTCCTTCTTTTTATCCTTCTTGTCTTTTTTGTCATCCTTGGCTTTGGCTTCTTCTTGTTCTTCTTCCTCATCATCATCTTCTTCATCTTCTCCTTTCTTCTTTTCCTTGTCTTTACCTTTATCTTTTTTGTCCTTTTCTTTTTTATCCTTTCCTTTGTCTTTCTTATCCTTTTTCTCCTCTTTTTCAGCTTTAGCACCTTCTGTTTCTTCTAACTCATCCTCTTCCTCCCCATCTTCTTCAGCGTCCTTATCTTTACCCTTTTTCTTGTCTTTGTCTTTTGCTTTTTCTTTCTTCTTTTCTTTCTCCTTTTTCTTTTCTTCTTCTTTCTCTTTTTTCTTCTCCTCCTTCTCCTTTTTCTTATCTTCTTTTTCTTTTTTCTTATCTTCTTTTTCCTTCTTTTTATCTTTTTTCTCATCTTTTTTCTCATCTTTTTTCTCCTCCTCTTTTGGTGTCTTAGTTTTTACGACTTTTTTCACCATCTCCTCTTCTTCTTCCTCTTCTTCCTCATCATCTTCATCTTCTTCCTCCTCTTCATCTTCTGAATCAGTCAAACCAGTTGGTCTACGTCTAAACACATTAAATCCTGATGACTTTTCTACAAAAGATAAAAGATTAAGAAAAATTAAAGAAAAATCCAAGAAATTGTTATTAAGTCTTATGACAGATGGAAAGCCTTTTTTTTATTATTTCTTTTTAAATGAATTGGAGAAGTATTGGAAGACACTCTTTATCCACATTATCAGCTGTTGTTAAGCTGGATTCTATTCAAATTTTTAAACAGTAATATATAAAAAAGAAAAAAGATAAAATATTTGAAAACCTTCTCAACTTTATGTCTCAATTAATCTAACAAAAGGCAAAATGAAATAAAATACTGAAATACTTGAAAAAAAAATAAGAAAACTTTTGTTTAACAATAGTTCAAATTTTTTCAGTTAAACTGAAAGCAAGAAGTCAAGTTTCTCTCATTCGATATGTTTATTTTCAAAGCATCAATTTATCTACAATTTTGATTCGAGCCTCAAAATAATGAAAAATATCAGATGAAAGTGCACCTTTTTTCTTTTTCTTTTCCTCTTTCTTTGGTGTGGGTGGTAAAACTTTGAGCGGTTTCACCTCTTCTTCCTCCTCTTCTGATTCTTCTTCCTCTGACTCCTCTTCTTCTTCATCGTCTTCCAGCTTGGGTGGAGGCTTTCGTGGCTGTGGCTGGGGAGCTGACGGTAAACTCTACAACAGATATCAGACAGTTGCTTAATCACATTATTTATCTAACTATAAGTTGATGCCGTCTCTGAAAGACAGAAGTGCTCATCATATTGGTGGAAAAACAGAATCAGAAACTATTTCTGTTTTACTGGGATCTGTGTTTTGTATCTGTAAAATCTTTTTTAAGGACTTGATTTAATTTGTAATGGAGCAAAGCTGCAGGAAACTGAATACTGATTTCTACCTTAATCCTGTACAATTAAAAAAAGCCATTTGAAAAACCAACCCTTGGATTTTTCTTAGGTGTTCCCTCTTCCTCAGACTTCCCTGATGCTTCTCCCTGAAAATGACAATGACAAACTAAATTATTTTGCATCTTATCTAAAACCAAAGTTTATTTCACAGTTTTCATATAAAAAATTACATTTTCCAGAAGTATGCAGCGTTAGACATACATCTTCATGACAGAACAAGTACCAGATGCAGGTTTCAGAACAGTCTGTAGAGCATCAGATGAACGCAACTGCATGTTCTATCAGGAAAATCAAAGACTATATAGACAGAAAGCCACCAGTTACCAAGGAGATTTTGCCTAGGACTTTGTCCTGTAAAGAAAGACATCTTCAATCTTGAAAAGATTTTAAGAAATATTCTCTGTTAGACTTACTCCATCATCTTTCTTCAGCCCTCTGGGGCGTGGAGAAGGTTTCGGTGATTGTTTAGGGGAAGCCTTTGGTGAGGGCTTAGGTAAAGCCCTTGTATTGTTGTTGTTTTGATGAGCTTTCTGAAAAACAAATTATTCAATTTAATTATTTCTTTATATATATGAAAAAACAAAACCGAAGATGTGTTTATGAAACACTATGCCCTTGGTTACAACAAATTCTGAAGTGGGACATTAAAACTGTACTGTGTAAGGTTATGTGCTATGCGCTCACAAATTTGAGAAACATTTATGCCTTCATTGTTGTAATGATTTTTTCTTACTTTCAAAAGTAGGTCAAAGGTCACAGTCAAGGTCACAAGGTCAAAATTTTTAGTATCACCGAAAGGTATTGTCACAAGGAACACACATGTCAAATATGAAAGTCCTACCTGTTATGGTGCAATTGTTGTGGCCAATGTTGAATATTTTTAAATGAAGGTCAATGTTCACAACCAAGGTCACTTCTATCTATGAATTTGTTTATTGCCTATTATCTCTTTGCAAATTATCAATTATATTCTATGGGTGGTATACCTAACCAAAACCTGGAGGTCCTGGTGTGGGACAGAAATTCTACAGGTAAGGAATACTCCTGAGGTACACAGTGAACAAGACAGTAACAAATCCACAGGAATTTTCATCTGTACACTCAGGTGGAAAATATTGCGATGAAATAACAACAAGATTACATCTAAAACCGTTTGGATTGATGATCTTCATTACATACATCAGACCTCTGTTTTTAAGCCATCAAACAATTCCGACGATCTTACCTCTATTTTATCGATGTGGTTAAGTGTTGATTCATTCCTCGTTGTTGAGGCCTTCGTTATCATCTCCTCTTCTGCTTCTTCCTCACTCTCCTCTTCCTCTGATGATTCCATTGGTTTAGGTACTGGCCCTGTAAAACAAGTACGTTATTTAATAAGCCCAGGGGTCCAACACATTACACGTTACTCAAAGTCAGGGAGTGGGCTTATTACATTACAATGAAATACTGTAAATCATTTACACTTAACAAATATTTTATTTCACAAACTTACCTCCGAAGATATGTTCACAAATACATGATTTCATGAACGATGGTCTAAAAATGACTTTAATTTCCCGAATGATGGGCTATTAGATACATGGACGCTGATATTGGTAACTGAATCAGCATGGACGTCATCAAGAATAATTTCTGTACAAAATTTCATGAGGAATTTTAATTCAATACTGATTACCTTTGCATATTAACATGAAAGCAAATTCCTCACAAAATATAAGTGATTTGCAATGACATCAAATTATAATTTTGATGAGAAAATATTTATTATGGGTGGGCTTATTATCAGGCATAGTCTAACTGCCACAGTACTTATAATATCTCCATACTGGGTTATAAACAAACTGCCAACTTTGTGTTCATATCTATTATTTACTGGCAAACTTCATAGTCCTTTTTCATATTGAGGGTAGGTAATAACATCGTTAAAAATTGAATTAAATCTTTAAAATTCTTAATATTTCAATTCCACATTTCACAGTATATCAATGTAAATAAATTGTTTTTTTTTAAAACATTGATTTCTTAGATGAAAGATTTTATAAACCCTGCAAAATCATCCAAGAACATTTAGTTCCAGAAATTAGTAATTTTGATAAGCTATGATTAATGTTATGCTCATTTATTGAATTTAGTTCATGACTTTTATTCATAATGACTGAAAAATCATTATTTCAAATACACTTACTTTTGATGACTTGTGTAGAGCTAAGAGGAGCAGAGGCACGGACAGCAGGGTTAGGCTTTTTGACAGGTGGAGGTACTGTGTGGTGAAGGGATGATCCGGCTGGCTTGCCATTGGCTAATGATGGAAGTGTACGATTCATGGATGCTGTCTGTTAAAAAAAGAGAAATAATCAAATAATTGTGTGATTTATAACTCAACGTTTAAAATATTTTCTTTATATCAGTGCACAATGATGGCAAAATGATTTAAAGTGATCCGATATAAAATGAAAGAAAACAAGAACTGTTGTCTTGCAGCATACTCATAGCCCCCATCTCCAAAAGGGGAGGTAATTCAACCTGATATAGATAAAACATGTCTTCAGTGTATAAGGATAAGAGCCAGCAAGTATCAATGAATTCAATATAGTACATTGCTGTGTCTACAGAGGGATGGACAGATGGACGACAATATGATCCTGTTACATCTCTCCTAACTTTGTTGTTGGGTAGTATAATAACTTGATTTCAATGAAAATCATGTAAAAGACATCAGTAATTTTCTTTCTTTACAAAATTTCTTCTTCAATTATGAAGAAAAAGACTCAATCAGCCATTCACTTTGCATTCTCAATGCATCACAAAAATGAATTTTGATACTAGGTAAAGGACATTTCTGTTTGAAAAAATTTACTGAACTGCCTATGTTATACATTCTAGCAACCTCTTACGATACAGATTGCACCGCTCTTCCATAAATCTGTAACAGTTATGTAAACATTAACATCACACTGACCCTGTTTAGTGTTTCTCGCCGTCGCTGTCTGGCTGGAAAACTTCCTTCTAGGTCTATAGACCCATCTGGTTTAATGGAATTATTTAATTTATTTTTTGTCATCTCTAAGTCATTTAATGTTGCATCTTCGTCATCACTTTCATTCATTTCATCTTGCGTTTTTTTGTGTGCTCTTGCGATCATGTGACATCCTCCGCAGGTAACCTAGCAACAAGACATTTTTAAATATTGAAAAAATATTTCATCTTCAAAGAAATAAATAAAAGACTACATACCTTTAAAATGTGAGAAAATGTCACAGCCCTGTTTATGAACCAGAACAGTATTCTGTTTCCAGCATCAAGGCATGTAAAGAGTTTATGTAACACAGATTCAAACCTGGGACCTCTATCTTACTTTTCTGATGCTAAACTAATCAAACTAAAGAGAAGTTCTCTCAGTATATGGTTGTTATTACTTTACCTTTTACATTAGGATTATAATTATTCATAGTGCGGCAAAACATCTTCATTTACAACAGTTGTCAGTTGGCAGCTGGTCAAGGACATTCATTTTAACTTCATTTCAGCATGTAGCAAACTACAGACTCAATATCGGTACCCTTGGCCTCTTTGATATTATGAAAAAGTTGTTTAAAAGATTTTTAACATTTTTGGACCCTGTGACCTTGAAAGTGATTCAAGGTCATGCATTTGATTTAACTTGGTAGCCCTTCACCCTAGCATGTTACTGGCCATGTCTGGTAATTAAATGTTGATGAGAAATTCTAAATACACTAATTGCTGTGAATTTTCATGGCCATATTTAAAGTTGGCATGTAACTCTTTCAATAATGGTTCCATTGTTTTATTTTTCCCCCAGTGAGTGTCTAGATCTCCTGTCAGATGATACTGCCCTTGTTTGCCTAGACATCAATAATATCATGAAACAACAAACAGAAAAGTAAACAAAAAGATGAAGTATGAAATTAAGATATAAATAATACCAAATATAACATAGACTTACATTTTCAACAATGAATTTTTTGAATCTATCCACTCTCGTAGCAGTAAACATGTTTGACATTGTGTCTTGACCAAGACCAAGCTTGCCATGTCGGCCATCTCCAAAGGTGTACAGTTGATGCTTCTCTACAAAACAAAACATACAGTCAATGAAACACCCAGTAGCATGCAGCAACACAAACTATCATACAGGAACACACAGTAACATACAGAAACATTTAAAACACACTGTTCAGACCCTACTACATATCTTGTATTGCAATATTTTCTAACAGTGTTTTTATAGTTACTGCATACAAAGCATTTCCTTTACATGGAAATGGACCTTAACACAGGTCCTAATATATAACTTAAGTCAGTGTGGAAAATATAGGTCACAGTAACCTACAAAGCAAGTGGAAGTGGAAAATGTAGGTCAGTGACCTATATTTCATATGATCAATGAAGTAACACTAAATGCAGCCCAAGATGTCACAAAGAGAGACAACAGACTGGAAGAAAAAGTAAACACTGTCTGATCTCTCCATCTAAGTGGGTTGGACACATAATTATTGTTTTCTTTAAAAAACACCTTTATATGTACACATGTTAACAATTGTATATAAATTTTTGTATAGCATTGATAAAAAAATCGCACTTTCAAAATTCGATTTTTTTCTCATTTTCAGGAAAAATAACTGAATGAATTTGTTTTGCTGCCATAACATGTTTGTTTACCAGATATGACGGCTGTGTGGTTCTCCCCACAGACGGTGTACAGGACCTTGAACCTGAGGTTGACCAGTTGAGGCTTGAACTCTTGTAAAACCCTGTTGCCTTGACCAAGCTGACCGTTAGTGCCGTCACCAAATGAGTACAAATTTCCTTTCACTGACGACAAAGATGAAAAAAAGCAAAATGAAAAAATCACCCCCAAGATAGAAATGGATATTTTGAACATTTCGACTTACACCACAATATTTTATGTTATGAAGTCAAAGCAAAACTCAGATTCAATTCTATAAACAAAAGCACAAAACTGACTTTTGATCCTTGTCTTGTTCCACATTTCCACACATATATATTCAACAGAGCATTAGGGAGGGGGCAATAGCTTCAAAGATCGTTAAAGAAATCTTGTTTCTTATCAAATACATAAGATATATTTTTTCTTCAATTATATAGGGAGCAATTGTCTGAAATTGTTTTGTCCACACAAAATACTTCTTATTTTCACGCTATACTTGCAAAAGGATGAAACATTTCATTGTACACAGTAACTCTAACAATAAATTTGAAAATTACCCATCTCTAACGAGAAAAAACAGACAGATTTCGGCATCAGTTTTGAAATAAGCCATAAGATATAACCCAATGTATCGTATACTGTAATTTACAGATATAACACATACAGCACACCAACAACACTAACCTGTGAGCACCACTGTGTGTGAACCACCACATGTCACCATCTTTACTTTCTCTGGCATGGTGACTTTTGTTGGGACGTCAGCCCCTTTGTTTTCACCGAGACCAAGCTTTCCTCCATCTTTCTCCCCAAACATATACAGGTCACCTGTCACTGTATTATAAAATCATAAATTCAGATTTTCATACCAAAAGTTTGCAGAAGTAATAATATCAAAATGATATTACTATGGCAACGAGTGATGTACAAGTATGTTACTTGTAACGCAATCCTAAAGGATTTATCTTACCTGTAACCATGGCTGTGTGGTAGTACCCACATGCTATACAGATGACTTCACTGTCGACATCTAACAGAGTAGGTTTATGACACTCATCTTCATCCCCTAATCCCAGCTGTCCTTCGCTGCCTCCGCCCCACACATACACCTCACCCTCACCTACAAACAAACATTGACCAATATAAAAACTATCTATTTAATTTCCGCATTTTTTTTCCAAACGGGGCCTTTATAATTCTCAACTATCAATAAGATGTGTACTTTTGCAAATTCCGTATTTAATCATTAATATTGCTGTAGAAATTAACTTTTAACTGAGTAGTTAATATGTAGTCTATAGATTAACAAAACTTATCATTTTTCAAATACTTACGGGTAAGAAGTACTGTGTGGTCAGCACCAGCAGCCAACATTTTGATTTTCATCGGCTCAAGTCCCTTGACCTCTACTGGGTCAGAACTGCTGTTGACTGAATCATCGTTTACTCCAAGCTGCCCTTCACCGTTGTTTCCAAATGAGTATATTTTTCCGCTCTCTGTTACACAGAATTGAATAAGTATTTTCTACTTGACTACCACATCAATAAATAATTAAATAACAGCACTCAGTTACAACTACTTTCATAATATTGACTCTTTTCCAAAAAACAATTCTTTCCACATTTCTTGGCAATAAATATGTTGCGACATTACCATAGAATGAGATAAGGAGTAAGAACATGGACAATTTTAGATCTTCCATCAGCATGACAAAAAAAATCTTTTCTCAGATATTTGTGAAAAATATCCAAATTAAATGATAAACAGATATTTACATTTATTTTCATTTCGTATATTTATCAAACTTGTCACAGATTTTTTTACAGCCTACCTTGTCAGTGTCTCTGTAACACTAAACCTTTAAGACTACTTTCATAAATCTCAGATGAAATGAAACTTTGTTAAGATTGTATATGTATATAGACTTGACCACAGGTCACTAATAAAACGAACCAACCTGAAGAAAGGTTACTTACTTGTGCCTATAACAGTATGACTACGTCCACAGGCTACATGCTCAGCTTTCTCATGTTTAAGCTCTGAAAATATACACATTTCATGATCCAAGATCACACACATCATTTAGATATGAAACACTTACAAAAACAATATTAAAAAAAAAAAAATCAAAATAACCCAGCATAGTTTCAACAAAGATGTAAAGTATAATATGATTTATTTTCCTTGATATTTCTTAATGCAGGGAATTTCAAAAATTATTATCAAACCAGAGTGAATATTTTTCTGAAAGTTATTTTCCTTTACACAAAAATAGGTATTTTCTGTTTATTTTTCTCTTTCAAAATACGTTATATATGTGTATATATCATCTGCAGAGTTTTTGTACCTAACAAGTAGCAGTGTTGATACCAGAATAATTTCCTTAAAATATGGGGTATCAATTTGACATATCTTTAAAAAAAATAAGCTATAAAGGGTATACTGATACATTTAAGTAAATATATTTCATTTAAGAATTTAATATAACATCCAGCTCTTCACTTCTTCTTCAACAAAGGTTATCCAAAGTTATAGGAGGATGAACATGTAATAAAGGAGAAACATTTCAAATTTTCTAATCAAGGAGATTGATATGTGGACAAGCTTACTTTTGACACAAGTGGGTTTGAGCATTGTGGTGGTGTTACCAATTCCCAGCTGGCCCCAGTCATTGAGCCCGAAGGTAAACACACGCCCACTCTCTGTAACAAACAAAAAAACATTCAAATCACTGTTCTAAAATATACTCATGCTAATTTCAGTTTCTGTTGGTCATTTATATAACAATTATCTATATGTTCACATATTATCTACTAGACAATAATCGTATATTTCCAAGCATGGTGTAGACCTGTAAAGAAACCTCTCCATTATACAGGAGCTATAAAATCCATCCATATTGTCAATCAACCCTACAATCCACTATATAAATTAGGATACAGCTTTTTAACATTTTTTTTCAGTTAATTATTGAAGACTGTAGCATCAACTGTAATATTCAACCAACACCCACAATTCAAATGTAAAATACAAATCTATCTAAACTTATCTTCTTGTTTTAACTTTCAACCTAAAATTGTTCAAATTTTCTATTTCATACAAAATGTACATTTTCAAAACGTTGTGCAAAAGAAAATCTCTCCTACCTTAATTTATTTATCTTTGCCGAGATATTTATAACCTTATTATCATTAAAGAAAAGACAAAAAAAAAAAACAGAAAAGAAGAACTACAACACTTGGGATCCACCTGAAAACAAATAAACGTAAATGTGCTACTACATATATATCTACACTTACTGGACGTTGATTTTCGCAACATTTTCCCCTATTGGAGTTTTTCCCCGTTGGCCTCATATATTTATCATTCCAAGTTTGATAAGAAATATACAGGTAGGAAGTTTATTATAATTGGACTGAACCACCACAGTACCCTATAGCACATGGCCTGACAAAAACACATTCTGTACCTACAGCATCTAATTCTACTTTAATTTACAGCTCACCTGTTGAATGTGTTCCATCTTCCAACCTGATCAAAACTATTTTAATGTATTGTTGGAGTAAGTCATAAATTATATTCAGGTAGATTTTTATTTCACAATCACACTTTACAAAACTCATATACATGTACACTTCCAGGTATAAAGCTCAAAATTGAATTGTTTCAGGCAAAAAAAACACATGCATATTATTTTTTTCCCTATTATTACCTGCAATAAGAACAGTATGTTCATCTCCACATGCGACTTGTAAGACTTTGTCATTTTTCACCCAGAATTTACTTGGGCTGTTTTCTGCAAATCTACTTTTACCAAATGTAAACACGGCACCGGTCTCTGAAGAAGAGAAAAAAACAGAAATAACCACAGAAGTTGATACAAGGTATACATGCATTACTAATACATCTGATTGTAAAGTAATACAATCATACTAAATATTACCAACAAGATTTTTTTCATAACTGCTGTTTTTGATACTCTTGATTATGATGAATATCTCGTGTTAAAATCAGTGATTTTTAGGACTCAAATATTTAAGTCCTGGACTTAATGTTTTCTGTTGGACTGAAATTTAGAAAACCCACAATATGTCTTTGTAACTAAACATATCAATATTTTGGAAATGATGCAACGGACTCACCTGAAAAAATCCTACAAAAATTACTGAAGATATTGACAAAGACTTAAAGCATTTGTTGTCTTGGTGCTTTAATTAATGATGAATCTAAATGCATTGATCCTGAATGATAACCTTAGGTTTAACATTCAAGTATATATCAGTATATGCCTAAAGTTTACATGTGACTATTTACAATGTTAAATTTATCCACTCAGAGTTTCTTGTTTTTTATATAAATTTAACTGTGATTTTAACATACAATTTCTTGCTTGAACCTGTTACCAATTACAATGTATTCCATTTCTTGTTTTTAATTGAATGCCTACATGTTAATTCTGATACAGAGATAACTTTTATCACCAGCTACCCCATGAAATAGAACACGAAAACATGGAATGTTACTACAGGCTAAATCATCTCACAAATAAGTATGCATGCATGTACATGAAATGAAATTCTGCTCCAATACCATAAATTTTTTGTATTAAGTCTAAACATTAAATAACTAAAACAAATTTATTTTCTGGCAACAAAAATGATAAATTATTTTGAATGTTTTAGTCTGATGTTCTACACAGTAAATTGTGAAACAAAGATTAAGTTTAAATTCAAAATTTTTTTTTTTTGAATAATAATAAAAATTGATTTCATAAAATCAGGGGAAAAAAAATGAAATTTCAATAGATGTTATTGATTTTTCATGCCCATTAATTTTTAAATGTAAATGTTGATTGTAGACCAACAGTGTACCTTGTGTAAATTGAGATACTATTACATAGCAGACCACTGTGTTAATTAGATAGAAAGGATGGCATGACTATGAATTATTTACCTGATCAATACTCCATACATTTAAGTACAGCATTGAATCAGTAGTTCTGCTGTACGTAACAGTTAGAGATCATGATCAGTATCTGTTACATTTGTACTTCTGCAACCAATCTTGGTTTTGGGGAAATATATCCTTTTCTGGAAAGGGGGATATTGAGGGGTAATTTCCTTGTTCTTATTTTTGTTTTGTAAATGGAAGCAAAAGGGAAATATGCATATTGGTATCTTGTACATTGAAGTATTGCTCTATACATAGACAAAATACTAATGCATATCAAAATTTCCAATAATGTCCTTGCTTTACAGTCATGTATGTGTAGAGCTTACTTCAATAATATGATTTATTTATGATTAATTTTGAAACATAACAATTATTTCTGTGTGAATGGTTTAAACTATTCTACATGTGTTTCTTGTTTTGACTTCTAAAATCCAAAGCATGTAGACAGAAAAGTTCTATTTTTTGTCCTAGTGACTTTCAATTTGTAGCTGATACCAATTGAACATGTGGTCAGACAAAATGAAACCTAGCAATAACACCAATTTCAGGTATTTCAGAAATAGCAACATCTGGGTCTGAAACCACACCAAAAAAGTGTGTGGGCGGAATAAAAAATAGTACAAAAAATAAGTGACAATTACTAAAATGTTGTCAGTTTGCTGTCACTATTTAGAATAAATAACGCATAGTGAAAAGATGTTGGGAGATTATGACCCTTGACTTTTCTCATGTACTGTTTGTAAATAAACCTGAAACATCAACCCATAGAGGTACTTTCAATAAATTTTGTAGGCATGTCCTGAACACCTATTCCAAAAATTCTGTTGATTCCCAGTACTAAGAGATGTACCTAGCTGGTGCTCAAAATTTGAGTGAGTCCTCAGACAAAGCATGAGTCTGTGTTTCAAATATTTTAGTTCCAAAAATCACTGTGATATGCAAAAGGGAAAGAGTCAGTAACTCAATCTGCAAAGCCTGTATAGATTCTGGTGAAAAAATAAACTTTTTATTATTCAACAATGTTTGCAATTCAACATAAGTCCATGAAGTGTTTTTAATATAATCCTTCTCAAGAGAACAAATATTGACTTGGATGATGGAGGAAAATCAATGAGGGAAAACCAACATGCCATCGACAGGCAAACAATGTTAACTAACTCCACAATCAGTGCATCTCGACTGGAAAGACAAATAATAAAATACCGGTCCAATAAGGCTTCCCCTGGCTTCTGCACCAGATACTAGGCATTTTGATATTGAGATGTTTGGTGTATCTGTTTTCAAAAAGTTTTAGTTATCTGTATGTACATATAGGAGTCAGCGGACATGCAGACTAAAATGATATTACAGAATTGTCAATAGAAAATGAATCTGTACCTATACATTTACAACGCAGGGTTCTTACTTGGATGCAATGCATTTGAGGGATGGGTACATGCTTTTATTGTTGTTGGAGGCTACTGACTGAAGCCTTGGAAGTCTATGTGGAGCACTGTTGATGATTTTCTTGTCAAGCATTTTTTTATTGGTATGTCTTTTATTTACTTTGCGAAAACCATTGCAATAATGTTGGTATTTCAATTTAATGTAGTCATTCTATAGTACACGGTTCTGAACATTGTACATTCTAGGCCTATAAATGATCAGTGTTATCTTAACTACAGACACACAACACCTGTAGAATCTATCTGAGAAAGGCATTTCATGATACTTAGAGACAATTTCATACATTTCTGATCAGGTCATATAGTACATAATTTATAACAGGCATTATGAGAGATGCATTCTTTAAGATGAAGAAACTCCCAATTTCGTATCAGTTACCGCGGTTTTTCAAACAAAATATTGTCCAATGTCAATTTCTGCAGAAGAAAAATGCATTAGTTCATTGTTCCGTGTTGTTTAAGTTGAATTTCTTCTATTTCATTTGTAATCAGGAATGTTTGCAGCCTTAGATGTGATCAACAATACCAAACGACATACCAATATAATAAACTGAAGAAATACGACATGCACAGACTTACCTGGAATGTCAGAGTCGTCTCCGGCCGCCATGTTGTTTTCCTGCACAACATTAGAAAATACCCGGATGTAAGGTGCTCCTTTTCCGGATTTGGAAGCACGTGTTTTTGTTTATAAATATCGCCCGCTTGAGGTTTGCTTGGTAACGGAACTAAACCACTTTGTTGAGCCCGATTTCATTTTATACTTTAACCATATCCCACATCCACTACAAAAATAAATCATAGAATTCATTTGATAAAATATCAATTGCAAATTAAAGTGTTAAAAAAACCTTTGATAGACTACGTATCATCAGGGACGTCCCTGGTATCATGCCACCTTTTCACAAAGATTCCCCAGCGTTCGCCGTATTTTATATTCATTTACATCCATTAGTGTTTTGAAGCAAATTATGTTTAAATTAAATCACAAATAGTACACATACCGTAGTTTTCGTTTTGTTTTTGTTTTTTTGGGTTTTTTGGTGGGGGGGGGAGAGGGGGGAAGGGGGCGGCGAGAGAGGGCGGGAGGTTCACAGCTAGTCAATGCAGAATATCATTAGTCACATAAAGTCTTGTTGGGAAATTTATTTTACTCAGCTGAAGTAAACCATTATAAAAAGTTAGCTGCTACGTCCTGAATTAAATATGCGAGAGTTAGCATTAAGTGCTGTTCTAAGTATTTCAAGAGTCACTGTAGAGGCCACTTAATGATAAAAAAATGCTTCAGTTTTTAACATTCCCGTAGTGTTACCGTTGTCCGTCATTGCCACGGTTATAATTATGTTTCAGCCCGTTTTAAAAAAATGTTGTAATTTGTTTGGTAGTTGTATAATGATAATATGCATGCCAAAATTTGATTTGGTTTCAGTCAATGAAGTTTTCCAGAGTTTTAAGGGGGGGAAAGGTTTAACACCAATATCGGAGAGTCTGGCATACACCAGGGATTATTTTTTTTATTGAATTATGATGACAGAACGCCATCAGTTTTTATTTAGATTTCTTACCGTAGTTATAGTGTGCTGACTGAATTTCTGTTTCACTTCCTGAGTTCATGGGTTCACTTCTTAACCACAAGGGTTTGGCATGTCCCTGTGCTCTTAACAAAGCCACAAAGCCTAAATACAAAACAGACCCAATTCGTTTAAATACGTTTTAACTCTGCCCCCGTTTGAGTGTCAAATCTATGGATATTGAAATAATGGCTTTGAAGGTCATGATTTCGTTGGTATCATCGTTTTTTAGTCAAAACCTTTTATTCGATTGTTTTACGCATGGACCATTTTCAAAGCTTTAGATATAAGGTTGCTCACAAGATATCATCACACTTTTGTGGAGTTTAGAGACGACATGCGTCAAATGGTAATTAAAGGCTCAGACTTGGGTCCATGGTGGCTGGGAACTTTGCTCTTCAAAAATATCAAGGAATCCTTTTATTACGACCTGTTGCGATGTCCATCAAATAACACTTGTTATTACTGCATTCTGTAAGTTAAAGGGGCATCATACTATCCAAGTACGAGTTCTGTGTCGGGCTTAGAGTTATCTTCCCCTGTGTTCCAAGTAGGTTATTGCAGCAGCTTAGCACACTTTATGTCAGCAGTTTTCCGAGGGGATGTTAAAATTAGGTACATGTATGATTGGATCCTTGTGAAAGATGCATTTTTTCAGCATGATATTTTGTACAGTTAATTACTTTGAGAGATATACCAAGAGGAGGAATCTTAGAAATAAAGAGACTTTTTAATTTCCTTACCAAGTGAAAAACATTTCTTTAAAAAGCTTCCGTTGTTGATTTTTCACTTTGCTTTTTTCCTGGTGCATTACCGTTGCACATATATATATCTTCAGAGAAATAAATATAAGAGGGTCATATATATCCAGATACCTATTTCATTTGGTTTCTGTTCAGGTAAATTAATCATTGCTGTCGTTTTAATTATAAACTAAATAAAACTTTCTATCAAGAAACATATTAAATATTCCCATTCTTTTTATTATTATTATTGCCCAGGACATATATAAACATATAAATACTGCCGGGGTTGGGCCCCCAGATTCAGTATCTGAACAAATATGTCCTCGTATAAGAGGGCTCTCATTCAACATCCTTTTATTTGTTTATCCATTCATCCATCATTTATTCATCCATTCACTCTAAGAATACGCTCATTTGATATTTCTGCTGTACGTTTTTTTTCATTCATTCCTTCTGTAATTCATTCATGCTGTAGTTCATTCATTCATTTGTTCTGTAGTTCATTCATTCTATAATTCATTCGTTCATTCTGTAATCCATTCATTTAGTAATTCATTCTTCATTCTGTTATTCATTCATTCAATTTGTAATTAACTCATTCATTCTGTCACTCAATCAATATGTGGTTCATCATTCAATTATTTACAATTAGTTTTGTTTACAACAAATTCTACATTTGTAAAAACATCATCACTTGCTGTCACAAGAGGAGACAGATACCGAGGGAAAAAAACCTCCCAAACAGGCCAATCGGACACCGGATACCCACCCATACAGCCACAGACATTATACATAAATTGCTTCAAAAGGGGAAAGAACCATTTTGGCAGGAATTAGTATTCCTTTATTTTCCTAAGGGTCTATGTTATTCAAATACTGTTCAAAATCACCCCATTTATTCTGGAAGAGTAGTAATGATCTATTTTTCTCCCAAATGTACTTTTCTAATTTCATGGTTTTTGCAAAAATAATTCCACATGTTCTAAAATTTGGAATAGAATCTTTCAAGCGTGAGTAATATATGTGATATTTCATTAAAATTAAAAAATGGTTTAATAATTGCCCATACTTTGGACCAGCCAGAAGAATATCTGCATCTGTAAAGTTGTACTATGGATGTCTGCCATCACATTCAGTATACCATAAATTAAACTCTTCCAGTAATCTCCGTACATGATAGCAATGGACAAAGATATGTTCTAAAGTTTCTGTTTCCCGATTACAGAATGTTAAAAAAATACTCCCATTCACAAGGAAATATAGAATAAATCAATATTAGATATATTGTGATATTCCGGAAGGTTTTACCGATTTCTAACTTAGTTAGTACTTGTTTGTACTTTCGCTTTGACTGCTCCGTACATGGTTAGACAGTTAGTGTTGCGTACGTTATGCTGGGGAAACGATTGATCTGTTACATCAGCTCCTCAATGTCTAGAACGTCTCGGCGATTTGTTTCTGATAGAGGTATTTACATCGTTTTAAAAATCGAACAGGTATGTATGTATCAAAGTAAAAGGAATTCGGTGTAAAAGATTGTGTAGGTCACCTGAACCACAGGGGCTCGGTTCCGGGATTTTACTTCACGTATGACATCATTGAATAACCACAACACAAAAAAAAATCCAGTATTTATACACATTTTAAAACCTTATAATAATTGGGGGTATCGAGCCCATGTGACCTGAATACCTATATCAGGGACATATAATACAGAGTCCACCTGGATTAGAATCTCGCAATTTCTCGTGAAAATACCGCGGGGTCTTTTGTTTTAAAAAGAAAATAAAAATGAAACGTGAAACAAGCATTTTTTTTATTTGGCCAAAGTTTGAATATTGATCATGATCAAGTATAATACTTCAATTTGGGATTGTTTATTATTTTTAACAGCAGTGCATACAACTAAATTTTAATTACATATGTAGTTAGAAAAAACGCCCAATATAATACACCAGGCACGTAGATTACAGCTAGACTCTGTTAACCTTGTTAAACGTATACTTGTACAATATTTATAAATAAGCCACATAAACCAGTTTGTTTTTACACTATATAAAAACATCATTCTTTTGTCTCGTAGCATCACAAGTCTTTGTACCTTTGTCATTTTGTCCTTGTTTTCCTCCATTAATACTATACATTCCCATGCAGCCAATGATACAGTGAGAGTGGAGGTTCTCAGAGACAAGCATGTTCGTCTGATAGAGATTGAACGTCCACATGTAAGAAATGCAGTGGACCCACCCACAGCCAAGGCTCTGTACACAGCCTTCCGTGAATTTGATGAGGACAAGGAATCTTATGTTGCTGTGTTACATGGGACAGGTAATTGTATTGTCATCCTCAAAATGTTACTTTCCATGAGAAATTCATGAAGTATATGCTTTGTAAGAAAAGATGTATTTTGAAATACTCTTTTCCTGTCACACTCAGTCACTCCATCCCTCACTATCTTCTTCTCTCCTACACTCTCCCTCCCTCTCACACACTCATTCATTCTCTCACCCTCTCACACTAAATCACTTGCTCTCTCATCACCACTCTCCTTTTCTCACACCCACTCTCTCTTACTCACTTCCTCTTACTCACTTGACTCACTCTATTAACCTGTCTAATCTGACACCCTGTGAAACACTACATATTGGTTAGATTAACCTGCCTAATTTGACACCCTGATGTACACAACATATTGGTCAAATTAACCTGTGTAATCAGACATCATGTAGTTCGCAACATATTGGCCAGACAAACCTCTCTTATCTGACACCCTATGAATACTGGAATTATCTGGTTCTGATTGGGCAGGATGGAAGAGTAATGAAATTCTTGATGAAATTCTTGACAACTAAAATGTTTGTCTACAAAAAAAAGATATTTGTGGGAAAATAAAGGAATTTTATTGTAAGTTAATTGTAAACTTTACGATGGACATAAATTGACTTTACCATATATTATAATTTTCATAAATTAGGACATGTACACATGTAGTTCCTGTGTTTTGTTGTCCTAGGTGGACATTTTTGTGCTGGCTATGACTTGAAAGCATTCTCAAAAACTGATGGTACAGAAAGTGGCATAGAACATCCAGAAGTGTCAGATATGGGGCCCATGGCAAGTATCTTCTTGTATCTATTGTTTTTATTCTGCAATAAGCCCATGCTCGCTAATAAGCCCACCTATTTAGATTGCGGTTCTGTTGATATACAAACCATTTTTACATTATGATTTTGTAATAAATCTACTCCTTGACTTTGAATCCAAGAAGGATGAAACAGCTATATGATGCAGTTTAATTTGTTATTTGACTCTACTGTATTTAATTCTAATTTATGTTTGTATTTTTTTTGTGGCTGTTGTCTTAACGTCAGAGAAATATTACACTGTTAATACTACTTCAACGTTGTTTATACAGACCTGTTTAATTTTCTAATGTTATTCTTCTAGCAATTGCTAATTTGTTTATTATGATAAATAATTTATGCATAATCATATTCCTACTGGGTTCACATATCAAAAGCATAGATCATTAGCTGTTGAATATTTGATATGTATAATTTTGGTTATCATAAATTTTCAAAATTAAATGATGGATAAAATTTTCAAACTTGGTAGGCTTTCATCCTGACTTTCTAGAATAAAATGACACACATTTCTTGGATATGGCAGATGTTGTTAATCTATCTGTAGTCAGTTAATCATATAAATAAAATTTGGTCGGGGTTAAAATTGTTCCAAATTTAGACCATTCTAACTTTGTTTCTTTCTTTTCCCAATCATTTTGTTTCTTTATTTTTACTCCAAATGTTTCTGGTTCCCAACCTCATATTGTACCAGCGTCATCTTTAAACTATTTCTTCTGTATTATGTCCCTTTCATCTTCTCCTTCAATTCTTTGTACTTTTTTGTTTTTTGTTAATCATATATTTACTTATCTTTTTAATGTCATATCTAATCCTTGCTTAATTTCTGGTTTTCTTGATATTTTTTTATCTGTCTGTCAATCGATGACTCGGCTTTTCTTTTAAGACAAGTACAGAGAAGATAAAATTAAAAATGCAATTTTCCAATTATTTTCCTTTTTCATTCATACAATTTATGCATACAAAAGCCAAAGCAGTTTTTTCAAGAAATAGTTGAAGAAATTTTTTTAAAATAAACACAATATCTACCCATATATTGTAGGGTCCGACCCGCCTCGAACTTTCTAAACCAGTGATTGCTGCTGTTTCTGGATATGCTGTAGCTGGAGGTTTAGAACTTGCTCTTATGTGTGACCTACGTGTTGTTGAAGAGTCTGCCATTATGGGTGTCTTCTGTCGCAGATTTGGTAAGTTAAGTGACATCATGGCACATGCAGAAGGTGTCACCAATATGTAAAGTGGCTAGAATGATAACAAGTTTCTAATTAAAGATACGCAGCTGAATTACAGGTGTGTATTTAAATTAGTATTTACTTAAAAACATATCTAAAGGTCATTATTTATTTCAATGCCTCCTCTAGGAATTGAAATTAGTGCCTCTCGTCTAAACCTTGCACTTAACCAATGGCGCCAAGTGGAATTCTCTCTAGCTGAGTGGTATTTTATAAATGACAATTTCATGGGTCTCATATCATAGGCGAGTTATTTACAGGTGTGTTTCATCACATCTCCGTTTAAATTCAAAATATAAGGTGTACTTGGCATTGCTTGGTATTCTGTTATTACAGGTGTACCACTGTTAGATGGAGGAGCGGTTCGACTTCCTTATCTCATTGGATTGTCCCGAGCAATGGACCTTATACTGACCGGGCGACCAGTGGGTGCACAAGAGGCCCTCAATATGGGACTGGCCAACAGAGTGGTCCCTACTGGTACAGGTAAACTAAAATACTGTAAACTTATCATCAGGCAAAAAAAAACCCGAATGTCTTTGTTTCTGGTTTCGGCCTGAAAAAATTAAGGTTGATTGATCAAGATTTTTTTTTCAAAATAATATTTGTTTAATTTTGAGACTTCTCAGGTACCACATAATAAGGGCTTTATTGTCACGTGTGTGTGTATCACAATCTGTCAGAATATTTATGCTGTTTGATTTTTGCCTGTATTTTCAAATTGTCAAATTATTGTCTCTTTATTTGTTGAATATATCGTTTTCAAAGCATTTTAACATTAAGTATTATTCAAAGTATGCATGTGATAATTTGATAACTACACAATTTTTTTTTACACCAACCATTATGATAAACTAACGACCCAGTTACTTTTGATGGTCAGGGTACCGTCATCGTCATTAAAAGTGTGGAGAGATTGTTTAATATCGGTGTTTGTAGATATACATCATTTGTATGTCAGGGTACTGGTACTTGTGAGGATTGCCAGCAAACAAAACATGAACAAAATCATTGCAGTGATTATTTTTTTAAAATTGATAAATTAGAGTTGGTAGCAAAAAATAGGAGTGGTCAGATCCCCCCCACCCTTATTTTTTGGCCTAAGTACAGCTGCTATAGATGTTACAGAAACCTGTGTTAAAAACAAAAGTAACTAGTGTTCCTTTATTTAGCTGTGATATGTGATGGAAAGATGAATATGATGTGTATCGTTATATTACCTATTTACATGTTGGAGCATATTTTTGCTGTTCACAAATGCACTAAATTTTTATCTTATTAATTTCACTTCATCTATCCAGCTTTTTTGACAAATGTAGCTAGACTATTTCAAATTCATTGATTTTCATGGGGGCGTAATTCTCTTATAAACAGTTAAAATTTTCAATACCGTTTTTTTTTTAGTACCAACACAATTGAGTAAGGGAAATTATTGAACCAAAGAAAAACAGAAAGTTTAGCCTTATGACAATAAATTATTTTGCAGTATTCATCAAAATAAATATTAATTTTACTAAAATTTCATTTGTACATACATCTTCCAAATTCATACATTTTGTGTTTTATTCCATTGAGAGAGAGTTTGTCCTGTTATTATCACTTTTTGTTTTATATCACATTTTTTCTCTGTTAATGATATTAAAAGGAGACAATTCTAAAACTGTTTAAATATTGCCTTATTTTTACATCACAGTCCTTGATGAAGCCATCAACCTTGCTGCAAACATAGCACAATTTCCTCAGAAATGTATGAGAACGGATAGGCTGTCTGCACTCCACAGTATGTATGCTGCCAAAAGTCTGAAAGAGGCATTAAATCACGAGTTCTCTCATGGTATCAAGGTCATTCAAGGAGAAAGTCTTCCAGGTAAAATTGAAAAACATATTTTCAAAATACTTACAGGAGTTTACTTCATTTATGCAGCATTAAACCTATGCTAGTGATATTGAAGTCTAAAAATACGAGTCTCACCTTTTACTCCTATCCCAATCTGAGGAATCTTACACATGTAATAGGAGTTACCCTGTACATGATAAGCGAAAGGCATTTTTTCTTCAACAAAGTATTTTCAGTATGATTTATTATACATTTTTTCATTAGATATGGTTGATATGTTGCACATGAGAAGATAGAAAGGATATTTTATGTTTGACAGGGGCAAAGTCATTTGCAGAAGGAACAGGTAGACATGGCAAATTCCCAAGTTCCAAGTCAGACCCACCATCAAAGTTATGAGGATATATGCACTACGTAATTTACTGTAAACCAGCATTCATCTGTGTGTGATTTCCATTCGCAGATTAAGGATGGAAAGAAATTTGTGAAAGATAATTATAACAAAGATGGATAGTAATAATAAACACCTATTTTAGTATACTATAGTCTTTTTAAGAAAAGTTAATTACTGTGAACTTGTGAAGTTGTCTACCGAGATATCTTCAACAGGTATAGTGACAACCCACGAGAGATAAAATAAAATCAGGAAAGTTCAAATTTTGTTTACTGAAGTTTTTTTCTGGTCATATGATGCAGTCCTTGTCTTCAAATAATGAAGGTTTTTCTTTAAGCTTCTTCATTAGAATCATGAAACCTGGGATCATAATTTTTGCATATAAATGCAGATTTATGGACAAACGTGCATTATGTATTTAACACACTGCTCAAAGGAAACAAGCTATTCCTTGAAACATAGCAAATTTTCTCTTTTCCTTATTTTGTGAAGATCTTTTCTTCATAATCCATCCTTATGTTCTAGGGATTATGATCACTTTCACTCTCAGTACCCCTGGAACTTTTAATGGCAAAACTGAAGGTTATATGTGTGGAACATTGTGGATAAGACAAGAGGACTAGCATGATTCTTTGAAGTACATCAAACGCATCTGGAGGTCACATAAGGGAATGTTGTACTGGTTTGAAAGTCTCCTTTGTAATCTTCAAAGAAGCGTATCAGTCTGTGATTGGTCGGTTTTTTCCTCCTGAATTCCACTCTGGCCAATCAAATCACATGTACTTCGCTTGCAAATTGAATTTTGCAATGAGATCTTGCAATGGCGCACAAAATGGAAGTGATTATAACCACTGGAATGTGTGGAATATTCAGAATCAAGCATTAGTATTCAAGATAAGCTGCTGCATATACAAGTATGTGTTCCCTTTCAGCCAGAGACGTATATATCACATATATATACGTCTCTGTTTCAGCTATACTCGGTGTGTGGTCATTTAAAGAGCCAGATCCACTCCGTTATAGATATTTTTTTTCATATTTTAATGACTGGAAATGTTGTTTTATACTAATAGATAATATATAAATAAAGACTTGTATAAAGTTTCGAAATTGAAATTGAAAGGGTACCGGAGATATCGGTGCCGGAATTAGTATCATTAATCAACACCGGGATATGAATATTGATGAGGAAAAGTCACGTGGTACGTTCAAACTCGATCAGAACCAAAACAAAAATGGAGGAAGAGGTGAGTAGAACATCCATGTGACATCGCTTGTAAAGCGATTTTACCAATAAATGATTTGTTTTTAAATTCAGTTCGGTCACAGCATTCCATCTTTCCGCTTGCTCGCCTTCGATATATCACGGTCTCGCGCCATCTCTCTTCTTTTCACCTCTGAGTCCGTCAAAACACGTTTCCTTCCGCTTTCCTCGCACGCTTTCTACCATGTTGAAAGACGGCAGCTTTATTTTCAGTTCTTTGCGCATGCGTCAGAGGGCAGGGCTTCCCGCATAATTTATAAATTAGCACTGAGTCGTTTCGAATTCTTTTTTAAAACTATTTATTACGTTAGATTGGTAGCGATTTACTTTAAAATTGTGGTATTACAGGGTTAGTCAGAAGTTTTGCTACCCGAGAAAAATAGAAAATCATGATTTTTTTAATATAAAATAATATCGGTCGAGGAATGGGCCTGGCTATTTAAGCTTTCTCCATCCATATACGAATTGTTTCCCTTGGTTTAAAAAAATATTTAGGATGAATTAGTTATTGATCAGAAACACGACTGGAACTTTATTTTAAAATATTAATGTAATGATGTAGATGTGTGGCCAGATAAATCTCAATTATCCTTACTAATGTTTTCACTGACCTTGTCCTTTGATCTATAACCTTGAAAAAAGAACGAATTTATTTTGATAATGAGTAGTTTTGAAATGATGACATTTTAATGAAAGGTGAAGATGAATGACAAAACTAAAATATGAATCAGACGCAAATTTTGTAATATTAATACAGACAACGCAAAAAGTGTGACTGCTTTATCGATACTTAAAATGAATAATACGATAAATAATGTAAATCACTTATATTTCGCGTGGGATTTATTTTCGCGTTAATACGCGAGAAGAATTGATCGCGAACTTAAATCATGCTTGATGACATCCATGCTGATTCGGTTACCGATATCACAATCTATATATGTCTAATAACTCATCATGCGGAAAATTAAAGTCATTTCTAGATCACAAGGTTCGCGAAAAAATGTATTCGTGAATTTTTCTGAAGAGGAAATTCGTGAAATAAAAGTACTCGCGAAATACAAGTGATTTTCAGTAATTCCCACATTCTGAAGTCTCCACTTTGGCAGTGATGAATATCATTATGAAAGGGAAAAATCAAAATCTCTCTAAACTGTCTTATTATCAATTTAAATATAAATAAGAAAATTGATTTGTAACGAAAGAGATGGCAAATCTTTACTTTAAAGTCAGATACAATACTAACTGAGACATATATTTGAAATAAAGTGTTAATATTTTGGTAACTATGGTAACAGTCTGAAAGCAAGAAGATTCACAACTTCCTAACATAACATTGTAGGAAAGACTCACAAGTGAGTGGCAACTTTCACTACAAATTTAGTATCTGATACAGAATAGCAAAATCAATTCATCTATAGTACACGTGTCTCACTCTTCATGAATGATGAGTTTTTAATGAAACATGACAAACCGAGGTGATACCTTTTTTTAGAAAACGACGTCTTAACAAAAGTTATGGCCAACAACACAGGTATTTGGCACGAGTTCTCGACCAGTGGTCAATATACATGTATCATAGTTTGGACAGTGGGTCAGGAGAATTCGTGCCAAAATCCCTGCGGCAAACAAGCCCACCTAGCTACATATCGAGGTACAAAACTTGATTTTATTCAGTGTGTAACAGTTATTCCATGAAATCGTTCCATTCAAATCTAAACGATGTTGTCAGATATAAGTTTTTCTCCATTAAAATATATCTCGTGCATTGACAACAAAGAAAACGCTAACGCAATCTTTATTTCTTAAATTGAAACACAAATTCACACTTGAACAAAATACGGACAAAAGAAAGCTTTACAAGGAGACCCATGAAAAAAGTACAAGGAGAATAAGACCGGATGCTCTGGAAGAGTGCTTCATCGACGACACCTGTCATGTAAATCTTTGTCAGTCAAGTAAGTAATGTCACGTTCTCAAATGAGAACAAAGTAAACTAAAACAGAACCACAAACATGTGAGCAACAAACACACCCAGTTTCATATCGCACATAGAAATAGCATATTTCTCGGTGAGATCATTATAACGACAGTAAACCATCATCAACCTTCACACCTCGAAACCCTGCCTTGTGAGCTTGTTTGCCAGCTGTCATAAGCAGTCGGGCTAGAATTAAAGCACACACTCCCGTATAAACAACAGCGTTAGGACACGTAACAGAAAATTTAAAAGAAACTGGTCACTTTTATAGACAGAATGTTAATATTTACCTACTTTTAGCTTCTGTTTTAAGCTATCTTAAGCGACGGATCACAATTTACGAAAAAAAAAACACCCCAAAATTAATCGATTAATTCTTCATTGTATCCTATTAGATTACATTGATGAAATGACGATAGGTAATTAACGAGAGCTAGATAGTAGAAAACAGAGAATTTGAAAAAGTTGGAGTGTAACTTGGGTTGCCAAACTTCACAAAAAAACAAATGTACGTAAACAAACCGATTACGTCTAAATTTTAGACAAAACTTTCAATGCTTTTTCAATATTCACCGTTATTATCTTATGTTAAGGGGAAAGTATGCATGTTTTTTATACCTCTTCTGAAGATATGATAATGAATTTCGGTTAGTCTCGTCTTAAAACATGCATTTCCAAGCACATTTTTGCAGACCTGTATGTAGTGGTCAGGGAATTCGAGTCTGGATATTTCTTTGTGTGGATTGTATCCGTTGATCGAAATCTTTGCTGTTAGTATGTATTCTTGTGTACAATTTACACATTTGAAATCCATAACGACTTGTCGGGGTGGCAAACAGAGATTCAGATTTACTTAATTAAATAAGAATTTCTTCATAAATATAGGAGACACAATAATGTGTTAGATGATTATATTTCGTTTGGATGGCAGCCAAATCGTTGCTGTTCCCTGTCTGTTTGAGGATTTTATTCGACAAATTTTCTTGATCTGCCATTACTGATAAACAGTTTAGACAGGAAGGAAACAAAAATAAACAAAAACCATCCCATTAAATTCTCCAGCATTGTTCTGTAAAATGGAAATTCGATCGAACGTCATATTTTTATCTTCAATGTCAACATTCACAGGTTGCAAACGAAGACGATAATTTGACTGACGTCAGAATGATTGCCATGGTAAAGTATTTGTTATTCACGACTACGATGTGTACGGATGATCATGAAAAAATTATCGAATGAAAATGTTTTGTCTGTTTATTAAAGTGTCTCTTTATGAAACCTTCGAGATTTTAGTTGGTAGACATTTTGGTGGTTTATAGTCCTCCTGACGAGGTTTACAGAAACTTGCATCCTACATTTTAATACACTACTGAAATTATCAGGTACTGAAAACGACGAAATTTATTTGAATTATGGTACAAGTGCACTGATCAATCAGTTTTCTTAACGTTGTTGACTAACAACCCAGGTTCCAACTTTGTGTGCACTTGTCATCACTGAAGAGTCCTAGAAGGATGAAACAGATGTGTGACTCGGTAACTCTTCATTTGTATCTTTTGTAAAGTCTTTTATCACCATTATTTTAGAATATTATTTCAATATATTATCATTTCCATATATAAAGTACTGAATGTGTCATAATATATTACGTTGTATATGACTAATTGGTTATCAAAAATAAATTAATTAATTAAAAATTAAAAAAGAAAAACGGTTTTGATCTTCAAATAGCGTCTCTCAAAGCATAAATGTCCATTGAATGATGCATATTGTATCGTCAATAACTCAAAACAAACGCAATTTACAGTAACACAATTTAATTCAAACATTCAAATGAGAAAAGTACAAATTTGAAACCATATCGCAATTGGTCATTTAAATTTAAAATTATCAGCCTATTGGTGACAAAAACTTGAAAAAAAAAAAATAAAATCACTCATTAAAATGCATCACAGACATAAAATCACAATTTCAACATATGACATTATTTCCAACTAGAACACGAGGAACACATTTTCGAGACTCCTAATTAAGTAAGATTTAATATTTTATAATTTAAAAATAGGAATGCAAAAATAATTCATTGGTCAACCTACACGAAGCATAAAGTGTTACAAGTTAAACGTCGGGAAAATGAAGAACATGTGTTCTCTCTTATAACATTTGACCAGAGTGGCTTTGCCCTGAACCATTCGACTTTTAAAATTCTAACAAAATAACGAATTACAAAAGTGTTAGTAAAACCTTGTAGATATATTACAGGCCTAATATACAAAAATTCACAGAAGGAATTATCGAATTGTTAAAACTTTAAAACACTGAAACAAATTTTAATCTGAAAGAAATATTTACAATATAAACAAACTAAAAAGAAAAGAAAAAAAACAATACAACCTCATTTCACTATTCCTTGACTTCTGACACGGGATATATCCAAGTCCGTGCTAATGACTTGTGACATTTGTACGAGTGTCAACCATATATTGAAACATTCGGTCTCTTGAAGTTATCTGCTGTAATGAGCAGACATTGATTGTTACGACGCTGGTTAGTGCGAGAAACATAATTAGAAAACGATGTAATTTTCTCACGCAAACTGATGATGTTACGTCATTGGTTAGTGAGAGAAACATGATGAGGAAACGATGTAATTTTCTCACACAAACTGCTGATGTTACGTCATTGGTTAGTGAGAGAAACATGATGAGGAAACGATGTAATTTTCTCACACAAACTACAATCTATACCTACTCACAAGAGCAGATAACTCTGCATTACGAAATGATAATTGAAATGGGTAATTGTCTAAACAGGGTACCATTACAGACATATCATGACTAGCTTTCACTATTAAACAAAGCACACACAACATATGTTTCAGTATCTGACCAAACACCAAGGTTTCATGAATCGGGAACGTATTGGTGAAACCTTTCTCGTTCTCAAACCCAAACTCTATTCATATTATCTCCCTTGTAATTCTGTGATTTGTTTTACAAATATCAATCTGTTGAGCAGCAATTTTGGTTATGAAATAACCTATTCCTTAAGTAAATTCTTAAATTATTATATGGTTGGACATTCGTTCAAAGTCCCTGTGACCTGGAGTACAAAATCAGTATGAGAAAATCTTTATGCAAAATGATCCCGTGGCTATTTTTCACACTCAGAATAAAACTAAATAATATGAATTATAACAACGTTTAAGAAAGAAAACACATGATATTCGGTAAATACATACAGTCACCATGTTAATATGATTAAGTTCGTTGAGGCACGCTTCAATAAAAAGTCATCACAAAATGGCCTACATCTGCTAAAAAGCATATAATAAACGATATTCTTTAAAAATGACGTGCAAACTTTCAAGAACAATTCAAACTAGACAAAATCAAAAAGAGATAATCTGGTCTCCTGCTAAGTTTTAAATGAGCAAATCAATATTTGACAGTGGCGTAGCAAATGTTTTGTAGCAGTTTATGCTTTCAAGAGAGGGCCCAGCGGCGAAGTCACACTTAAAAAAGTAAGAAAAAATACCTTAATGGGATTCGAGTGTATGCTTAAGCATACAAACATTCAATATTGCTACGCCACTGTCTTACATTATATATGGTGCTTATTATGGCTGGCCCATTGCTATAAAAGAGAAAATTCAATTAAAAACAAATACCAAGTATATTATTGGGCGTCTAGGAAAAGAGCAGTGATGCAAGAAGCATATTTTGATGAAGACAAATGATTATACATGAATTTTACCCGATAACGGAATGCAACTGTTTTTTCCTGTATCAAATACAGCTCAACAATACACAGTTCAATGAGACTTAATAGTTTATGAAATCAGCAGCGATTACGATTTACTTTTTCTTTACTGCATCATGATTTAGCAAACAAAATTTCAATTTGTGTCAGATCATCGGTTAACAAAAATAAGAAATCATTTTTATATACGATGACTTTATAAATATTTTGCCTCAATGTCATTGGATCATTTTTTGAAAATGAAAAAAAACAGATATGATATTGTTTTCGTGTATTATCTTATATTTATAACTTTTAATTTTATTCGATCCATATTTTGTTTCCAGTTTTAACATTAATATAAATATCACAGATTAAACTCCATATTGCATTATTCTTTGATATATTATTCAGAATGTTTTTCATAGGCAATACCTTATATTACATTATTAATGTATGCATATATTTTAACAATATTTGGCCACGTTAGAATTGCATTGTATTTATCTAATACTTATATTGATAAACAACTTGTTTATGTTTTCAGTTCTGCATGTCTACCGCGAACTGAATTTAATAGTGTTAAGGTTCAAGCACTTACAAAATATACAAATAAATAATGACAATACGCTTCTCATTTTCCTCATTAAACAATTATGTGCAAATTGGTGAGACATTAACTTGATTATCATTGTTGTAAAATAAACTTATATATATTGTTAGGATCACGTCTCTCTCTATAGATATATTATTGACTAGTGAAAATTAACAGCAGATCTGTTAATGGTGAACCAATTCCAACTTCATCAGCTCTAATGAATTAATGGTTTGACTTGCGACTGATCAAAATTCTTCTACAAATAGACTGAAAATGAGATCTGACATATCGGTCATTTTGATCGTTTTCAGCAAATTCTGTCCAATCCTTAATGAGTGTTTTGATAATTTTTGATGTTTTTCAATCATGAAAACAAATTCTGATTTCAATATTTACATTAATGAGGATTGAGGATTTTTTTTTCACATAGATTTTTAAAATGTAGAAAAAATACAAGATCAAAGGGTCACTACAAACGATGAAAACTCCTTATCCAATTCAAAAGGACATTAAAACCAACGAGCCTTGTCCAGTGAGACTGGCTGGATTCTCTTTTGGACCCACTGTGGGGGTGACCAAGGATTGCTCCAAGCAAACTTCCGGCTCCACAGAAACATAAAGAGGACACCATGAGCCACCAGCAGGCATACCGTGATTTGGACAGTGGTCAAGTAGGCTCCGAGTAGAACAGCGAACACTAAGTGGACGCCGATGTCGAACAAAGTACCAAGGATGGAATCGAAGTGCCATTCTTGTTGGAAGTCGCTTTTGGTCCAGTCGATAGAACTCCAACTAATAATCTATGATAATAACAAGTAATGATAATTGGACGATAACATATACTGTAAATCAATATCAATTCATGAGTTATAAGGTTTTATACTACATCATATAGACAAGGATATACTCTCAGTTATTAGCAGTTTAGGTAAATACATTACCTTGTCAACAAACAAGAAACTGATAAAAACAGAAGATAAGCATACGTCAATTGTAGGCCATCTCCGAAGTTACAGCGGTTATTATGTCGAGATCGTAAGTGATTTAATAGCCAAAATTGTGCAACATATTCAAAATATCTCAACGTTGCGCTTGGATGTCAAACCTTACTGTGACCGTAGTTGACCATAGTTGACCGTGACTGACCCTTTTTGACCGTAGTGTTTACTCTACTTGACCGTAGTAATATGGCGGAACAGTTAGTACTACAGACACGTAGGAACAGTTTGGGACAACCAAAAAGGATTGGCTATGTTTGAAGCATGTTCGCGGTATGTTCACAGAACTGTTCAGAACGGTAAACTAGGATCATCTGGCCATTTTAGACTAACATATGCTATAGCTGGCCGCATCTACACGTAGTTCTGTCTGTTTAATTGTTCTTCATAACTTTCTTCCTTATTTTTACGTCTGAACTGTCTACAAAGCAACATTACGATTACAGACAACATGCGAATACCAGTTTGTTTAGATAATACGATGGCAGCCTACAAATAAGTCGTCAAATTCTTGAAGAAAAATACAATTATGAAAAATATATGCTAATAGAAAAAAATCGATGTCACAAACCTTCTTGGCTGGTTTTGTTTTCTCCCAGAAAACAAAATAGTATAGATGTTGTAAAATTTGTAGTACAGCCAACCACTGGAGCTGCCGCAGAAACAAGATTGACGAGCAAAATACTGTTAACAGGTCGACGAGAAAATAGAACCTGAGACGAACTAGATCTTTGCGTGGAAGAAGACGAGTTCTTGTTATTACCATGATGTGACTTGTCACATGGTAACTCTCCATTGAAAACAGAAGTAAGGCGCAAGCATTTCCCAACGGGGTCATATTGGCGGTTGTGTAGACGGGGGAACAAATTTTAAAAACCTGTGGAAATATAAAATGAAGATTCAATAACAACAGTGGTTTAAAAAAAACAGCAAATACACTCTATAGTAACAAATGTTTGTGCAAGGAACTGTAATTTACGTGCAGGAACATCAGATTTAAGGTAAACGTTTCTCGTTAAGTAATTGATATCAAAGAATGCCACGAAATACACCTACTAGGTTTACCATCGACAGCTTTTAAACTGAGAATGACTCGTGATTCCTTTTCCCTAATAACCATATCTGTAAATTCTCTTGTGTAAGGTATAGTGACGTCCATTACGAATTATCACCTTATGCATCGAAGCTGCGAACATTTCATGAAAGAGGTTATTGGTGTCTGCGTAGCTAAGAGTTGGAAAACAGAGTGAACGAACTTTGTGATCAGAAACAATGAGAAATAGGTCTTTAATAATAATAAGATAAAAATAATATATCGACATAGTACAGTTGTATTTTTACATGCAATTGTCGTGTAGGTAAACTAAAAAGCAAATATTTCCCCTTGTTTTTACAGTATTTGACTTTGTTTAAAATTGTATAAAAGACACACAAGTGAATAACTCTTTTACATAATTTCGATGTAGATACAGTAGAGCCAAACAATGAATTAAACTGCATCATAGAGTTGTTTCTTCCTTCTAGGACTCGTCCGTGATGCTACATCATACAGCTGTTTCTTCCTTCTAGGACTCGTCCGTGACGCTACATCATACAGCTGTTTCTTCCTTCTAGGACTCGTCCGTGATGCTACATCATACAGCTGTTTCTTCCTTCTAGGACTCGTCCGTGATGCTACATCATACAACTGTTTCTTCCTTCTAGGACTCGTCAGTAATACTAACGGCTTAAATTTTGAAGCCTAGGAGGTGCCCGAGGAAAATTCAAAGTGATCGAAAGAAGACTAGACAGGGAGGTGCAGTAGCCTCATACTTAAACAAATTTCGTTATACTTCAGATAATTTTAAAATAGCGTTTGGTATACGTATATATTCTGAAGCATTCTTTGAGTTTGCAGTCTTTTACAGTTTCGAATTTCGGGAGCGCCATGGCGAATACATGTAGAGTTCGTCATATATTAGATGTTAGGAGTCCTACTGCTTCGTTATGGTAAAGCTATTTCCCACAATTTGGTACAAGCGATGTTTACGTAAACGTATGACAATCAGTTATATACCTAGAACAACATTTCCGTGTTTTATGTCTCATGAGGGCTTCCTTTTCCATGAAAAGCAGTGATAAAAAAGACATAGATTTATTTTGGATAATATTATCTGCGAAACAACTGATGAAATATATTGCAGAGACCGAAATAGCAAGAATGGTTTAAAATGTCTCCGTTGGCTCTGATGAAAACTGGAAAATAAGAACCCTTCACAGAGAATGTCATTTTCCTTCTTAATTTCGACACTCCAATCTAAAAATGCATTTTATCAGGACATGTAATACTTAAAATTTTCAAAGTTTTTTTTTTAAAGAACATGAAGTCCAGAGAGACACACACTACATATTCTACATCAGCTGTCTCCTCGAAATTCACCAATACCAAGGCCACCATTTACCAAGTTTTATAATATACGTATTGATTTCCATTTTCATTGTGAGCAATATCAAATTACGATTTTGCTATTACAAGATGTGTTCTCAATATCACATGGATTTCAACCATTGATGGACCACCTTATAAAGCACTTTTTATATTTCGAAAAAAATAGAACTGAAAAGGAATTTAATGGAGGAAAGGCCCAGTGTTCGCCCTCGTTTTCTCGTTTAGTAAAATTCCATTCCCTTGTACGATATGTCGTCTAACGTGCCCTATGGTTACGTCGGCATTTTTTCTGAATTTGAGAGCTTCAATAAGTCGCTCAGCGGTATCTTACTGCAAAACCATTAATTTTCGAGGAAAATTTATTTTCTCTGATTTCGCTTTCTTACTCAATGAATTTCGTATGTCCATGAATTAACATTTAAACTTTGACATGTGGTATAAACAGATAGTTCATCCTTAACTGACAACAAATGTAATAAAGCCCTAACGAAATACACGTACATTTTAATGCCACGAAATTTGAGTCTCATGAAAATATAAGATTTAACATTATCTGACGGTTGGGGAGTTCATGATGAAGAAATCAAGTTAAGTTATATCGACACTTAATGCAGATTATGAGCAAATCCCACCAGTGATCTAATTTCGAGTATAAATTACGGATCATTTGTTGATACCATCATATATGTTAATATATTTTTCTTTAATTAATTTTCACAATTTATGTCAAATATATTTACAGTCACCACATGATCCAAACCGTGAATGTGTTTTACTGTACCGACTTCCTTCAGGTCATGATGTGAAAATTGTAACAAGAACTGTATATTTGTATTGTCAGTGTTGTAATGTCATTTAAAATGCATATGGGGGAAGATGTTAAGTTACAATAACTTGTGCCTAATCCCTTGTTAATCTTTTGACAATAAAATATGTTTAAACTAAACTAGTCTCTCACCGAAGGAGAATACCTGTATATGACTTGTCTGTTGCCAAATTGTTTCTTTCTTTTGTTACCCAACTTTTGATGAATCAAATGTATTTTTCCTGTTAGTCTTGAAATAAACATTTTTCAAATTATTCTAATTTCCATTCAATTTCAATTACATTGCAAATAAACCGAACCCCTCAAAGCTTTTCCAGTGTCAACTGAAAGCTATTTTGCCGCCATTGTTAAGCTTGCTGTCGTTTTATCAGCACGTGTATAATTGGTATGACCGATGAAATTGATACAATTAGTAAATTGTCAATTTCTTTTGAAAATTATTATTTTGAGAAGGGATGGCGTAATCTTGTGAAATCGAGCACCTCTTTTTGAGATACGATCTATATTCAGTATATCTTCATTCTTTACAAAATAAGAGAGGGTCTGTCCTTAAATCTTCGGCTAAGAAGTAATAGATAGATATACAATTCTCTACAAATACCACAGAGTTCTGTTATGCCTCAGATTTATTATCAAGACCTGTCCAAAGGATGGCCATTTAGTACTCCAAATGAACTCTCACTATTGTGACTAAGAAGGTAAAATGGGCCAGACGCCAACACAATGTAACTATTTTTAATCATGTGGACTTTAGACTTGGATACTGTACATATCAAACAAATAGGCAATGTTTTATCTAGCTTGTAAATTTTTTGTACACTAATATCTTGTAACGAATGATTATTTTTAATCAAATATGACATATATATCGTTATATCAGACTTACATGTTAGTTTATAATTGTGTATATTATAAATTTCTGCATTCGTAATTTCTTTTCTATTTTTGAAATACACTTGAAAGCTGACGTGATACGCTTAAACGAATGTTTAAGGAAACATATATATTCGAGACTGCAGGCCCTGGTTGTTCAACCAGAGGTTAGTAGGGGAAAATGGAGGACTATCGTTATCATTTCACAGTCGTACAGTTATTGAGACAAGCCAAATTGATATAATTTGAATCTTAAACATTGTTTTACATTTTCAGTAGTAAAAATTTGAAATTTTCACGGACACTATTCAACTCTAACCTTTGGGCAACCGGGTCCTGCTAGTACATGTAGACTTCATCATTGGACTTTTAGTCCTCAAGGTTAGCAAAAACCTCCAAGCCACGTTTTAATTCAAACGACCTGTGAGTGGTAAGTTCAGAATACACAAGTACAATACTTGACGTTCTTATAAAATTGTCAGATATATGAAAATTATGAAATTTATTTTTTTATAGGACTAAGGACTCTCTCCATCTAGATTTTAACATCTCTTTCCTTCAATACTGCATGATTTTCCTCAGTCACCTCCTAGGTTTCAAACTTTAACCCATCGCTTCACTGGGAGTACAAACAGCTGTATGATGCTGTTTAATTCTTTACTTTGTATAAAAAAATGTTACTCACTTGTGTGTTTTTTATAATCACCCCAAATGCATTTTTCCTGTTTCTGACACTTAACGGTTGAAACCCTATATTTTCCTGGTCGTACTTTTTCCGGTAAGGGATTTGTTTATAAATGTACAAACAGTTATCATACAACAGTATAGTTATTTGTAAAGCTTAGAGATAATATATTTCATGTTTGTAAATAAAACAAATAACATTATTATACATAAACATGTTTTCAAACCTATATATATTACATAAGAAATAAAAGTCAGCTTTTCAACCCCGAAAATCGAGTCCCACAAAAATATATATAATTTTCAGTATCACAGATTGGCTATTATTTGTAAAACTATTTTGTTTCTACAGTGTACGTAAATACAGGTAACGAACAATGTATTTGTGGGAATATTGTTTCTGTCATAACACAGTTGATAATAGTCTCGCTTCAGGTATTTCTAAAAGGCGCTACTTAAAACATGTAATACTACATTTTTTCTGTTCTAGAAGGTGTAATATCTCTTATCATGAACATAAAAACACGAGAAGGTAAATAATGGTGTACACAACTGATCGTTTGGCCAGATTACAATTTAGTTCGGTGGCGTGTGCCAATTATTGTCCACGTTCAATGCCAACTCTTCTACACATTTAGAAATTCGGCTATCTTGTATATTTTTGGATTCTGATGGCATACACGAAACAAAACAGAGTCGAGAAACTGTACCGCAAGTCTCCCTTTTCCCTTGTACTTTTTGATAACTAGAAGACAGAAATGTTCCATTGTTTGTCCCGAAACACTATATATTGAAGTCATGTACGTATCATAGATCTTGTAGGTACAGCTCGTGGGGGTGGGGATGGAGGGGATGTTTGGCTGGCGACTTTTGTAATCCATATGGTCCTAAACGGACACGATATAAAGGGAATATGGTTTCTTCTATGCTTTAGTCCAAAGTATTCTGGCGTTCTATCAAGTCGTATTTTACTCCAGACGCCAGACAAAATTTTCAGTCAAGTCTATAGAACGATATATATTAAATGCTACGTGAACTTCCTCACGTAACCATACTGTGAAATATGACAATACTCAATTCTCATTTACATGTGAAACTGACGCCCTTGATTAACCTATGACCTCATGTCCTGAATTAATTATAAGCCACTTCTTTGTGTTGATGAAGGTAACCTGTAACAAGCTCCAAAAAATAGAATTATAATGAATATTTTTTCCCAAAATTGAGATGATGGCTGCAAGCCAGACAGATATTACCATTGTCTGTTTAACCTACATAATCTACAAGCATGTCGCTCTTTATATGAAAAAAAAAACAAAGTAAGCCTTGTATATGAGTTACAAAGATAATTATATCGGTGTATTACATGTCTCCTGCTACCAGGGACAACATATGTTACACATGTGGAACTACTTCGAGAACTATAGGAGCCAGGTCAAACATTAATGTGAAATAGCCACAGACTCTTCGGCCACACAATATGTTAAGGCAATAAATGTATTGATTAGCTAAGACTTGCATTAGCTAGACCAAGAGTCCTGGTACAAATCAAACCATCACACATGTGTGCCAAGTCACCGTGACGAGGAGGCTTGGACAGCTTAATGGCGAAAATGTATCTAGCCTTCCAGCTGTTTTCAATGATGGGACTACGTTTTGAGTGTATATATATATATGATAGAAAGGGACCAGGAAAGGGTGGGGGTGGGGGGGGTGGGGGGTGGGGGCTAGCTGGGCAAGGAGAATTGAGGAGCGGGGAGGGGGGGGGGGTATTAATGGTGGGGGCGAGGTACTCATTAAGGATCTGTAGATGTTTTCTGATACAGATGATTCGAAGTCTGTTTTCGTTAAGTTGATAATGCTTGTCATACCTGATTCTACATTTTTAAGCAGATATTTAGGTCAAACTGCACTTGGAGACGACTGTGCTAGCTAGCGGCGGCCTAGTTACTGAACAAAGCAGGAATTATGATAAAAATCGTGAACCAAGATACTCAACTGACTCACATAAAAAAGATAAGACTTTCATGTTTATGCGTAAAAACAATAACTAAGATACAAACTTACCGAAAAAAACCGGAACGTGCTTCGCTTCAGTTCTGTTTACATTATCAAAATTCCATCTTGGTCGTCACAATGCTTTTTCCCCACGAACGCACTCAATGCTTGCGTCTGCGATCAAATACACAGAACACATGTGTGTATATTTTCCCGGTGGCGCAATATATACGTGCTGGTGTGTATAATCGTTTGAGCGGACAATCTAATACACCTGTAACGTGGTACTAAGCAGTTACACTACATAAGCCGACATTTTAGCTTTAATGTACAGTACAGAAATAAAATTTAAAGCGTTCGGCACATTATTGATTTAATTCCAACATATTTGCATAGAAAATCATGACGCACTTCCGGTGCAGCAGGGAACACTGTAAAAAAACACACACATGTACAAGCTATTTTTTTCTATAACCTAATGATTGTGATTACTTCATTTCCTTTCGTTTTTAACTATTTACAGAATATAAGGAATTTATTTAAAATAAACCAGGCACACATGTTCCGTTTGGGAATCCCGGCATTCACATTCATTTATCTAAAGCCGATATTACCTTACATCATTCACTCAAAAGTAATCATAATGGTGCACACTAGCCTCTATGGGTAAGATATCCTTGTGTGTTTGTGTTCGTGTTTTAAGTTTTATCATATTCATCCACGATAATAGAATGGTTACTATCACGTTCGCAGTAATATATTCAGAACATATTGTAACGATCGATTTAAATATCACGAATTTTTATGTATCTTTTAGTCAAAATACCCTTTAGTTAGGATGGTAAGAAATTATTTTCGTTTATTATGAATCCAATACGAATATTGAAGCAAATTAGTCTATTTTCTTTTAAAAAAAAGAACAAGGAACTAATTTTCATGTTGGCATGAGATAATACATTGAATTTTTGGACTATAATTAAGTTTTTTTATCAACCATAATTGTCTGTAGGTGGAGGAAAGGAACGCGAAATAAGAAAACTGTTCAAAGAACTTCATGATGAATCATCCAACATAATGATTTAATTTATTTTTTATATTTTAGTGCTGAATGAAGTCAAACTTCATCAGTATTTTTCATCAAATAAAATTTGGTTTAATATCTCAGCCATGTGGAGATAGAAAGTAAGAAACACAGGTAAATCTCAGGTAAAAATCCTGCCTTGGCAGTGTTTTCCAAAACCATATCATCCTATTGTTCAAAAATGTTGGCACTCACAGATCGCTCCACTGAGACTTCTTCGGACGAGTACAATATGTGTTATACCCCATGTTTGGCCATCCTCTGTTCTTTTAGAAACTTTCTGTTACCAATTCTTATTTGAATATCAAGTCACAGTATCAATTATTTTCAACTTATTTCTCTTTAACAAAATTGTATTGTCTTCTTTCAGACCCAGAAGGGGCCATATGACGGGTTTGAATGTCTTGATGTGTTTCTTGTGGCTGTGTGGGGCTCCAAAAGGGACTTGTCATAGCTGTAAGCATGATTAGTTATCAACATTTGTTTGTTCGCTTTTCACAATACGGCTTTACACAAACAAAAAGTGACTTACTGTAAAATCAAATATTTCCAAGTGGCTTAATTTTCCAGAAAGTTGCTATTTCGCTGACGCTTGATTTCGTGGATAAATGTAACTTAATGTATAATTATATGAATTCATGGTTAAAAGTTTCCACAAAAATAACGAAAATAAATCCCCACGAAATTCATGATTTTACCGAAATTCTTTCTTTCCTCGCATGTCTTTGGGCTCACTCTGAATGTACTTTATCAGTAGGGGGGGGGAAGGGGGGGGGTGTCATTTTGCTGAATGATGATCTCACCTCCCGAAACGTTTTAAAATATTACAAAGACGTCGGAATAGGTACAAGTAACGAGCTCGCCGGTCCTTGCGTCCTCCCCACTCCCCTCCAACTGACCGCTGTAAACAGGTGATATCACGTGCGTTTAGATACACACGAATTACATATGCGAAGGTAACTTGAGAAGGGTGACATGTACTTTCGAGGATGAAAAAAAAACAAACTTTTACCATGCTCCCCAAAACACATTTCGGGGGAGCGTGTAGTCGCCGCTTTATCCTCCGTCTGTTCGTCCATTCGTGTCCGGAGCATAACTTCAGAATTTCATTTTCACCAGTTTCTTAGAACAAGTGAATTTCCTTACTGTTAAACGTTACACAAAATGTAGTGCCCACGAAAGAGCTCTTTAAATTATTTTTAAACCAAAAAACTTTTGCCTCACGACAAATGATCACAGAACATGTGACGATTTAAAGCCGCACGTATGACCTATATGTACGTTAAAAATTGAGGTTATACGCGTACGTGTAGTTATAAAACATGTGACCAAGATTTTCGTATGCTAGAATTTTATCTAAAAAGAACACTGATATTCAAAACATGCGTCAAAATTGGTTAAAGGTGCTGCAAAAACTTGATGTTATGACATCATGAAAGCATGGTCATTCGCGCACGGCATCTGTTTTTTTTTTTTTCAATTTAAAAACCGTTAATTTGTATTATCGCGGAATTCCGCTTTTAAATAGTTGTCATGAATTTCATAAAAATACCTTTTTCATGGACACTTGAATTCGTCGATACATCTAACCAGAAAATCTGATTAAGAGGATCCGGGAAATCAAGGAAAATATTTCTCTCGCGAAAATTAACGATTTCTCAGTAAATGAGACGTATAAGGCGGTTAAGGAATATGTGGCAATGCCATGCAAATGTACTTCTTTTAAGTGCTTAATGAACGGAATAAACATACACATTTGCCATACTTTGGTAATATTTTACGGATTTGTATCAAACTGATATATCATTTAAGTTTTTGCTTGTGACAAAGTTTTGTACTTTTATTTAATTATAATTTTAAGATCTTTATTATCTTTTAGATTCTCCCCAATGTCCCTACCTCAGCGCTGAGACAGAAATCGCTCCATTCATGGTAAAAGGTAATATATATATATATATTTGAGATTTATCATTACATCATCAAGGTACAGAAAATGAATGTATTAGAATGTCAACTTCACGAGACATGGAGGCGACTGATGTGGGCAGACTCGTTTCCGTTTCTTTTAAATGCTCTTAAACATTGGACAGATCGGTTAGTCTAAATCTACTTTTTTCCATAATATTGCCAAATCTTACTTTACTTTCGTTTGAGAACTTCTGCCATCCGCCGAAGTTTTATTTCACGGTTTCCTTATCAAAGTAGCAGGAAGACAAAACACGATGGTGATAGAGAGGAGATTCGCTCCCTCACTATCGCGTTTTTGTTCTCTCTTTCGTTTAAGTTTAGGTTGAAAAAGCACAAGAGAAATCGCTGAAATCTTTATCTCAACACTCTAGTCATGGATTGTAATTTAGTTGGAATTGTTGTTAATAGATAGCTGATATGTTGCAATAACTTGAGCCACATTTCCTTTTTTCAATTGAAGTTGAAAGTCATATACAACATGAAAAGGCTGTACACAGAAATAAAACTTAAGCCATTTTGCTTTCAGAGGGATGCTACGGACGTCAAGAAATCATCTGTAAGTATATGGAACACATTCAGAATTACCGTGTACAAGCAGTCCGTCTTCTAACCAAAATCTGTCCCAAATATGTCTATGCCAAGCAACAGTCCACGTGGCTGGACAATGTCGGAACTAACAATTTGAAGATGACTGACCAGTTGTATAAATCATTACACGGACTTACAACCATAGTACATGCCAGTAACAAACTAGATGCGATAATGAATAAACAATTATTCCAGTATCTCGGAACTCAACCGGCGGAGAAAATGTCTTTTTTCTCGTTTATGGATAAATTAATGCAGCCACTTGAATATAAGCTGTTCACTATTGAAACATTTGTCAATGAACAATCAGACATACCGTTGTTCGTGGAACTACGAGGAATTCGGAAAATCGAGGAATTGTCTGTTCAAAATTTAATAAAGCTTTTGTCAGAATTTGATACAAATTTTAACATTTCATTCAATGAGATCCGCGAAGAAAGAAACATTGTCGCGTTTTATTTGAAAATGTTTTCTTCGAATGCGTTATCGTCCGATGCCGAAATTCTGTGTCATCCACATCACCCAAAATATATCGCAACGTACACAGGCTATCAACAGAGAGCCGAAAAATTTCCTCGGACGTGGAGAGTTGTGATGCGCATGATATACACCAAGGAAGGACTTCGGTTGCCAAACGTACCTACGATACTGCTAAAAAGAAAAACCCGGCGCCCAACTGAGGACAAAGACTTGTACAAGCCAATCCTGTCTAAATTGAAATCGGCACGAGCTAAATATTATGATCCGGATACGTTTCGATTGAAATTGGCAACTATTTTTTATTTCACACTACAAGGGGTCGATTGGGCTAAAAACACATGCGAAGTGATTCAACGGATGGAAGGGGATATTATGCGATTAGCGAAGGACAAAGACTGGCTTGCTGTGCAGTACCATATGTATACTTTGATAAACACATATGAAAGGTTCGTCAGAAATCTTCGCGATTTCGATGTTGATCTAAATGTAGAACATGTATCTAGTTACCCGGATGTGGAGAAACTTTCTGAAAGCTGCGTTGCTGAATTTCACGACCTCTTGAATATTCTTGGGGATATTTTGCACACCATAGAGGGTCAAAGCACCGTTGAACATTTTGAATCATTAACAAACGACGAAATTCAACTTATGCACAATGAATCCCAAGGTTTTCAAAACCCAACTATGAGTAGATACCAAGAACACAAACTACTCCCATTGATAAAAGCCGAGTTTGATATTGGGCATCTCGAGGATTGGATGCGATCTAGAGTATTTTTATACGAAGAACTACTGCGACACTCAAACGAAAAGCGATCCGTCAGTTATATTCTAGAATCTTTGGAAGTTTATGTTTGCCAATATGGCGGTGCATTTGTCACTTTGGATGAACTGGTGTCACCAGAAGAAATACTATGTACGTTGTCAACTCTGAGAATGGATTTTCTTGATTACGATTCATATTCATTTCACGTGTTGCGAGAAAAATGTGGGTCTTCCAAATATTCTTCGACTAATCTCTGCGACGACATATTTGCCTTGCGCAAAGACGTTCTTCTTGAACAGGAAGTCCGTGTAGCAGTTGACAGTAAAGGAATCAACGACGTAGGTTTTATCTGTGATGAAATGTACAATAAAATCAGACATGACGCTATGCTTCGAAAATACCGACTGACTGTTTCAAAGATTGACATATTACAGATTATTAATCGGCTGTATCCCGAAAAGCAACAGTTTGGATTTTACCCAATGTCGGTTTTCAGACAGAATAGCCAGCCAGTGTCTGAGGAATTCTTTGCGAGAATTTCCTCGTTTGCTATCGACCAAAGGAACGCAGAAATGACGCAAATATTGCGAAATTATTTCTGCGATAATCACGGCTTCTGTGTCGAACATAAGACATCTCTAAACGAGTCTAAAATGAAGCTGAGTAATGATAGGGCACACGTTGTATATAACGAAACATATACTGCATTTAGGAATACCACAATGCCACGATCTTCTGCTAGAACACAGACAGAGGACCAGGTGTCTTTAGCGCCAATAGCTCACGTAAACAACCCAATTTTAATCATTCTTTTGGTTTGTAACTTTGCAAAGCAAATTATGTAAAAATGAAAAATGCGTGGAAGTTTACACTTTCCAAGTATAGTTTACCATAGTCATTCCGGATATCTAATTACTTTCTGACTGGTTGACAATTTTCTATTTTAAAGAAGAAATTGACAGATTAAGAAGAACACTTGGATCGATGAAAATTTACTTAGTATAATTATTTCTTTTATTTATTTTTGTTTCGTGTTTTGTTTGTCAGTTTGCATTTCTTTATATTCAATTTTGCTTTGTTTAACTTATATATAGATTTTGATTACAAAGGAAATTAAGATATTTTTTTTTATTGCAGCCTTGAAACGAAGTCTAGGAGCATATTCTTAATTTCATTTCAATGTGTGTACTATTAAGAATACTTACATGTAAGTTAATCGGTAGTAGTATACAGTTTTTTGGTGTGACCATGGGTGACATTTTTGACCATTAGATTACCCCATTATAAAGGTTTAAATTAAAATCTTAAAAAGATAAATCCTTGCTTAAATTGGTCTTGTAATGTTGAAGTGGACAATGTAGGGTTTCATTTTTTTCAGAATAATATTTTAGCTTTGTGTTGAATATTACTATTTGGACAGTCTCGAATCTGTGTCTACGCACCAAAAACTAGCTTTACAGGAAGTGAAATTTTCATAGTGTTTACATGTGGTCATGTTATGAAGGATTTCCGAGTTGGAATTAGCTGAAATGTATTATTTATTATATCTTTTATTGTATCATTAAATTGTACATATCAATCAATTTACTATACAATCAATTTCAATCAATTTTTTTTTACAATCAATGTATTATTTGAGTTCATCATTATATGATTCGGTTTGTCATGCTGTTATTAGCGTTTGTGATTTCATAATTTAGATTCATCAATATAGGGTCCCCTATAGCTAACTAAGTTAGAGCGTTGTCTTGTGACTCGAGATCCGAAGTGCGTAGTCCGATGCTCCCTACACCCGAGGTGGTTTGGAAAAGCTGAAAAAGGACCAATCTGGGTCGTCGTGATTGTGCCCTTAGGTAAGTTTCTGTGATAACCCTGGCTGTTCACGAGTCACGAGTCAATATCAGAAACCCCGAAAACAAGTTTAAATCGATATATGATCTGGTCTCATTCTTGTCAGTCTTCATAACTCCAATTATCATTACATTTGTAGATGTGAGCTTATTATTTTTTGAGACTTGGTTAATTTGTTTTCAAGAATCCCGTGTACAAATACATTTACAAGAGAATAGGTTAAGAATGGTTTTCTAAATAAGATGCTTCATTTGAAAAAAATTAATGCTTAAATAGAAAATACGTGGTCAGTGTCTTAACATTTAAGCTGTATTTTGTCTTTCCGTCCCGAGGCCAAAATGCAGCTTACATTTTAAGATACTCATTTATCCTGCAACATTGATTGAAAACCAGACGATCAAAACTTCAACAGTTTTGTTGCTTATTCTTTGTTTACCAGTGACATTGACGTTACGCTGAATTTGGCCTGGTGACGTACGCCAAAAAGCCATTGCTCCGCGCAGAAATGTAGTTCCAAACTTCAACGAATGTAACAGCGATTTTGTGAATTGCAGTAAATAACCTTGTTCATTACAACATATGAAATCGCTTATTTCAATACTAATTTTTATTGTAAAAGGTATTTTTGAAGTAATTTAAGAAAGTAATAAAACGGCTGTTTTCAGTCACTGCCGAACACATCAATAATACATGTGACAGGTGTATTCCGTCAATGTCAGCTAGTTGCAGGATAAAACATGTTATGAGTTGACCATGAGTCTTTATCAATATAAAAATAGATTTCAAGTATTTATTTTATCCAGCAGATTACATATTTGTTCATCTTCTGAATTATTTGAATTTTGTCTGTATAATTTTCATTCGGTACTTTTGACCTGTACAAGGATGTATTTCTTATTCATTTGCTAATACATTCTTTTAATGGGATTTGAATATCTATATGTTGAAAATCAATTTTAAATTGTACATAAATTCAACTTAAGTATTTAACTAAAAGCGACAATTTATCTTCTAGTATCTGAAATCGATATCCGAAAATGTACTTTGATAGTTCAGATTTGTTCGGAAACTGTTATCTTTTTGAAGAATCTGGAAATACCAACCTTTACATTGTCATGTTTACACAATCACATTAGTTCTATTGTGTATGTTTTAATTTTAGATATTATGTCATAAAGAATCGGACAAAGCATGTAACGGAAGTTCCGAATTAGATAATGATTAGATTAAATAATTAGAAATACGTACACCGTTCTCATTTCCGAATTCCACATGCATGAGTTGTTTTTAAAAGTACTGAAGGGCCCAATAACAGTACTAGCACTAAATATTTGAATAAATTTGTTGTTTGTTTCAAAAGTACTGAAGAAAATCCCAATAAATCAACGAGAAGTGAATTTTTTGTTTTCGTTGTTAATCATCGTCCTGTTGATCTCATCATTATCTGTTTTTCACACCATAAACAGCAATCTATCAAGATTTTTTAAAAAGGAATCATTGCCTTATAAGTTCATATTTTAATTGATATGTGTGTATGTGACAGTTTTGTACAATAAAATTAACCCTTTAGAAAACATACATATTGCGTGTTCATAATCAATTAAAATGAATATCTATAAAAAAAATAATTTAACTATTTCGTATGAAATTAATTTAAATTTTAACGTGAAAAAACATAGAAAAAAATACTAATTTGCTCCAAGTAAACCAGGAAATTGATATCGGTTCATTTAATGAACTCAAGTTTAGTCAAAAATATATATATAATATGTGAGTGTGTTCCGGACTGACGGAGACGATACCCGGACACAGAATAAGTCGCGCAAACGGAAAACCTGTGTTTTCGGTTTCAAGTATTCATTTCCTCGGTACTTCAGCATATAGCCCCGTCTGTCTCTTACATCATAAACTGCCACACGATACATTTCAAAACGAAAATAAAGTTTGTATTTGTATTTATTTATTTATAAAAAACGATACGGAACTATCTCTAGAAATAGCCTGAAGTTTAATGAGCTTACCAAATTACCCAATACGAAACAGTAATAATCTGAGGCCTTTCAGTAATTGAGGAAGACGTTTTATTTGATTATTCAAACACTTTCGGTTTCAGAAATTGAGAAAAAAAAACAAACAAAATTCTAATTTGCATTATAACGTTGTATACGGCCCATATCATCGGGAATATTATTAAACTCCGGATTTGGATCATTTTAAATTCATTGATCAACTATAGTCGTTTCCATGGATGCGAGGAACGAAAGGAGAATTTAGACCAGGAAGTTGATAAGACCACTGTCACAAACCCTACAAGTGTGCTATCAACTATGACCCGTTTCGCCTGGTCCGGTGTGGTAGCCAAAGGGACCGAATCATCTGTTGAAACAAGCAAGGCGTTAGCTAACATTTAAATGGAATTTATAGATTGGTAGTATGTGGGGAAAACCCCTAACAAAACAGAACAAAAAAAGGGGAAAACATTTATCTATTTATGTTAACGGGTATTACGTCCACTATTACGACCTTTCGGTCTTTCGGCGGACGAGGAAAAACATTTAACAACACAGAGAGATATCGGGTCGAATTTTGCTCAGTGTGATGTCAGTCATCAAAAAGACTTTATCGGCGACACCATACTGACAGATTGAAACGAAGGGCAGTAACTCTTGTTTATCAGAATGTCGGGAAAATGCTTTGTGTTATTTTCTTCGTTCTGATCTCCCTGATGCAGATATATATATAAAACGTTATACGTCTCTCGGATATATGCTGTAGTACCAAAGTCTGAGACAAATTTTTGACCAAATATGGTAACTTATAATTACCGCTGTGGAGTTTATCAAATATAGTCTAGATAGCGTTATCTACAACAACCGAGCAACAACAACATCAACAACAACAACATCATCATCATCATCATCAACAACAACAACAACAACAAAAACAACAACAACAACAACAGCAACAATTAACAACGACGACAAGGGAAATGTCCATATAATCTGAATTCAAACTCAGTGTCGACTGAAACGATGGTAAAATATAAAATGTATACACAAAATTATTATTGACACGGATTTTTAGAAATGATGAAAAAACGGTCCAGAAGAAAGAGTAGGCTTACTAAGCTTCATCTACACAACATCTGAGGCATCGTCACAATGTTTACAACGGTTTACGAACCGTGTACATATATACTCCAGGTTAATTGGTTGATATTTCACAAAGTCGTTGAAAGTGAAGTAAAAACAATTAAAAAACAAATAAATAAATAAACTTCAATTTGTGTTCCCATTGAGCTTGGAACCAGGTGAACGGTAGCGTAATGCAACAGGCAGGGGGTACGTCTATATAATAAGGCCCATATAGTCGATAAACGTAGGAAATAAAATCATATAATTTGGATATATTGATGTCGACGATTCTTTTTCTACGTGCAAAGACAACTCTTAGATTGTAACAATATATTGTATTTTAAAAATAAAATTTCAATTTAGCTTGCAAATAGTCGTTGCATTCTGTACTTATTAATGTTTTGTTCTGTTGATTGCCTAGCTACGACGCCATATTGAATGTAAACTGTAACGAGAGGGGGATTGATTTTGAAGACAGAGTTGAGTTTCAGTGAAGTTTATGAAACAACACCCCAATCAATGCGTGCCTAGTTGTAAGTTAACAATTTTTATTCATAAATAGCGATAAACAGTAGATTTTTTAGTCGAACAGAGAAGATACACCTAATTACTGTTGTAAACGCTGGGCAACTTTCGAATATATATGGCCAAGGTGCTCGATCGGATGTCGGCGTGATCACTTCTGATAAATATGTCTGTTTAATCCTGGTTAGTATCAAATTAGACATGCTATTTTAGCGGATCAAACATTCTTTTTGCGTATGATAGGCCTAACGCAATGGGACTTGAAATATTACTTGGGAAGTATACTAAAAAGAAGACGGACGGACTGACGGAGAGCAAGGAAACTTCATTTTCCTTTAAACAGGATCTGAAAATAACTTGTCTGATACATCGATGCGAGCTGGCTTTGCTTTAATATTTCAACGAAAACCATTTTGATAAAATACATGTGATAACAAATTTAGATTTTATTCTCCACTTACAAAGGGAGTGAGAGAGAAAAAAAAAACATTTCTTCGACAAGGCCCACCAGAGATGGGTAAATAAAGATATATTGAACAAAAGACTTCTGAACGTATGTGAAGTGTTTATGAATGTAACCAAAACACATAAACCTGCAATATGCTAATGGCCGACACATTACAAATTACCTCCAAGTCATAGTTAGGGGGTAGTTTTATTGCAGGAAAATGCTGTTGAAAGACAACACAATGCTTATAGATGATGTTGGCAAATTGGATTAAAAGTGGAGCCATTATTCTGGTTTATAATTAATTCAAATGGTTGTTATGCCTTCATTCTCTAAATTAGTTTTTATTTTTGAAGACTATTTTTTGTCATGAGGTAGATGTATCTCTATTTTTTTTGATAAATTAAGCAGGAAAACATTTTTTTTGTTAAAGTGTTTATTGTCCATTCTTTTGAACAGCTAATACTGTAGATATGGATATAGAAACAGATAGATTACCAGATATGGGCATATTGGGTTTGTAAATATGGTGTGTATCAGTGAGAGCAAAATCTGGAGTAAACAAAACAAAACTCTATAAAGCATTTATTGATGTATACTGAGTTTTGTGGGTTTCATGAAACTTAAGAGTATGCGAGGAATTGGATGATTATAACTTGAGTTTTGTATGTAAGACACATATAGATAAAGAGTCACAGGTATAGGAATATGTAGCTAGTCACCTGTTTTGTGATATTTCAGTTTGAAATAAAATGTATAAAAAATAGCCTTTTAAAAAGCTTCTAAATTGTGGTGCCAATCTATAAATTGAAGGGTTGTACACTGTTTAAAAAAGTTTCATACTTTTGGGTGTAAAACCTTCAAATGGTAATTATCACTTTATAAGAAATTTAGAATTCAGTCTATAGGTATATAGTGTCACAAATGGATGAAGGGGACATATTTGATGTGTGTAACATTTTCATTCTCAGTATTTATGTGGCAATAAACCCACACCTAGTAATAAGCCCATCCATAACTATAGCTGTTCAGTAGCACCACAGATAAAAAAAATAAATGTAATTGTTCTGTAATAAGGCAACCTCTGACTTTAAGTCAACGTAGATATGTTGGCCCCTGGGCTTATTGTAGGACAAATTTTTGAGTCTGATTGATGTTTTAATGATTATTTCAGAAAAAAAAAATCATGTCTTCATCAAGACAGAGTAAAAGCTCTCATGGAGGGAAGCCTTTTTCCGCCAACCGAACTAGATTGGACAGTGGTGTGAAAACCACGGTAGATGGTCAACGATACCCAGAGATTAAACAGAGAGGTTACTACTCTGATATCATAGGAGAAAATGCCAATGATGGACGACTAGGGGTAAGAAATATTAGTTAGCAAGATACAGAATTTTCTGGGCATGAAATGAAAAGAAAAACTTGTTAAATTGGTATTAAATGAATGTAATTTTTATTTGAAAATTATCTCATCATTAAACAAATGTCAAACAATCAACTATTAAATAAAATAGTTATAATTTTAATTCAAAATTCAGTGATTTATTTTTTGCCCAGATTTATGCAAACCCTCCCACCTCTTCCCCAACCCTCCAAAAAAGACTAATTCCCTTAGATAAAATGTGTGTTATTTTTCCAAAATTAAGCAAAATCCAAAACTATTTATTAAACTTGAAAATATTCTCACTGAAATTCTTACTATATTTTCCCTATTTACCAAGGCACAAGTGTTTGTAAAATCAAGATGGAAAAATCACCTCAGTTTTAACTATATTAATATTGATATATAAAATGGCACCTTTTGCCTTTAGTGATTTGGAATATCTTCACATCTTCTACTAAAAAGGAAGTAATAGAGGATGTGATTCCTTTTGAAATTTTACATCTAGAATCCCAATGCTTTTTGTGTATGATTTCAATGATCTTGATAAAATCAAATTTTTCTGCCAGAAATGTATTTTTTTCCTTTTCATTAGATTTCATATTCGAACATGGTCAAATTTGATGTTGTCATTCTCTTCAAATTGTTTGTGATGTTATTTCATAACCAGGTATAAATACCAGCTGTACAGTCTTGGCAAATTGCCAAGATATTGACACATTGGAACATTAACACTCCAAGAGTATTTTAAACTGTTCTTTCATACTAAGCCAATCTGATTTGTTCTGTAGGATGTATTGACAGGTCCTCTAACAGCGCAGGATACACTTTGGAATGTGTCCAAGGAAAAACACACACCACGAGGTAACTTTTATTTATAAAACTAAATTATTATAGTTTGATCCAACTCCAAAACCACATGACGCATAAATGCAAATTTTAAAATCAGATCTGTTTTGTGCCCATATTTGAATTGCATAAATGAAATGAATTGTATTACTTCTACACATCCTAGTGCTAAAATTTATTTCAATAATTACAAAATTATTATAAATAAAATTCAACCTCCTTTTTATAACAAAAATGAGTCGAGAAATCTACCAGTCGTCTCCATATCTATACCAATATTCTGTTTGCAGTGACAACATTTGATGAAAATCCTGATGTGTTGAATAAACTACAGAAACAGGTTTATGGACCTAGCTCTGAAATCACCACAATATCTGTAAGTCCGGTTCTTAAGCTTTTACAATAAAAAGAATCATTCCAGACAAACATGATTTCAGCGATTTTATTTCCATAAATGTTTACACTACTGTGTTAAAAAAATATACTTTGGTATATTATTTGAATGATGTGGTGTTTCTTGACTGGAAAATCTTGCCTCCATTCCAATTTTCCCCAGAAAGATTTGTACACATTATTGTGGTTTAATTGTGTTGGTCTTTAATCAGATTGTAAATTTTTTTTTGTTTCAGGACTTTCCCAGGCAGGCATCAGAGCCTAAAGTACAGTTACCTTTTTACACAAAACCTGGAGAATGTCCCAGAAAAATTGAGATTGAAAGGTTTGCTCAAATTATCATGTATTGTGAAAAAAAAATTAAAAAATAGCAATAAATTTAAGATTGAACCAAGAAAACATACTGTATACCTGAATTTTAAGAATTTGAAATTTGTTTAGGACTTTCATTCCAAAAGTTGGTGTGTATGTTTTCTTATTCTTGTTCTGTAAAATTTGAAATTTTGTGGCGAAATATTTTCTGTAAAATTTGAACCCTCAAAGTAAATGTTTGCTGGGAAGAAAATTTCCATAATAAAAGTGGAATTTGTAAGCAGTTCAAGTAAAAACTTGCATATAAGATGACTTAAAAAACATTTTCGTGAGCCTGTAGATTCTTCCATAAATAAACCTACATTTGCTTACTATTGAAGAAAATAAGCTGCTCCTTATTTTGAGATTTTACGGTATCCTGGTAAATTTTTGTATCTCTAACATTGTTGCATTTTGATTTTTTAACAGACGGAGACGTCTATATAACACACTAGAGTTACAAACTCTGCTAGTGGAGGAGGGGATCAAAACAGAACAGTTGATGCCAAAAACCCAAAATGGGTCTGTACAGTTGAACTCTGACCCCGAAGATCCCGCCCCGTTCCCACCTTACCTGCCTCTGGACATTTTTGATAATGAGGAGTTTGATTGTCGCCTTCCATCAGAATGGATCGCTATGGGAATGGAGAATGGCCTAAGAAAACCTGTGCCTGGATTGGCACTTCTGCCTACGGATGATAAAAAGAAAGATTGTAAGTACTGTAAAATGTTTATGTCATTTTTTATCTTACTATAGACCGGTGGAGCCAACTTACAAATTCTTGTGTAAGGTCAGCCAGTGGGCTTACTGCAAAACGATGGAATAGTTTAAATTTCTGGAGTGACTACCTAGGCTTATTAACAGTAAGAGCAAGTTTTTGATAACTTGACAAAGATCTGAAACATAAACATGTTGAGTTTTGTTGTTGTTTCAGTGGATCCTATGGACCCTAGTATAGTGTATGATTGGTTTGAGGTTGGAGTCTTGGACTATGATGACAACAACAAACATTATCTTGTCCAGAAAGTCAATGATCAAGGTCGCATTCTAGACAACACTGGGAAACCAGTGGTCAACGGGGGAGTACAGGCTGATGGTGAGTATAATCACTCGTTGACCAGATGTAGCTTAATGAATTTTCATTTCTGATCTAAAGTTTAAAATTTTGAGTTGCATTTAGACAGCAAGTCAACTTGATATTCAGTTGTTGGGATGCAATTTTGAAATTCTGTTCAATGAAAATTCATATTGAAACCTGTGAAAAATGAATTTTGCAACTTTAAAGAAAATAAGTTTTCTGTTATCATCAATTATGAGATAAAAAGTTATTTTAAAATGTTTTTCATCATATTCTTTAAAACCAAAAATGTTTTCCTGTTGTGACAAGACAGTTATTAAGATCTCTTTTAATCATACTTTCAAATTGAATTCTCTGTTGTTAAAGCAGTCAGTATATTATTTGATTAGAAAGATTGCGTTAATATCCACTATTTACAGATCGTTTTCGGTAGTCAGTGTTCACTATTTATCAAAACATGTGTCTATATGAGGACTTATTAGTTGTAATATTCCAGAAACAGAACATTTGAAATCTTATTATGACCATTTCATTTAATACCAATTTTTTTGGCAAGCTTTTTTGAGATACTCTAAATCATTAGGTCAAATACGTGAAACATCATAAGTAATTTTAGAAAAGACGAAATTGATTATCTGAATTATTTCTGTAATATTCATGTATGGCATTGACAGAAAAAACATATTTTTCAATTTCAGGAACTCGTCTGTCCTTGCGACAGCAATATATGATCCCAAGAGTGCGCCTCATGTTTAAAGGAGAGGACCCATGTGTATTTGCTCGTCGAGTGAGTTCAGCTTTTCGTCTGAGGAAGGAGACGGAAGCATTGTTGAGGTATAACCTCTACATTGACTGTATGCCCATGGACGGTGTTGGTGAGCTAGACCAGGCTTCTCTCAAGAGAATGATTGACTGTGCCAAGAACTCACCAGGTCTTGGAAAAGACAAGGGGTAATTTGAACTCAGTCGATATTGATCAGAACGTCATTCATCTTTAGTTAACCTGCTCAAATTACATGTAATCATTAGAATCTTGGGATATGTATCCGTTTATCTGTCATAAATTTTGTATATGAAATACTACTTATCTTAAGTAGTTGAACAGATTTTAACCAAATTTTGTATGGATCATCCCAAGGACAAGAGATGTTACAACATTCATCTGTATACTTATCAAGGTTAAGGATTTTTGCATGATGTTTTTGTAAAGAAAGCAGGATGAAAAAACCCAACAATTTGTGAAGTTGTCACCAACTTGACAGAGTTTCCCATCAGGGAATTCAATAAAACAGATTTTATTGCAGACAAATACTGTTATTATCATTAATCATTAATATTCGATTTGCATATGATGCTATTTTGAAATCTTCAACTTTGATTTATGAACAGAAAAAGACCTAATAGTATTTTGCAAAGTGTGACTGATTTTCATATGCTTGTACCTGGTATGTACATTTTATTTCATATTATTTCGCCAGACTGGAAGATTATGTACAAGTACTAGAGAAAGAAGTCAACATTGACTTCTGTCGCTCCATGAACAGAATCATATTTGACCAGACCGTCGAGGACGATCCAGTTACCTTTGCTTTCATCACAAAACCTGAACCGAGTGTTCAGCCCGTCCCTGAGAAAGGTAAGTGTGAATTGAGTTGAGTTAAAACATACAAAAATATAAACAGTTTTACCATAGACTGAAAAAGAAACTTTTTGATTTTCTGGACAGTTATTCAATGGTCAAGGTCACTAATAGAATTGTTCTGAATGATTTTTAGGCTGGATATTGGTCCATTTATAAGTACAATAACACAAGACTTCACAATAGTAGTCCTTTCCAAATGGAAATCTTTGCATTGTAAAGGATTTCTTTCTTTACATGATTCAAAACACTTGCATTATGAAATGCTTGAATTAAAAATCATAATTTTTTAAATGAAAGTCAGGAGTTGGATTTTTCTGTGTGGTTGTCACTAATTATTTTACTTTCAATGTATCTCTTTTTTAGAAAATTTTTTAATATAGTGAAAAAATCCCCCGTCCTCCTCCTCCACAATAAGAAAATCTACATGTATGTCATTAGTAGATATGATATATTTTCTCTGTCATCTACCCACCCCCAGGTTGCTGTATGGACATAGAACCATACGAGTATGATGACCAGTACGACCAGTTTGCATTTAAGTCATTATTGACCTTGGTCGAGAGTATCCAGGCCTGTGGTAAAGTACGCACAGAGTGTAACAAAGTGGCTGTCATGTCACTGTTTCACATCCCCACCACCAAACCCATGAGGTTGGAGGAGTTCGAACAGACACAGTCCCAAGCCACATCACAGGTAGGTGGAGCGTTAAAGACATTAGTAATGTTTTCCTGTAAAGTGCCAATACTGTTATGAAGGAAATTCATCGCTAAAGAAATATATGGGAGAATGGATGATGCATTTTAATTCTACTATGAGGAGTTAACATAACCTGCATGGATCTGATCAGTGATATCATTTGAAGGAAATTTTCTTGTGTGCAATTTATTTTAAATATTGCTTTTATATCCTGTTTTGTTAAAAGCGAAATTTTTGCTTGAACTTGTTAATTTTTGTACAGGTTTTATTCATTTTCCTTTGTTGAATTTATCTTACAAATACTGAAATGAAATTATCTCTAAAAAATTCATTAAGTTTTTTCTTACTTTTCCAATTTTTGTAATTCTTTTCCTCTAGGTATCGCTGTTTTTAAAAGACAGCTGGATCTCAACACTGAGGAATGCCATCCGAACATCTCTACGTGATGTGGGAAAGGGTTGGTTCAACATCCATGAGACTAACTTTGAAGTATACCAGATCTCTAAGCTGAAGGCCTTTATGGAAATGGTGAAATTCATCATGCAGGACTCGATGAGATACCTTGTCCAGGATTCTCTTGTTAACTTCACACAGATGGTGATGGATGCTTGTCACTCTACACTCAAGCTGGAAGATAACTTTGTTTGGGGCCCGGACTTTATCACAAGTACCTACAAGTGGGTGTTAGGACATCACTTTCATCCTCAGATTCATTTTTATCAGTATTTAAGTTTTTGTATGAGAATTCCTTTTCAAAATTTACAAACTTTTCAAGAAAAAAAATATGAATGGTTTTATTCCATGAAGATTGAAATTGGTTTTTTTTTTTTATTGACACTGATTCCAGAATTTCCTTAGATCATTTGAAAACTCAGATTTACTGAGTGCTGAAAGAGTCACAGTTTATATCTGTGTTACAAGTGAAGATTTGGTATGCTAAATATCAAGATGCCATATGACGTAATTAAAGTTAAAAAAAAATTGACTGTGTTCTGGATTTTTAAACTGCTATGCTTTTAGCTGGGCATTTCAGAGGTCGTTTATTTTGTTTTTAAATGTTTTGGTTTTGTAAGTTAGATTTATTATATTATTTGTTACTAATATTTCAGACCCAAGAAGAATGCCCTGTTCCTAGTAGATCTGATCCTTGACCCACAGGGTGTCCACTACAGCACTAACCTGAACAGCTTTGAGACCATGCTCATTGGTCTGTTTGATAAGGGCATACAGTCTACACAAAACATCCCACAGCTTGAAAAGGTGACATAATCTTATACATTTATGGACCTAGAGGGAGGTTGATATGAGGATTTATTAACCTGTAACAGTGTTATTCACCCAGTTGAAATTTCAGATTATTTCTCTAAGATCATGGATAGACATATCATTTAGATGTAATATTTCAAGTGAAAGAATCAGAGAACAGTTGTTTAAATGTCATGGTTTTGTACCTCTGTGCATTCCCTCTTACTTTAAGTCATGGGTTAGGGCTGTCATTATTATCATCATTTAGTAGATCTTCTGAAAAGTAATACATTTTATATTACATTATGTTTTACATTATATCGGTATATTTCAGGTTTAATAATCAAACATAACCTTGTGTTTTGTAAACAGATGCATTTTGAAAATAATTTTTCCTGAAGTGTTTTTATCAAAGGTGGGTTGGTAAATGGACAAAAATAAATGATTGGGTTTGCACTGGTATTGATGAAGAGTTCTTATTATAGTATATTCTGGAGGACATATTCTGGTCAGGAACACCTTTGCTGGAGTCAGTCGGGGAACATGAGCCGCCAGTGGAAGAACTGCGCCACAACATTATAAACGCCATTAACAGAGCCCTCATCCCACTCAAGGCGTACGCTCGTGAGTACGAGAAACATCTAGAACTGATGAACCTGGACATCAATAAATACATACAGTAAGTTATCTGACTGCCTCAAAGTATCAGAAATTTTCCTTTCTTTAATTTTTTGTTCTGATCAGAACACTTATAAATGTCCAACATTTTCTCTGCTTGCTTCAATCCCTTAATATTATTTTCTAGCACAAACCAATGCATTTCTAGTTCTGCATTCATTTCAAATACTGAAAGCTGTATAGCCATTTGTTTCTTTTTTTCATCTTCACAAGAATGATATTTTGGCTCTTTTCACAATACATTAAAGTTGACAACACAAGTTAAAAAATTGTATTTTGAGATTAAAAAATTTCCCAAATGTTTTGGAGATGCCAACACGATTACAATATCTTCTGGTTAGCCTATCTAAGGGAATGGTAGACATTTTAGTCCAAACCTTGCTTGGAAATGATTTCAGGCATCCCAGGGTATAAAAGGCTTGCAATCTGTCATTTACTTGCATTGTCAGTTTTTACGTAATTAGGAAAATTTCATCTGTGAAATAATGAGACAGGTTCGTTATAGATGTCCGTTTTACATCCAGATTGAGAAATTTTAATTCATCTATAAAGAAAATCATGAAAATTTTTGACCCCAAAAAATTACCAATCATGTTTGTTGTGATCTTGATGTTGACAGGGAGTATGAAGCCACTGAACACACTGCTCAAGAGGTCAAGAATGAGGTCGAGATGCACCTGAAAGAGAAGGAGATCATTGAAGCTACCATCCCAAGTAACATCATCATCGGACCTTTCTGGGTCATCACCGATTCTGTCAAACAGAATCTATCAAAGAAGCGAAAGAACCTGAGTAATGTTGTTCTCGAGTTACTAGCTAGGCAGCTCAGGAAACAAGCTGACGACGTAAGTCAACAGGAGATTTTTTTTATACTTGTTAAGGATGAAAATTCACAAATCAGAATTCATTGATTTAAGAATTGTCTTTAATCTCATTTAATTATAGACTTTTACCCTTAATTTGTATACTGTAAATTTAAAAAAAAAAATGTAATTTTACCCAAAGTCTAAAGCAAAAACTTTTATGTGAATTATTCGAGTGGTTATGATTTGGTCTTATAATTTTGTTTTCAGTTGATTATTTTCAGTTGATCTTTTTTTTGGCCATTTTTTTCTTTCCTTGAAAACTGCTGAAAGTAAAACCTCTCAAAAAATTACAACTGCAACAGTATTTCTGAATTAGAAAATTTCACTTATTTTTTATGTATTTATATATATCAATAATGTAAAATTGAATTTGAATTTGATTAAATTTTGTTAGAGAAATGATGTATATGGATATGGATTTGATGATTGACTTGTGTTTAACAGGCATGTGAAGAGTTCAAGGCCATCAGTCGGAAACTCTACGACAAACCAAACTGTGTAGAGGAACTGTCCGAGATGAGGGAATGGATGAAAGGAATCCCAGACAAACTGAAAGAGCACCAGGTAAGAGAGCACCAAAGATCTCCAAATAAAAAAACTGTGCTAAAATTCTCACTGATGAAGTAAACTGTAGCAAATAATGTCAAATTATACAGCTTCATAAGGTTCATTTTTGGTGGTTTAAAAAAAGATTGATTTCGTGGAAAAAATAAAGCTCTTTAAATGTACTTATACTAGTTATGACAGTTCATGGGCATATGAACTCATGAAATTGAAATAAATGAAGAATGAATCCCAAATGAAATTGAAGTTTCTTGGTTTTAAGTCGTATTAAATTTTTGTTGTTGGATGATTTCAATTTCTTATTAAAAATAAAAATTTGACAATCTGGAAACTGATAAATGGAAAGGAAAAGGAAAATCAATCATGGAATTTTTTTGTCAGAAATTGGTTTGGTGAGTCTGTTTTGTTTTGAATATTACACACTGTTGCAAAGTCCACTTCATTTTTTACAGGAGCTGATTGACAAAGCCATGGATGACTATGAACTGATTGAAGAGTTCTATTACAACTTATCTGCTGATGACTTCAATGCCAAGTACGTAAACTGACAACCCGGCATTACTGTAATTTCTATTGGTAAAAAATCATAATAGACATTGACGTGATATTTGGAAATTAAAATGAAACTTTTCTAAATTTCTATTTAAAGTCTTTTTAAAATTCTAATTAAAAGTTGAACAGTTAAATCTAGACCACATAAACTTTTTTCTTTCAACAGATGGACTGCCATTGGCTGGCCTCACAAGATTGAGGTTCAGATGGAAGCTACATACCAACAGCTAGACGAGGATGAGGAGCGTTTCCGTAAACTCCAGACCTCTGACCAGGCCAACTTCAATGACCGCATGGACACACTACAGGTCAGCAAGACTTATATAAAATTTTGTTTAATTGCTTGAAAACAGATATCGAAGTGGTCCTTCCCGAACATTTCCCTCTTAAACTGTAAAATTTTTTCTTACAAATACTGGCCGCATAGAACTCATTGTAGGTGATTTTGAAATGCTTCCATGAGATTTTTTTTCTATTCAGTTTTATATGGTAAAGTTCTCATGATCTGCAAATGGATACCGTTATGATGTGGGAAGCAGTTCAGCAATTTATGTTGACTGTTTTAATGTTGTTTGTAGATGGTTGTTGCCGGTATGGCAGCTCACACTGACATCAGCAAAGCTCATGAGATAGCCAATGAAGTGCGCCGTATCAACAAGCAGCTGAAAGAAGCCCAGGGATTGGCTTCCACATATAACAACAGAGAGAGGTTGTTCGGTCTGCCTGTCACTAACGTACGTATCGTTGTCCATCAGACACGTCCACTGTCAAAATTTGTTTTGTGTCATGGAAAAATTTCACAATTTTGTTACATTGTTACCTGGTTGGCATAATTTGTAAAATACTTTTTGAAAAAGTCAATTAAAAACTTGATATCAAAATTCGGGAATATTGGTGCTCTGATCGTGAAAAATAATTTAACAAAGAATTGTGAAGGTGCTCATGATTGAACAAAATAACTGTTTTTTTTAATAAGATTTTTTTATTATCTTTCGTCAGATCTTCTGATAGGATAGGCTTAAACTAATATACATTAATTATTGTAGAAAATTAAGATGAAATCAACGTTTTTGTAATATGGGAGATTAAAGTTTAAAGCATACAAAATTATGTATTTTGACAGAAATAAATCCTCGTATTCAGATATAGTTTATATGGTGTTCAAACCTAAATATTGTTGTTCCCCTTTTAACATTGGTACAGTTTTGTTAGTTTAAAATTATTTTTACTGGTGTTAACAATATTTTTCTGTGAAAAGAATATTTCCTGAGGTGTCGGGTTCTTTGTTTAAACTTTATGCAATATCAAATTTTGGTCCTAATTAATCTGGACAAAATGTAAACATATATTGAAAATATCGTCACAGAAAATGTGTTATCAAATAATGAATATTCAGGGCTGTTCCTGTTGGCTCAAGAACCCCTTCATTTCCTGGTTCACAAGGACAGTTGCAGCAAAGATGTACAATACAGAACTTTGTTGTAAAATTTGATATTGCATTGAGTTCTTGTGTAGGAAGGTGGAGGATTCTAAAATTCTAAATGAATTTGTAATCAGTTGTTTCAGTAGATGTAGTCTGGTGTGACCAGCTAAAACAAAGGGTAGGGGATACAGGATTGTAGAACTTCCAAATAAATCTCATTATATTTATGAAACAGCTTTCGTCCATCGACTACAATTGGACAGAGATCAAGGTCACAGTTATATATATATATATATAGATAAATATTTTACATAAATAACCATTATGAAGAAAGGTCAAGGTCACATTAATCAAGTTCTTTCTAGAAAAGACTTGGCCAAGAAGCCTAGCATATGTTATAGGGAAAATATTTTGCTTCGTATTTATTACTGAGTACATCTTGAAGTTATTTACTTTTCTGCACACTGAGGCATGTGTGTGGAAGTTTTACTTTCAGCTGACAAAACTTCACCACCACCATTACCACCACCTCCTCCACCACAAGCATCTATGTCCTCGCATGCGGCTCCATCATGGGTCACACTTTTCTCTCTGGGTGTTGGCTTATTTTTTTACTTGGAACCCTTGTTAAGTCTGTCGATTTATCATGGTGTAAAGCCAAAGGCACACATATACCTGCTGCTTGATTGAACTTGAGATCTGTCTCATGGGTTCTGACCCAGAAAGAATAGCACTCTGGTCCCCTGTGAAGGCATAGGCATGGGCCTGGTGCCAATTAAATGGAAATCTATTTAAACACAGGGGAGCTGAGTCACATGTCAGATCACACCAGGCATTGTATACTGTATGTTATGCATGAAAATTATTTTTTTTTTAAATGAATCTTTTTAAAAATAAATTCTTGTGAATTGAAGCTTCTATAGATGAAAAATTATATGTGCCAGTCTATTTTTTAACTTTTCAGAAATTGGTCTTGTTTAGGTTTAAACTTGTGACAAGATTATACTTGCAATCAAATTGGAAACTGTTTACAGATAATAGCTTATTTTTAATTTCCTGTCATGTTTGGGATCAGTGATAATTTTGTTGGCAAAATTTAAAAATAAAAAGATATTTTTTAAATGTAGAGATACGTTTTACAGTAAAATGAGACTTATGACACTCTGGTGTTTGATCTGACCCATGTGGGTTCTTTCTGGTGTGGAATTATACTATGTGCCACGCATGGTATCACCTGCTAATAGCCCTTTCTGCTTCTACTTCACTTCTATCTTACAAAAGCATTTTTTCCTCTTCTTTGCTGTATAAAATCCTTGCATGTGCAACTGCATGATTGCATGAACTTACTTTCATTGCTAGTTTTTCTTGCTCTAACTTGTAATGCTGCATGTTCAAACTTCCTCATTCAGTATACAATTTACAAAAAATTCTACAATTTCTGTAAAATATATTAGCAGCTCTTTACTGCTAACCATCTCTGATCTCTTTCATACGTTCTTAAACCTTGTTTACAACAATTTTCTTTCATGAAATTGTTGTGTTTTTTTCTGGATGTAGTAGAAGTTTTATGTAGATGTTCTTGGCTATTGTATTTCCTAGCAGTTACTTCTTGTTTTACAGAGTACAAAAGCAATTTTCTTCATCAGATAAATTACATACCATAATATGACAAAAGTAGTCCCCACTATGACAGAGAAAAAACCCCATCAGAACAGTAGTCAAAGGGGAGATAATTTAGTTAGTTTACAGATATTTCATATTCCAGGAAAGGATTGTCAGTAATTAGAATCTTTTTTGTTGTTTTGAGGTGAATCTAATTTTAACACTTGAATTTTAGTTGTTTCTGTTCAATTGATCATTGTTACTTTTGGATGTTCAATCCATTTTACACCAATAAATTGATTTTATTTAATGAAAAAGTATGTTTTCAATTTACATCACACAATTAAAAAAACAAGAAAAAAAGAAAGAAAAAAATGTGTTTCAAGAGCAAATTTAATATTTACTGACTATATTGAATTTGCAAGAAAAGTAATTTATACAAGAGTACAATTTTTCCTTAATTTGTATGGCTAAAAAAAAATCTAGAGAATTTTACACTGGTACGTTTCCTCAAGGTACATGTATATAATTTGATTGGTGTATTGTTATGATTTTAAATTGATGTATGAGAAAGCCTGATTTTAATTTGATAACATCCATTTAGTAATATACCATTAATTCAATGCAGAAATAAGCCTGCCTATTAAAATGCATGGGTTGTATTTCTTAAAGGGAGATAACTTTACAAGTTCCAATTTTCGATACTAATTGACATAGGTATTCATTAAGATCATTTTCAGACTCAGAATATTTAACACCATTGAGGCATTGCCTTATGAGCTTAACAAGCTAGTGATTGTGAACTTGATGTTTTGCTTAGTAGATTGAGATCATTTTTAATTTTTATTTGCTGGTGTTTTTAGCTATTCCAAATTTTTCTTTGCTACTTTAGTAATTTTTTAGTTTCTAGATACAAAGTTGGTATGGTCACAGCAACTAAATGGCGAAGAGAGTGAAAAAACTATTTAGAATAAATTGATCAATATGTTTAACTAAAATGATTTGTGGAACACTTTTTAATTAACTAAAATAAATGAATTTGGTGAAGTCAAACAATCTGGTGGATACTTTTGAAAAATGTTGTTGACATGCTAATCACAGAGGATGTTGTTTCTTTTGAAATTTGGTTAAAATTTTCATGTTTTTGAAAGATGCCTTAAGTGAAAAGGATGATTTTTTTCATTGTAATCTCATAACTTTCTTTGTTAATTCTATTTTGCGATATCTTTTTAAGTTATGTTATTTCATTCATCCTGAAAAATAATGAAAATTAGATCCCCACAAAAATTGAAAATTTAACAGTACCTGAAATCTTAATATGTTTAATTTCAGTAATTCAAATATCAAGACTCATCTCTTTATAAATGACTGTAGGTATATTGAAGATCTGAATGAAGCCCCTCCCCATCTTAACCTGAATCTGAAAAAGATAAAAATATTTGAACAAATTTCAAGATAATGTTGATGATCTTGGTGCATCCTATATTGTGATATAGGCTACAAATACAAACAGATGTCTGTTTCAATGAAAAGCTTCAACAACAGTTTTAAAGTAATTAGCCCATGGGATTTAGACATAAAAATTTGCTTCAAAGTAAGAGATCAACTTACATTGTATTTCAGGACGAGGAAAAAGTATTTGTTTTCATTTTTACCTAACAAAATTATAGAGATGGGTTAATTACCAGGCATGGGCTTATTCCCAGATAAACACAGGGGTTAATTGTTTTTTAAATGACCATACCAGCTTTTACAATATGCATGTGCTGCAAATTTTAGCTATAACTTCTAACAGTGGTCATGTGATCTTAGTTGCCGTGTCAACCTTTAGCCAGACAGTGTGTGCCCTTGTTATTTATAGTATGATAAGCTGGCACAACTTGTCAAGGATTTCGAGCCGTTCAGAAACCTGTGGCTCACCGTCTCTGACTGGCAACGCTGGCAGGAAAGCTGGATGCACGACCCACTGACGTCAATCAATGCTGAGGACGTAGAAAAGAACGTGAACGAGGCGTACAAGACCATGCACAAGTCTGTCAGGATATTTAACGAGATGCCGAGTAAGGCCGATCAATTTTTCACCTTAATAACGGTTTTCATTTAGATTTTGAATTGATATTATTTTATCAAAGAATTGAGGTTTATAAAGAAAAATATGTCGTAAAAGTTCTGGAACTTTTGTTGATAAATAGAGGTGGCAACTGTATACTTCTAAGTTTCAATAAAAAGTTCTGGAATTGCATTAGAATTTGGTGTTGAAGTCAAGGATGAAAGCATAGCAAAATAATCTAATTTAAAGCAATTTTTTTAGGAATCCTTCAGAAAAAAATCTCAAAGTCAGGAGTTGAGGGTATTTTGGGGATGTTGTTACCTCATTTTCTAGAAAAACAGAAAAATAAAAAAATGTGAACTGGGTTTGGGAAAAAATGATTGAAATGATTTTTTATTAGAAAATATCTCATAGAGCAATACATGTCGATGATTTGTGAGGCTGTTTTGGACAGGTGTACAGAATGTGGCGTCAGAGATCAAAGGCAATGTGGAGGACTTCAAGCCATACATCCCACTCATCCAGGGCCTCCGAAACCCTGGCATGAGGAATAGACATTGGGAACAGGTAAACTATATATATACCCCATATGCCAGAAAATTCATTTGATCATATTTGTCAATTTTTATCAAACTAGGTAAAATATGGAGACTATTTATAAAATGATTGGTCTTTTTTTTAATGAAGGTGATCAAAATATCACACATCAATTTTCTAACTGGTTGTTAATTTTGATTCTATTCGTATTTACCAACCACAGGAAATTGGATCACAGTATTGTGAAATTATACGTAATAAGAAGAATATGATAGAAACATGAACATGGTAGAGTTTTGTCACTCTTTTGGATATTTTTTTGGAATATATAAAGGTTGGTTACTTACATTTAAGGACCCCACCCCCACCCCCACCCCTCTATTGAAAGTTGAGCTTACTGTAACCTGTATTTTTTTACAGCTGTCTGGAGATCTGGGATTCCCTATCAGACCAAAGGCTAATTTGACATTCAGTAAGTGTATCGAGATGAACCTCCAAGACCACATCGCCACCATCACAAAGGTGGCTGAGGTCGCAGGAAAGGAGTACTCCATTGAACAGGTAAGCTTGATTTTCATCATCAATATAATATAAAACTTTGAAAGTGTTATGTGTAAAACAAAAGAAAAATAATGTAAAGGGAGCAATTTCAAACTTCTTCTTGGGAAATTAATTTTGGCTGCAAACTTAACATTCAAAAGTGCAACAAGAAAGACAGATTAAAAAAAAAAAATTGTCTTTTTTTTAGGCTTTAGACAAGATGGAGAAGGAATGGGATCCTGTCAACTTTGAGATTTTGTCGTACAAAGAAACAGGTACCTACATCATCCGAGCATCTGAGGATACGTCACAGCTGTTGGACGATCACATCGTCATGACACAGAGCATGTCCTTCTCACCATACAAAAAGCCGTTTGAGGATCGCATCAGTAACTGGGAAAATAAACTCAAGACTACCCAGGTGTGGAATCTACCATAGCCACAGATCTCTATATCAATCTCTCACAGATCTCTATATCAATCTCCCACAGATCTCTATATCAATCTCTCACAGATCTCTATAGCAATCTCTCACAGATCTCTCACAGATCTCTATATTTTCAATTCTTTATGTATTATATTTTTATCCTTCAGTAAGACAAAGAGTGAGATTTCTACTTAAATTAAAAAAGATGAGAACGGGCTTTTTACCAGACATGGGCTTATTATTAATGAATATTACAAAGATAATTACTTTTGATATTTGGTTAGGGGTTTCTGCCTTTGCAACTGCATCTTGTAATAAAATTTTCTATTCACAAATCGTCATTGTTCCACAAGAACAAGGTTTTAATTTACATATTTAAATATGTATCTTATACATATTTATGATCCAGTTTTCGGGACATTAATCACACACATTTTAATGATCTGACTTTCAGGATGTCCTTGATGAATGGCTAGTTTGTCAGAGGTCATGGTTGTACCTGGAGCCTATCTTCAGTTCAGAAGACATTAACAGACAGCTGCCAGTGGAGAGCAAGCGTTACCAGACCATGGAAAGGATCTGGAGGAAGCTGATGAAGAATGCCAAGGAGAACCCACAGGTACGTCAGGACTAATGAAATTATTTCATTGACGGTCAGGAATTCAATCAAATGTTTGGTTAGCTTGAAATCCTCAGGTGCAGCTGGACTTGGTTGAATACTTGTCAGAGAATTTAATGAAACACATTGTAAAGTCCTGACATTATTTGTGCAGTTCTAATCTGATAGGACTGAGAAAATCAGGTTTGCTTTTTTTTAAAATCTTTTTTATGTTTTTAATACTGAAGATCAAGTGAAAAAATTGGCTATTTTCTTGTGTGGTACTTTCATTACAATGATGGTCTTGCTTGTAGGTTATCTCCCTTTGCCCTGACAACCGTCTGCTGGACAATCTGAGGGAATGTAACAAGCTCTTGGAACAAGTCCAGAAAGGTCTCAGTGAATACCTGGAGACTAAGAGGAATGCCTTCCCACGATTCTACTTCCTGTCTGACGACGAGCTTCTGGAGATCCTCTCTCAGACAAAAGATCCGAAAGCTGTACAGCCCCATCTTAGAAAGTGCTTTGAAAATGTTGCCAAGGTAGGTAACAACCCATGATGTGAAAGAATACAAAGGGAAATTAAAAAGAAGATTCAGTTTTGCATAAATCTAATTTTAATTTTTGCGTATCTCTTCTGTTGTAAACCCTGATATCAGTGTAAAACCTCTGACAAAATGTCCAGGAGTGGGCTTATTCAGGGCAATGAAATAAAATTGGTTGATAATTCTGTTTTTTTAAACTATTATATTTATGGATGGGCTTATTACCATTTCTAGGCTTATTGCTAGGTAAAGATAATACTTTTGCAGAGATTTAAGATTTTCTTGACAGCTTTACTATTTTTAATGCAGTAAAGGCAGTCATTGACATAAATTTGTTAGTCTTTTTATATTTGCAATTACAGGGAAAAATTTTTTCCTCTATGAATAGGAATTTCTGAGCAGTAACCTTATCGAATAACTTATTAACAATTACAGCTCAAATTTGAGGACGATTTGAAGATCACTAAGATGTTCTCCGGTGAGGGTGAGAGTGTGGACTTCAAGGAGACTCTCTACCCCACAGGAAACGTTGAGGATTGGATGTTAGAGATCGAACGATGCATGAGAGAAAGTCTTCGACTTATCATCAAGGAATCACTGATAGATTACAAAGTTGTAAGTAATTAAAATGAAAGCTCTCTTAAAAATTGCCTGTGTATGTTGAACGTCTGTCCATAGGACCTTGTCAATAAATAGTGTTTGATCTAGAAGACCATTTATTTTTTATGACCAGTTGTGTTGTTAGCCTTTTGAAGCAAATTGAAAAGATTTAACTTAATGTTTTGCTGGGAAAACTATTTCAGGTAAAAAATATTACATGCATTTACTTCATAAATCATATTGGTCATTTGTAGTGTGATGGAAAAATATTGTAAAATCATTCTTTTTTGTGGGGTATTTATTTTCATTGAATTTGTTGGTACTCTAAAATCCAAAAATTTATATGTCCACTAAATACTTAACTGATCAAACCTGGTTTGGATTGTAGTGTCAAAGAAAATGCATATTTTTGGAAAACCATGAAATTTGAGTCCCACAAAAATATATGATTTTACAGTATGTTGTCAATAAAAAAAATTTGGGCATCACTTGAGATTGAGTGAATTTGAGGTTGACATAAATATGCAAAAAAAGTAGAAAAATAAAATCATGAGGATTTACAAGATCTAGAAATAAATGACAACATGTTTGCAAAAATAGCCACAAGCAAAGATATTTCTGATTAACAAGTCGACTTTCAATCTAGTCTCAAATCCTCTTGTGGAATATGGAATAGATTCAGTGAAGTTGAATTTTTTTTCTACAGACTCCAAGAACAGAATGGGTACTTAAATGGCCTGGTCAAGTGGTCATTGCTGGCTGTCAGACCTACTGGACACAGGAAGTCACTGAAGCCTTGGAGCAGAATAAGGTGAAGGAAACGTATGAGCACCTGTTGAAACAGTTGGATGACTTGAGACTTCTTGTGAGAACTGATCTGTCTAAGATCGGACGTTTGACTCTCTCTGCCCTCATTGTCATAGAGGTGCACGCTCGTGATGTTGTGTTTAGGATTGTACAAGAAGAAGTCAACAATGCCAACGCCTTCGAATGGATCAGTCAGATTAGGTGAGCTTCACAAAATTTATTTTGGTGTTCAGTGATCTGTTGTTTTCCACTGTAGTAAACCTTGTGGTCTGTTATGTGTTATTTTAGAAAATATAGTTTCTTCAACTATTATGAAGCAGGTACATTTCTTTTATTTTTTTAGGATGCCATATTTATCTGAAAAAGAGATAAGATCTTACAGATATTTCTGCAAAACTTTTATCCAATATATCTGTCTCTGTCAGCTTAATATTGATATTTTTTGTTTAAAACAAATTGTTGTGCTATGCATGTTTCTCAATAATGTCAATTTTCCTCAGGTACTACTGGCTGGAAGATGAGAACCTATACATACGAGCCGTGAATGCCCAGTTCCCCTACGGCTACGAGTACCTAGGAAATACCTTCCGTCTGGTCATCACTCCCCTGACTGATAGGTACTGTAAACACCTCTGATAGTTATTGGTCCATCTTGTCACACCTGAAAAATTCCCACCTGTCTTGGGATCAAAACTGCAAACTGAAAATTAACTTGGTTATGTTATCATGTCAATTCTATCTTATTTGTTCTTAAATATGTTACTTCAGCGTCCTGTATTGTAATGAACACATCACATTATTTTAATGAAAATCAAATTTGGAAACAAAATTTTATGCCGGAGATTGTCAAATTAACTGAGAAACTGGAAACTTTTGTTAATATTGTATATCATCTTCTTGCCCATATGTAAGACAAGCATATTGCTCAATATGTTATCAAGAATAAACAAATTTCATTTTGTTAAACAGGTGTTATCTCACCCTGACTGGAGCTCTCCATCTGAAGTTTGGTGGAGCACCTGCTGGACCTGCAGGAACTGGAAAAACAGAGACGACAAAGGTTTGTAGTGCGTCAATCAACACAGAAGTGAATTGATAAACAATGTTATGTCTGCCTTACATTTATTTAACCGCTCTTGTGGGAAAATTCAATGTCAATTTATCAAAATACTTGTCTGCTGAAATCATTTAGAAATTAGTTTAAGCTATTTGAAGAAAAATAATAATATTTAAATGCTGTTCTGACTTTTTAAGATGTCTGTTACTACCATGGTGCTTCAGATTTTTTTTGGATGTAACAGTGTCACTTCCCTCGGTTCATATGTAGCTAATATTCAGTAACAAAATATCACAACTTTTTTTCTTGTAATTACCTGAAAAGTCCCCAAAAACAAATTTCATGTAAAAAATTGAAATTCAAACATTAGAAATTTATCAAGAGATTTTTTAAATTACTGATAAATGGGATCATAATTTTGAGATTTGAACTTGACTGTTGTGTAATAACATATGTTATTTTTGTTATCGATTCTATAGGATCTGGCTAAAGCTATGGCTGTCCAGTGTGTTGTGTTCAACTGTTCTGACCAGTTGGATTTCATGGCTATGGGCAAGTTCTTCAAAGGATTAGCAAGGTATGTAAATGTCATATTTATTTTTATATCATAGACCAAATAATCAAAATTAATCCTGTTATTTATTGTTTCCAGAACATTATTTCTTTCCTGTGGAAAATAAAAAAAAAAAAAAAATGTACAGAATTGATTTTTACCTAATAATTATATTATTGGAGAATTTTAATTTTCAGATATCACCTGTTACTTAGCTTGTCATGATTGTTGATTTAATTTTCATGTCCAAAGTTAATTTGTGTTTTAGTTAAGATTTTGTTTGTGTAATTCCCATGCTAAGTAACTCGATGTCTTCATTTTAACAAATCTGTTGTAGTATTAGTTTTATCATATCCATATCTTGAACACTGTGTAAATATCATTAAGGTGATTTCATTTGGGGAGTAGAAAACAAATTCTAACAATTAATAAAAAAAAAAGTAATATTTTTTATATGTACTGTAAAATGATGTATTTTTGTGGGGCTCAATTTTGGTGGTTTTTCTAAAAATCACTATTTTTGCAAACACTTGATTTCACAGATAAATGCAGCCAAATAAATTTACTTCTGCTAATTTTAATGGTTCATGGATACATGTCTTCAAATTAAGACTACTAAAAATAAACCTCCCACAAAAATTAATCATTTTATGTTATATAAGTAACTGATAATATATATTTTTTTCACCTGATTTTTTTTTAATCAATGATCATGGATAATTAAGTTAATTGAAACACAACATGAAATCATTTCAAAATTCAAAGATTTAAGAAATTTGAATCATGATTTACTGTTGATGTGTGTGGTGAGTTAGCAGTGTATGTTTTGTGCATCTAATGAATTAACCTGGCCAACTCTTATTATCCCTACATGGCTTAACCTGGCCAACTCTTATTATCCCTACATGGCTTGTTTATGTTGAAATGAACATGACCAAGAACAAATTTTATTGACAAACATCACTACAAAACAAAAGACCTGCTTGTCATTATCATATTCAAAATTCCCAGTCTTCAATCAAAGTTTAAATTTTCATAAGAATTCTGAATCTATATTCACAATTTTCTGTCTTGAATTGAAATTAAGATTTTTTAAAAGAATTTAAAATTTCCATGTGAAAATTCTTCATCATGTTTGACTTGTTTTCAATACACTGGTGTTATTGAAAACTATTGGTAATGCCCTTCCCTTCCCTTGTCTGTTAAATCTTGAAAGTTCTGTTGGGGGTTTTATATAAGTATTTTTTTTTTAATTGCTGATAAATTCATTAAGAAAAAATTATTTTCAGATTAAATAATTCAAATAAAAAAAAATCAATTGAAAATAAACAGTGAATGAATAATAGATTCTATTTCATGTGGGTGTTGGTTAAAAATTGATTTTCAGTGCTGGAGCTTGGGCGTGTTTCGACGAATTCAACCGTATAGATATTGAAGTGTTGTCAGTGGTGGCACAACAAATCACTACTATACAAAAGGCCCAGCAACAGAGGGTGAGCCGTGACCTCACACAGGGCTAGATATCTAAACTGTCTTCATAACAGTCTTCTACAGTGCTGCACAACTTTTTCTGGGCTGATCATGTTACAACTTTGTCAAGTTTTGTCTCAGTTCTGCCAGTCAAAATTACACATTTTTCGTCTTTGAAATATGATATTCTGCACAAATAAATATATGGCTTTAATATTATATATTGGTACATGTATTTCAATGTGAATTTTCATCTTCTTTCATTTTTTGCCATGAAAAGTTGTGTAGTTTTTTTTTTCCCCAATAGATAGAACTCTACGTATTTACAGCTCTACAGGCTGCTTTGATTTAACTTATATCATTAGTGTTGATCAGAATTCCAAAATTGCTCAGAAATTGTTCAAAAAATAAAAAGAACTTTCGAGAATTTTGAAGAAATTTTACTTTAATTTTTAGAATTTTATAAAAATCTTATTTCTGAAAATTTTGGATAAAAATGAGCATGATGACTACACAATGGTATTTGTTATCAATGCAAGGATAGCTATACTTATCCTAAATTGTACAATAACAGAGATAGAAGACCATTATGTAACGACTAACCTGAAGACTTATTGACAAGGTATAATTAAAAAAAGATAAAAACATCACTTTTTCTCTTTGTAATGAATGTTTATTATTCTGAATTTCTCCTGCTAAAAGATGTAAAGGAAAATGAATATTAAAAGAAAAGAATTTGACTGTAGATTTTAAAAAAAAAAATAATGGTCTTCTATTTTTGTCCGAAAAGTTCTTAAAATATGAACAACTGCAAACATACTGGAAGTGTAATAATGCTTTTAAAAAGTCTCTTATTTGATGTTTGGTGTTAATTGATAAGACATATAGCAAAGTTCAATTCCAGTTAAATTTCATGATACGAAGGATTTATTTTTATAAATATGAAGGAATTTTATGATGAACACGGATAATAATCTATGATTATAAAAAGGAAATGTATGTTTGTAGTTTGGACTGATCATCACTTGTTTCAGCATGTTGACTTCATCTGGATCCTTATCTCCATCACTCAATCTTCCATCCCATAACTCATCCAACTGAAATAACTCTATAACAGATATATATGCTACCAAGAAATAGTTCTTTAGAAAAATATTTTACTACCAAGAAATAGCTCTTTAGAAAAATATTTTACTACCAAGAAATAGTGCTGTAGACCAGATATATTTCTGCCTTTAGAAATAGTTCTGTAGAAAAGTATCTTGCAATGAAGAAATAGTGCTGTAGACCAGATATCTTGCTGCAATAAATATGAAGAAAATAGTTCTGTAGAACAAGAAATACCTACCTGTACCTGGCTACCAGGAAATAGTTCTGTAGATCAAATTGAAATGAAGTCCAATAATTTCTTACACAAATTGACAGGTGTAAGATTTGAATATGGTGTTTGAATAGATCGAAATGAGAATAGGTAAACCATTTTTTTTCAAAATACAGTATATTTTAGTGGTTTCTGAGATATATATCTTTTATACTATTTCACCTACAGGGAGTTTAAGAAAATGGCGTACAGATATAGTGTTAATTAAGATGATGAATGATTGCTTTTATCTTAAGTATGTTCATTAACATAATGTATGTTTTGGCCTTGGGTCACTGAAAAATAACTGGAAAAAAAAAACAACTTTTTTTTAAAAGTGTAATTTTTGTCCCATGCACATTTCATTGATGTGTATTTTTCTAAGTTAAAGTATTGCATGCTTACAATGTGAAAAATTGTTTTAAATATTGTTACATGAGAATTTTTCTTCTTTTTTTTTCTCTTATTTTATTTTTTATTTTTCATTTCTGGAACACTTCATCTCACAATATTTTGAAATGGTGTTTTTATGCATGGTCTGTTTTTAAAATTTTCATTATTATATAAGATAATGATTATCATAATTCTAATGGAAGAATTTATCATATTTAAATTTCAAATGTATTTAAAAATCATTCAATTAAATTGTTATATTTAAATTGATATTTACGATTTATTTTGATAAATCTTCAAAAGTATAAACCGAAAATTCCACAGATCATGTTTACACCAGGCATAACATGTTTTATCTTAACAAAAAAAAGTTTAAAAAATACTTCTTAAATTTCATTTCATTTATGTACAGAACTTAAAATAGTAATTTACAGCACTGTATAGAATTCTGGCTCTTATTTTCTAATGTATATTGTGTATCAGACATAGCAAAGGGCACATAACTTTTGTCTGACAGTTTCCAGAGTACTAAATATTTTTGGGATTTAATCAGAAAATGCCCTTTTATTATGTGTGATAAACAATCAGATTTCATTTCTTTTTAGGAAGCATGGACTTGAAAGTTTTTTTATTTCATAAAAATCTTGATGCTAGAAGTTTCTATTCATTAAAGTGTTAAACAAAATTATTTAAAAAAAAAAATTCAAAATTAATTTATTGGTGAGCAGTATTTTGAAATAATATCAAGAAAAATTTGCATTAGTAGGTGAAAGAATAGATATTAGCATAACAGCTTCAATTGATGTTTGATAAATTAATTTTCAAGTCCAGATAATTTCACAGAGTAGTCTGTATCTTTGGAGCGTCGCTAGCTGATAATATAGTATAGTTGTTGTATAACTTGTCTTCTTTCTATATCTTCCTCCATCTTTCTCCACCTTGCGATTGAAGTGCTGGCGCATGGGCATGTTTTGATGAGTTCAACAGAATAAACATTGAAGTATTGTCCGTTGTGGCCATGCAGATTGTTACAATACAAAAAGCTTTGGAGGCTAATGTAGGTACATTTTGTAGATGTCAATTTCTAAGAAATTTCATGATATCATTTAAGGAATTTGGGTTTAATTTTTTTTTATTGTTTTATTTTTTTCATATATTTTTTTACACTTCATTAATATTTCAAATTCTCATCCCTTGATGTTTTGGTTTTTTTGTCATTTTTATGTGTACGCCTTTTATGTGAAAATTCATTTCAAGCAAAATTAACTGTCATTTTCTTTGAATTTTTCATCATAACGATCATTTATGAAAACATCGACACTGAAAATTACACCACGAGGGCATTGACTGAAGTTTGTGGCTATGAAATATCAGATAGACTGTAGGATCCACTCTTTATCTTTATGACAATTTGAAACTATAAAGAATAGAATGTACTATAAAGTTTTAAAATTTTTTTGCTATTTTAGCCTTAGTTTTGCTGCAAAAATATTTTTTTCTTTTTTTTTTTTTTCACAGAATTCATGAAACGCACTGTATTCTGTATTCTATATGTATAGTATTCTATTTCAATTTTAATTACAATTCTATTTCTTATCTTTACATAGAGTATTCTAATGGATTCATAGTCATTCTATATCTAGAAATATATTACTTCATTTGAATTGTGGCTATCATATACTATTGTATATACTAGATGCATATTTTTTTTATTTAAATCTTAATTAATCTGTAAGCTAGATGTGTAGTATTCTATTTGAATATAAGTCATTCTATAAACTAGATAAAAGTATTCTATTTGAATATTAGTTCTTCTGTATGCTATATCTAATAATTATTGAATCATAAGTATTCTCTATGCTAGATTTAAAATATTTAAAATGAACATTTTAACCTGACAGCTGCAAAATTGGAATCATAAGTCAGCACAGTAGATTTAATGTGACGACATTGACAGATAAGAGGCAAAAAGCCCTGCATTATTAGCGGCTTATCTTACACATTTGACTGCCCTGATCCATACCATAGTTTCATATAAAAACTAACATTCTCTCCTATCACCCCTGTATTGATTGTTTGTCCATATCCAATCCTCCAAACCTCATTAATATTCACGAAATACCATCTTTTATATATCAAGTGCATTATGGGAAAATGGAAAATTACCATAGTTTTAATGGAACATCTTTAACCCCTTATTTATTCATGGTTCCTTTAACCTTTCCAAGAACACATTTTAATGGTCAATTAACTAATCTGTCATTTACTGAATCATTAAGGTTTAATGATGCCTCAATGATTGCTTAGCTTTTATAGGCTGTTCTGTCATATTTTTTCTCCAGAACACTTCTTCAGTTGTGAAAAAGAACAACTGTGTTGTGTTCAGATTCAGACCTACATTTAATAACTCAAACTAGTTATAACTGAATCTTGCTATTTGTATTGTTATGTGAAGATCAAATATTGCAAAAAGTTAAGTTTTAGTGTTTCTAGAGTTTTGATATTTTGCATTTATAATTTTATATAAGAATTCATTTATATCATATGAGTAATAAATTGTATAAATATGTAATATTGTTAAATGTTGAATATCATTATGAAAATCTTTTAATTTTTTGTCAATGAAAACTTTGATTTTATCTATGACAAATATTACCTAATTTCCTTTATTAACATAAAATGTTTTGGCTATCAGGTTGATAGATTCATCTTTGAGGGAGTAGAGCTCACCCTCAAACCTTCCTGCTCTGTTTTCATCACAATGAACCCAGGATATGCTGGGAGAACTGAGCTCCCTGACAACCTCAAGGTAAGCTTTAAGAAAGCTCCCTGACAAACTCAACCTAAGCTTCATATAAGCTCTCCTAGAACTGTAAGGTAAGGTTTTGTCAAGCTGCATGATAAACTACAGGTAAGCTTTAGGTGATCTCCCCTTTAACCTCATTTTAAGTGTAATTGAGCTCACTGACAAAATCAAGGTAAACTTTAAGTGAGCTCCGGTTTGTCCCAGTTGAAGTTGAATCGTTTCTCAAACTATGTTTTTCATCAGTAGGCATTTAACACGTTGCACAGATCACACATAAATTTCCTTATGGTTTACTATATATAGATGTCTATTATTGTTCTTTGTTGAAGCGTATCTCACTATATAATTGACAGGCATTGTTCCGTCCCGTGGCTATGATGGTACCTGATTACGCCCTGATTGCCGAGATCAGTCTTTTCTCGTTTGGTTTCTCAGACGCCAGAGTCCTCTCCAAGAAGATTGTATCCACATTCAAACTGTCCTCTGAGCAGCTCAGTTCACAGGTTTGTGTTCCATGTTCGAGACATCAAAGGAAATAATAACTAGCTATCATAAAAAGTTCTAAAATTTGAGTAAAAATTGATAATACATGTACTTATCTGACAATTAGCTTATGTCTTGAAATAAGCCAAAACATATCAATTGCTGTTTGAAAGAATAACCAACGAGTGCTGTTTAATTGTCCTATAATAAGCCAACCCGCTGTGTGAGAGATACGCCTGGGCTTATTGCAAAATCAATTCAATATTTTTTTTGTTTTATCACTTATTTGATTTTGTATGCATCCATGGAATAAGTGAAAAATTAGTTGCTAAGGATATTGGTTTGTCTCCAGGATCACTACGACTTTGGTATGCGAGCTGTCAAATCTGTGATTTCTGCGGCTGGTAACCTGAAGCGACAGTACGGTGATATGGATGAGGTTAGTCAGTGGATAAAACAAATCTGTTGATCTCTTTCCTTTTTCTGAAAATATTCAAAAGTTTGCAGATTGACCTTGCCAATTTTCTGAGACTACAAAGTTTAAAAAAAATATGTTATGTTCAATCTGTATGGAAAAGAACATATTTCAACTTCTGTTGCAATATAAAAATACAAATGAAAAATTGTGTAAATCAATTTTTCACTCTCACCAATTTTGATGAAGTCATACACTTCACTTCACACTTAAAAAATGGCTGCAATTCTCAGAAGATAACAAAATAGCCACACCAGTAAGCTAGCATGTTGTTGACCTGTCTTTGACCTTTCCAGGAACTTATTGCCCTGAGAGCTATCCGTGATGTCAATGTTCCCAAGTTCTTGGTGGAAGATTTGAAACTCTTCAACGGTATCGTCTCTGATCTGTTCCCCAATATCAAGTAAGTCTTTCAGCCATATCTTCTGTACTGTGTATTTTACAGAAAAGTTTACTATTGTTTGGTGGTTTGGGATATAACTGTTCAAAAACACAAAATGTTCTACATGTTATCAGAAATTTTAATTCTTGTATGCTACTTTGGGCTGTTATGTATGACAAAAAAAAATAGTTTTAAGTAGAGGAAGAGTTCAAAATTTAATTTGTGTGAGAAGTCCTTTCATAGATTAAAAATATAATTTTTTTCTCATCCAGGGAACAGCCAATCGACTATGGCTCTATGGATACTTCACTGAGGAAAACATGTACAAAGAATGGACTCAAGGATGTGGAAGGTGAGATTAACGATAGATTAAAATTGCTACTTTTTGAAGAAGAGTTCTGATATCTCCTGCTTACACATTTATATAAGGCAGAAATTATGCAAAAGAAGAGCATTAAATTAATTTTTTCATGGTTTGAATTTTTGTTGTTTTACCAAAACCTCGCAAACATAACTTGAAACAATGTAAAATATTCTAATTCCCTGAAAAAGACTTTTCTTTTCTTCATAAAAAATCAATAAGCATTTTAACAGAAAACAAGCCTTTCAAGGTTGTTAACAACAAAAAAATATGATGGGACTTTTCAATGTGGAAGGTGAGATTTACGATAGATTAAAATTGCTACTTTTTGAAGAAGAGTTCTGATATCTCCTGCTTACACATTTATATAAGGCAGAAATTATGCAAAAGAAGAGCATTAAATTAATTTTTTCATGGTTTGAATTTTTGTTGTTTTACCAAAACCTCGCAAACATAACTTGAAACAATGTAAAATATTCTAATTCCCTGAAAAAGACTTTTCTTTTCTTCATAAAAAATCAATAAGCATTTTAACAGAAAACAAGCCTTTCAATGTTGTTAACAACAAAAAAATATGATGGGACTTTTCACCTTAGATTTTATATATTTGAATAATTAGAGGAACAATCTACTTTAAATATGATTTATATGGACTATGAATGACACAAAGATGGTTTTTTGCAGGTTTTATTCATAAATGTATCCAGCTTTTTGAGACAACAGTTGTACGTCACGGTCTCATGTTGGTCGGTCCCACAGGATCTGGAAAGACCAAGGTATGGACAGGATTAAAATATCTAAAATGGTAACATTCATGACATGTATCAAATATTCAAGATTTATAATCCCAAATTTTATCATGTACTCCCATTTTATCAGAACACTTTACATGAGTATGTGTCTTTGGGCTCTGAGGTCAAGGCCACCATCACTATTTATAGAAAATCATCAGCTAACTTGCATGATTTCTGCGGCATTCATTTTATTTCTTTATTAGACAATGATATATTTTTTTGCCAGTGTTATGATGTCCTGAAGCAGGCATGCTCAGCCCTCCAGGGGGAGGAGTCACCAGCAGGATTCCCATTCCAGGTCGTCACAACGTTTGTCCTCAATCCCAAATCCATCACTATGGGACAGCTGTACGGAGAGTTTGACCTCATGACCCACGAATGGTATGCACTATTATTAATAGCAAATTGACCTCATGACCCTAATTTCGAAATTTTTAGGAAAAGAAAATTGTCACAGTAGGATTGCATTGTATCACTTTTACGTAGGGTAGCCTTACCATAATTGGATATCATCAATTTCGATACCCATTTCTCGGGCCATTCATGATTAGGTTTATGACAGTAACTGATTTGGTGTTATAGTATGTTGAAAAATTATCAGTTCCCTCTTTGTGATGCAGACAGTTATCTCAGCTCTATGATATATTTAAAGTTTATAATGAGGCTTTGCTGAGTGCCAGACTTTAAAAATCTTACCCTTAGGCTGCAATAACTCTGTCCAAATAATTTCTATTAGTCTTTACAACTATGTGTATAATTTGATCCAGGACGGACGGTATATTGTCCTCGCTGATCCGTGGGGGAGCTTCAGCCACTGACAACAAGAAGAGATGGTATGTGTTTGACGGACCTGTGGATGCAGTGTGGATCGAGAACATGAACACCGTACTGGACGACAATAAGAAACTTTGTCTCAGCAGTGGTGAAATCATCAAACTTAGTGAGGTATAAAAAAAATAGACAAAATGATGAAGATTTCATGCTTTGTATGAAATAATGATCCTGTATCATTGAAAAAATAAACACAAAAAATTCTAGAACTTGAAATAATGTTTAATTATAATACTTAATGCCATTAAACTGTTAATAAATAAAGAAAAATGTGAAATTTCATGTTTTCCTGTATTTGTGTTTTCAGATAGCTCATCAGTTGCATATGACTTGATACATTACACAGTTATTAGTATTGTGCCATTAGCAAGTAAATAATTTAAACTAGTTATTGCAAATGTTTTCATGGGTCAAAAATGACTTGTGTACACAAGTTCTTAATTTTCAGGAAACATGTTTCATTATTTTTTTAGAGTTACCTCCCCTTAAGTTGTTAAAACAGAAATTTTAATGGAGTTCAAAATGAAGAACATTGATTTCCTGTATGATTGAACAACTATAAATACATTTCAGGACATGACCATGATGTTTGAAGTCCAGGACTTGGCAGTTGCCTCCCCTGCCACTGTGAGCCGATGTGGTATGGTATACCTTGAGCCTAGTTACATCGGACTGAAGCCATTTGTTGAGTGCTGGCTGAGACAGCTGCCGGATGCTATTTACCCACACAAAGAGAAGCTAGAGGAGCTGTTTGAAACTTACATGGAGGTAAATTATCAAACAGACATTTCTACAAAGATTTCAAAGTTTTCGTTTTCATTGTGTTTTTTGTTAATAATTGATCATAATACTCAGAATATTATATATTTTACTGTACAAAGCCAGTTTACTTATACTAGATATATCCAGATCTTGAATTTCGTCAGACTCTCTGCAAATGAGTCTGTATGCATTGGATTAATTAATCATAGTGAGACGTTGGGCACCAGGGCTTATCACAGGATAAATATTATATATTGGATTTTAACCCTACCGATTTTCCATTCACACAGCCCGCCATAAAGTTTGTGAGGAAAAACGTCAAGGAAGCTATCCCCACAGTCGACTGCAATTTGGTGTTTAGCTTGTTGAAAATGATTGAATGTTTCTTCACACCGTTTGTACCTCAGGAGGTAAGAAAGTCTCATCATGCTTGTGTTGTTCTTCCTAATGTGTCTTATATAAGTAGATATCTCATTTGTTTGTTGTGGTTGTTTTCGGTTTCTTCTGTTTCTCTTCCCGATACCCCTCCTAAATATATCTACCGTTTAGCCCCTTATTTAGATCTTTTAGATCGTGAAAATTTTCACCCACAAAAATTACCAGCTCTACGGTACTTACTGTAACATTATATTTGCATTTGATTAATATACTCCATCAAAGTTTATGGTTTCTATAAATCATTAAATACACGTAAATATGAAAGATCGCAATTGTTTATTAACTCAAAGTGTGCAAATATATTGTAGTGTCCTTATGAATTTGAATTTTATAACAGTATTTTATGTCAATGTTTTACACTAGTACAGCTTTCTTTTGCTTTTTTGTTTGCTGTGTTTTTGATTACCTAACAGTAATTTTACGCCCCATGATAATTCATATATCCCATTTTAAAGTAATTTGTTTATTTATTTATTTATTTTTGTTCTTGTTTGTTTTATAGGAGATGGTAGATTGTGAAATCATTACTTTTCTCATGTGTTAGTTTATTGTTTAAATTGTGTATTTTTTTGTTATTGATTTTATGGATTAAGACACAAAGTAATATTAATTCAGTCACATGATCTTTTTAATGGGAAACTCTCGAGTGAAACAATTTAAATTCATTAATTTGTTAATACCAAGTATTTTGATCTGTTTGTGTGAATACCCTTATATCAAAATATATTTTGTTTAGAGATTATTGTTTGACATGTCTGCCTCGCCTTGATTTTTGTTAGAGATTAATGTGTGACATGTCTGCCTCGTCTAGATTTTGTTTAGAGATTATTGTTTGACATGTCTGCCCCTCATTGATTTTGTTTAGAGATTACTGTGTGACATGTCTACCACTCATTGATTTTGTTTAGAGATTATTGTGACATATCTGACTGCGTTGGTTTTGTTTAAAGATTATTGTGTGACATGTCTGCCCCTCCATGACTTTGTTTAGAGATTACTGTGTGACATGTCTGCCCCTCGTTGAATTTGTTTAGAGACTATTGTGTGACTTGCCCGCTGTAACATAATAGTAACACTGTTTGATCACCCTCTAACCACAGCCGAGTCGGCGTCGAGTGGTAAGCTGCATGCTCGGGTATACAATTGGTGGCGACACATAGCATGACTAGTATAGCACTCAATAGCGAAGGACACCCAAAACTCCTCAAGGCACTCCTACAACAAAATTACTTGTTATAAAATTTTCGAAATCAAAAATAATTTTTTAAAGACATATCGTACAATTTTAGGACACAGTTTTGAAAATATGCTGATTTAAATGACAATAAAATTGAGTTAAAAATTTATATTTACTCAACTTTACAGTCTAACAAATTTTTTTTTAATTTAAAACTTCTGTAAATGGTATGGCTCAAAGCTCTATGCTTTTAGCTTGACTATTGGGGAAGTTCTATTCTATGATAAAGGGAATACTGTACATGTAAATATAAATATGCTGTTAATATCTGAAACATATTACATTTTGTTGTGTGTAAGTGCCTGAAAGGATCAATGATTAATGCATCAGAAATGAAAAATTTTTTGGAGACCAGTATATGTATATCAATTTTCAACTTTAATATGTTCATAAGTTTTGATTGTTAAAGAAATAGCATCTAACTTACTGTAAAATCATATGTTTTTGTGGGGCTCAAATTATAAGGTATATTACTGTTGGCACTTGGATAGACCTTGCTCACAAAATCAGCTATTTTTACCATAATCAATGTCAACATTTAATTTTGTATAATTTTGTGTACATTTAAATTCATGGATTTAGAGTGACCACAAATTAACGGAAAATAAATTTCCCAAAAAATTTAATGATTTACAGTATTGCATTTACAAAATATATTTAATTTAGGAATTCAAAAATGTACATTTCTGATGTAAAGTGGCCTGGGATGATATAATTATGTACATTGTATTAATGAATGATCATTTATTTTCAGAAACATTTGCTTTCTCATTCATAATTTTACAGCTAGTAATATTTGCTGTATAAATTTCCGCCACCAGCTTTAATAAAATGACATGCTGAAACACCTGCTGCACTTCCACATTTTCCTTTGCAGGACTAATACTTTTCATTGGTATGATTGAGAAATTTCTGTGTCACAAACAAAAGGCCATGCAGTCTGTATTTTTATTCATCAAATGAGTCCTTCTTATTAAATATAATATTTTGGTGTTCATGATGGCTACTGTGTCTTCAGGTTGTCGGGAGATGTGTTTTGGGGCTACACGTAGGGAGGGAATGGAGTATTCAAGATGGTTGCCATGTCTTCTGATTGGCTGAAATTCATTGAGGCTTTACAACAAATTTTATTTTTCCAACTGTCAAATGAATATACCTCATTTCTATCACTTCTGAAGTGCTGTAACTTTCTAAAAGTTGAAAATCAAATTTGCCTTATCCATGTAAGGTTTTCCACAACAAACTTAATTTTGTTATGTCAGTTAACACATGTCTTGCAAAATTGATCCAGTCTAAAATATTTAGATGTATACCGCACAGAACCTTCAAATAAATAGCACTTTACAACATGGGTGTCAGGCTAGATAACTAGACTTAACTGGTTTCAGTGGTTCAGTAGGATAGACTAGAAAAAAAACAGTTGGTACAGTGTATTTACTAACCATTTAGTGTTTATACTTAGAATTGTAAGCTAGCTTTTAATTATTTGATCACAAGTATTTTTAGACATTATTTATCTGTCACAACGGTTGAATTAACTTTAAATTCGTAATGTTGTATTATCACATAGTTCACGCATATATATATATATCTTCAATTTTGAACTTGAGGAATGCATGGATTCAATTTAATTTTTGTCTAATTTTATCAAATCTTCAGTAGCTATTCAGCTAGTTTTACTATGAATACATATTTCATTTTTTCATCTTGAAATCTGTGTCACAATTCAGTTATCAGGACGAGAAATGTTATGTTGTGTTATCTAGTAAATCATTGCTTTTGAACCATAATTAATTAAATTATGGATTGCCTGTTCAAGAAAATAATGACATTTAAATTTATTTGTCTTGAAAACTGATATATTTCATTATCTCCATCATCTCATGGTCGTGGTGATAAAGAAGATATGTTTTCCGAAAAAAGAAAAAAAAAGGGAAAAAAGACAATTTTTTTGTTATTGCTTTTAATGAATTTAATCTATTGTGTTTAGAATTTACTGTTAAATGCTTCAGATATCACTAATTACATAACAGATAAAATATTTAGGAATAATAATTTTTAACACTAAGTATCAACATCACTCTAACCAATATAGTTATGATTTGAAAATTGACCTGATCTCATTGAAACTAATTTTACCTTATTTCAGGGTGACCCAGCAATTCCTCAGGAGAGTCTTGACCGTCTTGGAGAGCTCATTGAGCCTTGGTTCTTCTTCAGTATCGTGTGGTCAGTTGGCTGTACTGGTGACAATGACAGCTGGCTCAAATTCTCTCAGTGGCTCCACGAAACCATGGCCAAGAACGAGGTGCGCTTATTATATCAAACGTACATTTATTATTTTATATGCCTGTTATGTCGGGGGATTAATTTTCGAAAGGCAGATGCTTTGACGTTTTAATAATTCTGCTATGCATTTATGCTTTGAGAGCACAAAGAACAGATTTAGTTTTAGGGTTTATAAGAAACAAATATCATTCACTAAATTGAATTCTATTCTTTAAGTTTTAAGTGTATGTTTTGTTGGTTGACATGAATAAAACCATCATTCTTCAGTTCAAGTTAGTAATAGCAAAGATGCAGTTTTTGATGTTTTTCTGCGTCTCTTTATAGAATTGGTGAAAATGAAAAACGAGAAAAAAGAGGTTTAATACCTATATTTGGTTCAATATTTTACAATGAAATACTATACAACAAATGACCTTTTACAGACCAAGATGGTTTTCCCGTCAGAGGGACTTGTGTACGACTATTTCCTGGATGACGGAGGCTTAAGCAACAACCAAAAAAGTGATGATCCTGATGACGAAGAAAATGAAAAGAAAGTGGAGGTCAGTCATTATTACTGTCATTTACATCAGAAACTGACCTTACTGACTGTCATGGACACGCTTTCCTCTAAGTCCTGATCATTCAAAGCTTCGTTAGAATCAAGCCATTGTCACGGGAAAATAAAACATTTATGAATCTAGTTTATCTCTATATATATCAGTAAATATAAAATTCTATGAATACATTTGGTTTCTTTTACTTATATGGAACTCAAACCAAACTGTTGAGCTTCTCGGGCCTTTAACAAATGTGGGCTTTTTGCAGCTTCAGGACTTACTTCTGGGTCTTATGTTTTGGGGACGTGAAAGAGTTTATTTGCCAGTTGGTGCCAGAATAGAAAATATCTTAATTTGTGTTCTGTCCGGCCTTTTTCTTCCATCTTTACCATAATTCAGACATTTCCAATTAACATGTTTGTATTTTCAGAATAATCCGCTAGGAAGGGTAAAGTTCATCAGTTCATACAGAAAATGATTTCTGTATAAGTTACTGTTCAGACTTATTGGAATATTTTTAACAATGTTTTTTAATAAGTATTTATATTTTCAGTTTTAGTGACTGTAATTTTTCAGTCATAAATTAAAAAAAATTTGACTGGATTTTTCTACAAGAACAAAAGAAAAGAAAACATTCAATGTATTTTGATTGTTGGATTTATTTGAAAGTTTGAAGGTCAACATTCTGAATTCTATCTGCTGTAATTGTCCTCATTAATGACAAAATTTTGATAAGATTTTGAGGTAATAATAAAGGCATTTTTTATGTTTTATTTTATTTCAAAGAAACTACATTTTGCAGTTCAAATATTGATATTTAGCAAAATATGGAAAAAAATTTAGAAGGGGGACAATAACAGTGTCACATTCTACAGTTGTGAATTCTAAATTCAGCATTAATTTAATTTGCTTTTTCTTTAAATTTTTTTGTTACGTTTTTGATTTTTGCTTATTTGCTGTTAAAGAAATTTTATTTCAGATCAAGATAATGTACATTTCCCATTGGTGGGTCTATGTCTGATAAATATAAATTCCTAATATTGAATTTGGATCACAGTCATGTCTTCAGCAAAAATTAAAAAAAAAAAAAAAAAATGAATCACAGATTGTGAACTGGAAACTTGACAATTGGTATATTTTCAAAAATGGAAAAGTGCAAAAACTGTTAGCTGTATTTAAAAGTGTCTCAAGATTGCAGGGCAGATAGGAAAAAAGACTATTAGGTTGTTCACAGGACACTGTAATATTCCAATTTATACAATATGATACTTGTTTAAACCAGGTGACCTGGAGGAACTGGTTGTATGGCCTTGGAGAATTTACAGTTGCACCAGACACCAAGTTTGCTGATATCATTGTACCAACTATCGATACCATCAGGAGTGCCGCTATCCTTGAGAAGCTTCTATTAAACAGAAAAACGGTATAGAGTTACCTCCCTTTATCCATGTTACTGAACTGTTTCTGTTTTTGCAAGACACTTCAAGTATGAAATGGAAATGAAAAAGAAAAAAATTGTGGAAGAAAAAATTCATATTACACATTCTTCTCTATATATAGTAATCATGTCTTTCTGCACACATATATTTTTTCCTCATGTAAACAAAATTTCTGGTATTTTAATTGATTGATATTCCCATAGTTTTGAATAGAAATTTTCATACAGTATAAAGAAAAAAGATCAGAAAGTTATATATTGCATTGTTACTGATAATAAATGTATTTATCTCTGCTGTCTTGACCGTCCACAGGTGTTGTGTGTAGGTCCAACTGGTACAGGTAAAACCTTGACCATCTCAGACAAGCTGACCACAAAAATGCCCAAAGAGTATGTTCCAGAGTTCATGGTGTTTTCAGCCAAGACCAGTGCAAACCAAACTCAAGATCTGATTGATGGCAAACTTGATAAGAGGTTAGACTTTCTGTGTTTAAAATCAATATTTGTACTGACCATTTTATGGTCTGTTTCTGGTGTCTGTCCACCATGTCCTGTTATGTCTTGTCCTGAATCAATCTTGAGAACCGCTCAACAGATTTTTTTACTTACTTACCCTATAGTATCAAATCATCAAGTTCTACTCCTAATCATATCAAGAAGATCATTGGTCAAGGTTGAAGGGTCAAAGGTCACATTGACAATTTCAGCAAAGTCATCAAACAATGACACTTGTATACCTTGGAGTGTGGGGCATTCATGTGTTACAGACATTTTCTAACTTTAAATAAAGTTTTTCTGTTTAGCCTGATATTTATCAGAATCAACCAATATTATGCAGACATTCTCTTTCAATATTGGTCAGTCTTAAGTAATGTAGAACACAAAATGTTTGTAAGTTCTTTCTATCTTGGTTTAAGTCTAAATACTTTCCTGGATAACACATAAACGTACACAAAGTTCTTTCATATGAAATTTTATTTGTTACATTTTATTTTCGTGATTAATCTACAACTGCGAAAACAAGGAGTGTTTCTATACAATGAACATTTCATGTTATCATAGAATTATCATAAACATATAATGTATTTAGGAATCTTACTAGATATGTGCATAAGTGATTTATTTTTTATAATAATGTGAAATGGTTGTTATTTTGATTAATTTTAGACGTAAGGGAGTATTTGGACCTCCGCTAGGAAAGTACTTCATCTTCTTCATTGACGATCTCAACATGCCTGCACTGGAGAAGTTTGGTGCCCAGCCCCCGATAGAACTGATTCGTCAGTGGCTCGACTTCAATGGCTGGTACGACAGGAAAGCCATTGGTAAGCCAAGGATGTTCTAATGGTTCACTATTGGTGAAATCAAATTGACTTGATATTCATTGTGATTGGTTCTGTATTATGTGACTAGAGTTGGGACATTTAGAGTATTGATTGCTGGAGTAATCATACTGTCGTGTAACAAGATATTATTCAACCTGAAACTGACTTGACCAAGGAAACGAACAAATTATGGAACTTCCGCCTAAAGATTACAAGGAATATAAATTTGATCAAGAAAAAAATGTTAAATCAGTTTTGTAGTTAAGTCAGTTATAGTGTTGGCTTTAGTTATCTTGGGTAAAGATCCATGGAGCATGCTCCAACACTCCCTACTTGTGGTGGTTTTTGTCTCTCAGAAAGCTGAGAAATGGACTGCCATGTCTCTGAACAACATGTGATGGGCCTCCTGTATGTTGTTCAGTGAAGTAGTCACCAGCTACTACAAGAAAACCCTGCCTCAAAATGACTTTTCATTGAAGTTGCTTATACATTTTTGATATATTTTGTAGGTGAGTTCCGTAAGTTGGTGGATGTGAACTTCTGTTGTGCCATGGGACCCCCTGGTGGAGGACGTAACCCTATTTCCGCACGTCTTGTACGTCACTTCAACCTTCTGGCATTCACAGAAATGGAAGACATCAGTAAGAAGAAGATCTTCAGTGCCATCCTTAGGTCCTGGATTCGTAAGTAAAATTCATATATTTACTCTGTGATGAGCCCAGGAAGTCAACACATAGCATATGATTTAAGTTTGGGGGTGGGCTTATTACAGGACAATGAAATGATGATAAGTGATACTTAGAGCTATTCATGTAAAATATCTGTCCCACGCCAGGACTCCAGGTTTTGTATAGGGCTATTCCAGTTAAAACATCTATCCCAACCCCAGGACTCCAGGTTTGTATAGAGCTTTTACAGTAAAACATCTATCCCACCCCAGGACTCCAGGTTTGTATAGAGCTTTTACAGTAAAACATCTATCCCACCCCAGGACTCCAGGTTTTGTATAGAGCTATTCCAGTAAAACATTTATCCCAACCCCAGGACTCTAGGTTTTGTATAGCACTATTCCAGTAAAACGTCTATCCCAACCCCAGGGCTCCAGGTTTTGTTACGAGGTATACCACCCAAAGAATTCAATTGATAATTTGTTTAGAAGTAACAGGCAGGAAGCCGAACCATAGATAGAAGTGATTTATTTTGGAGTCTGGTATAGATGGTTTACAAAAACAGCCCTGAACAGCAATATCATTACCGTATCATTACCTTAAAAACAATAGTTTGTAAAACAATATGGTCATATTGTTTTTTACATGAAAAGACAAAAAAAATTCTATGTTTTGATCAGTTTCACATATTATTAATATTACCATATACAAAACAAACATGTAATATATTGTTAACTTAGAAACAGTAATCCTATTTTAGCATTTTCCGCCTATAGGTATTACATTGTAATATGAATTCACTACTTGCAGTTTCTGTATGTCATAAAAATAATGATTATTGTGTATATGCAAATATTTCATCACACTTATTTGTAAAAAAAATTGCTAAAGCTTTGTTATGTCAAATTTGTACAAAAAAGTGCCAAAACTTCATTTTGTCAAATTTGTACAAAAAAATGTTAAAACTTTATTGTGTCAAACTCAGTAAGTCTTCAGTAGTAATATATAACAAAAGCAGAAAAAGGCAAAACATTACAAGTGAAGCTTATAGCTACTTGTAACTCTGGAGTATTGTGTGATGATATCAATATTTTTGGTATGTTTCAGCTAATTCTTTAATGTCGCACTGCGATGGCCTCGTGGACACCTGTATCAACGTTTACAATGAGATCAGTTCACAGCTACTGCCCACACCTGCCAAATCTCACTACACCTTTAACTTGCGTGACTTGTCCCGAGTGTTTCAGGGCATGCTCATGTTGGAGCCAGGCAAGATAGAGGTATGTAGCATGTGATGATGATGCATCAATCTTTTTCTTCCTTAATATCTTTCAGCTCCGTTACAAAGATTGTAGTTCTGGGTGACATATCATTTCTCATATGTCTTGAAGAACTTTTCTGCAAATTATAATTTTTTCTTCAGGTATACTTTTTTTTTTCTTCTTTCATATGGTTAAACTATGTATTCAATTGAATTATCAATGTGTTTAGAATTTTTCAGGTCCTAAAGACATTTGAAATAATTTGCATTTTGAAAATTTAATTTGATTTAGATTGTTTAGGAGCTGATAAAGGAAATTATAATAAAAACATGATATTTTCTAATAAATCTAGAAATTTGGATTGTCTTTTGTGAAAAACTTCTTTTGAGTTGTACCTGCAACATATAGAGTGGTGTTATATAAAACTTTAGGGAATTACTGAAAATTGTCATCGTCATGCTTCTAATATCATATGAGAAGAGAAGATTGTACAAGACACATGATTGAATCATACCTTTCAATACAAATTCAGAATTGGAATTTAGAACTCGGAACTGACACTGACTCTACCTTCTTTGTAAATTTAGATTAAGATATAATAGAGCCAGGTATTAAATTAACTGCATCATACTGCTGTTTTGTCTTATTTTGAAAATCTGGGAGGTGACTTCAGGAAAAACCAAAATTGATTGCCGGAACATGGTACATCATTTTGTATGTAAATATTGCAAAACAGTTTTGTGCATCTGACCTAAGAATGTAATTTGATGCATTTTTCTTCCTTATATAACTGAAAGAAAATATCATTTCAATTTTGGGGGTTGCAAATATTTCCTTTTTCTTATAAAAACTTGATAGATATATGGTATGTGAGTGATTTTGATAACTACCTGACTGTTTCAGTATACTATAGTAAGTATCATATGCTTGTTACAATTGTTCATGGATGGTTTCTTGTTATATTTGTAGATTTCAATTTTTATTCCGCCAATTACAGTTCACATCACTTTGCTTATTTTAATGTTGAATTTTGAATTTTTAAACAAGATATCACGATTATTTAAGCCTAATATATTTTTGATATACATGTATTACTAAATCAGTTTCATTTTGATTTGAAGGTTTTGTTTTTTTTTTTAATTTTTTTATTCTTTATTAGTTTTGGCATTTCAGTCAAGACCAGCTTTTTGTACTGGTTATAATGTAAACATGTATGACAGATACACCACAAAATAACAGTGGTGATGGCTCCAACAGACTCACTATTCCCCCCTCCTCCCCAGAGTCCCCTACTGCCCATATTCCAAATTTCTAGTCCTCTTTCTACCTTGTCCTAAATTTCCAGTCCTTTATCTGTCATGTTCTAAATATCCAGCCCTCTTTCTTGCATGTCCCACATTTTCAAAGTCTTTCCGACGTCCCACATTTTCAAAGTCCCCAACCTCTGATGACCCCTATTATCAATGCCCCATGTGTCCAATGTTTCCTACCACCTATGCCCCACCTTTCTGAAGTTTCTGGCCTCCTTTCCACTTTAACCTCTGTTTTTCCCTACCTACCTCCAGTGTTCCTTATTTCCATTACCCTCCTATCCCCTACCTCCAATTTTCCCTACCTCCAGTGTTCCTTATTTCCATTATCCCCCTATCCCCTGCTTTCAATTTTCTCTACCTCCTGGTTTAAATTCTCCACTCCCCCTCTACCTACCGCCTCCTCTATCCTCTATTTCTGTACGTCCCCTTTTCCTGTCGCTCCCTAAAGCTATTTCTGTACGTCCCCTTTTCGTGTGCTCCCTCAAGCTATCTCTGTACGTCCCCTTTTTCCTGTGCTCCCTCAAGCTATTTCTGTACGTCCCCTTTTCCTGTGCTCCCTCAAGCTAGTCCCTGTCCTCTATTGATATGGTCATGGTTTTTTTCTTCATCAATCACTGTAGTCATACTATCATATATACATCACGGAATCTTAACATTTTAAGTTTAATATCCTTCTTTTATTTGCAGTAAAGAACATTAGATGAAATTGATTAAGTATTTCATTGCATCACAAATCACTTGCAAATCCTCCTAGAATTAATATTTACATTTTCATTGGCGCTTATCCTGAAAAAAAAATGGATCCACATTTTTTAAATAGCTGGCACCATTTAAAGGAACTTTCATTTTTCCGTAGTGTCTGTAATTCAGATACATCGTTATAGTACAGACAATGGTTCTGTATCATTAAGGTCGCTCAGTTTTTCTGTTTGTCCCATACTGTTACAAAGTTGTTGTCAACACAGCTAAGCTTGAGTTTTATGATTTGGTGCTGTCAAATTTAAGTACATTATTGTTTTTGATAAATTAGCACAATTATATATTTCCACATTCAGAGTAGTTACATTCAAACAGCATAAACAAAAACTTTAATTAGTGCAATCTTATTTTAGCGCAGAACTTTCAGCAAAGAAATGAAAAATGAAAAATAAGATTATGACTCAGATATGTACATTTGCTGGGGACAGATTTAGTAAGATAAGGATACGGGACCTCAGTATTCCCTTAAAAACAACTCGTTTTCATTCTGTCATTCCTTCATTAATATCCTCAAGTTATAAAAATCCTCAATAACATCCTCAACTAACCTACTAGACATCCTTAAGTACTGATACCCTAAACTAAAGTCTCACTCTTTCCTCTATAGTCCCTAGACGACATCCTCAAGCTGTGGTACCACGAAAGCTGTCGAGTCTTCCAGGACCGTCTTGTCAATGACGAAGATAGAAACTGGTTTGACAATCTGATGAAGGAAAAAATGAAATCTGACTTTAACCTTGAGTTTGACAAGGTTGTTGACAAGCTGCCAATCTTGTTTGGGGATTTTATCTCCCCTGGAGCAGGCGACAGCAAACCATACCAAGAAATGAAAGACCATGAAAAAGTGGGTGTCCATGTTTATATGTTTGTCGGTAACTTACTATAAAGTCATGTATTTTTGTGAGGCTTAATTTTGTAGTTTTTCAAAATAAAAAAAAATATAGAAAGAAAGAAAGAAAAAGTCTGATATCTGGACACGTTGTTTATAAATATAACTCATTAATTTACTTATACAGATATTAGTAATTAGTAAATTAATGAATTTATGGATTGAGAGCATACAAGAAATCTATGAAAAGAACCCCCCCCCCCCCCCCCTTAAGATAATTAATGATATTAGAGTACTTATTCTGCATAAAGCTGAAGGGGCGGACACCTCCAATCCAAAATCATGAAGGGGATGGGCTTATTACAAGACAATTAAGTCAGATTTAATGCTAATTCTACAAAACAATTGATGTTGGAGGGCCTGTTATCATGTATGAGTTTATTTTCACATCTATATCATAGTACAATGAAACAATGGACATTTTCAGATGGTGAAGGTCCTAGAGGAGAGTCTTGACGATTACAATCAGATCACCACTGCCCAGATGAAGCTCGTACTTTTCATGGACGCCGTGAAACATGTCAGCCGAATCAGTCGTATCATCAGGCAACCAATGGGTAACGCTCTCCTTCTGGGTATGGGTGGTAGTGGACGTCAGAGCTTGACCAGACTGGCCGCTCACATGTAAGTATCTATAATATTGTACATCTAAAACCTATCAAAGAGAAACTCAGCAAACTTGAGATATTGTTTATAAAACTAGCTTATATTAGTTTCCTACCTTGAAGTTTTGTTTCATTTTGAAATACTACCAGCATCAATATGTAATTAATTTTGAAATTGACAAATATTTTTCTCTCCCTCAAATATAGGTCAGACTTTGAATGCTTCCAAATTGAACTTGCCAAAAACTATGGGATTAATGAGTGGAGAGAAGATTTGAGAAAAGTGATGATGAAGGCGGGTTTGGAGAACAAACCTGTTGTGTTTTTGTTCTCTGACACACAGGTGAGTATAATCTCTACGGCATATCGGAAAACTTTCGCTACAATTGAACTTTCACATATTTTCTTGCTTTTGTCAATAGAGGGGAAAAAAAGGTGGTGGAAGTTTACTGGTAAAGTAGATATATAAATGTTTTTGTTTATTTAGGGCAACTCTAACAATAGATGAAAACAAACAGGTTTATCAGCAGGTAAAAATGAATATTTCCTTAAAGGAAGTATATAATTATACATTTATAGGGTTCTTTACGCCAGGAATCGCGTTGTTTGTTGCGATTTAATGAGTTTTTCCATATATCCCTAGATTTGTGCTGAAAAAATCTGTATCTTATATTACGTGATAGCTATAGAGGGAAACAGAGTTGCTTTTAAAATGAGAGTGATCTCTTAAGAAAAAAGGATTGCTGAATGGAAGTGATCTCTTAAGTTTGTGTATGTATGAGCAAATTACATTGGAGGACCTACCTGTTTGTTACAGATCAAGAACGAATCATTCCTTGAAGATCTGAACAACATCCTGAACGCTGGAGACGTGCCAAATATTTACGGCTTTGATGAACAAGATCAGATCTACACAGCCATGAAACCCATTGTCCAGGATCTGCAGCTTCAACCAACCAAAACCAACCTGTTTGCATGTTACACTAAACGTGTCCGCAGTAACCTTCACACAGTCATCACCATGAGGTAGGTCACACTAAACAAGAGTTACATCCCTTGATAGAAAATCTAGTGTTGTTTTTTTTTTTTTTTTTAACTTTTTACCAATCCTAGCCAAATATTCTCTCTTTCTTTTTCTTATGATTAACTTGAATACTTGGATATCTCAAAATATTTTATGATCAAGTCATCTCTTAGATAAACAAGATTTTATTGCACTGAATTGTATTTTATATCTAATATGTAACACGGAATTTTGGATGATTTAAATATATTCAGATTTATGCTTGTTTTTGAAAGTATAATGTATGTAAATATTCTTGTTACAATTCTAAATTTTTAAAACTTCATTTTTTTTTCATTTATGTTTTTTATTATTCCAATATAAACCCTGGTAGATATTGAATGATGTGTTTATCCTACCACCTTGCAGCCCCTTGGGAGAAGTGTTCCGAGCTCGTTTGAGGATGTTCCCCGCACTCGTTAACTGCTGTACCATTGACTGGTTCAGTGAGTGGCCGGCTGATGCCCTGCGATCTGTAGCCATGAGATTCTTGACCGACATTCCTGAATTGGACACAACAGACCAGGTTATGGAAGGGCTGGTAAGGAATCCTTAATTGTATATCTATACATAACCAGAGTGTAAACACAAAGTCATTAGATCACAGAGTCTTGTTTGATAGCCTTTTGAGGATTTTTGTGGATGATCGTCTGCTATGATTTAATGCAATCTAACAAAACAACAAAGTTCAATGCTCCCTACCTGTCATGGAGCTGTGAAAGCTGAGAAACAGACTGGTCTGTACTGACATGGTTATGTTCTTGGGCAAGATACTTTACTCTTATGGCTGTGGATGACATGTGACTGGCCTCCTGTATGTTGTTCAGTGAGGTAACCACCAGCTACTACATGGAAACGTTGCCTCAAAATGACCCTGGCTATTCAAGGAGTGATAAACCCAGCAATCAAACAAACAATACATGTGCTGTTAATATCTGGTTATCGGATTGATCATTATGTTTTTCGTCTTGTCTCTCATACAAGCTTAGTTTGAGATGAGAATGTTCTTGGAGTGATTTTAACGCTAAGTTTGATTGTTAACAGGTGATCATGTGCCAAGAAATTCAGATGAGCGTAACAACAAACTCCCACCGATTTCTGTCGGAACTCTCCCGTCACAACTACGTCACTCCTACCAGCTATCTTGAACTTCTTAGCATCTTCTCCAAACTCGTTGGAATGAAGAAGACAGAACTCAGCACTGCAAGGAAACGTCTCAAGACAGGTCTGGACAAGGTCAGTTCCATTTATCTCATCTTTATCTATAGTGGTTATGATTTTTTTTAAAAATAAAATGACAAATGAATAGAATACTTTTAAAAGAAAGATAGATAATGCAGCATTATATCAGAGGAAAAATTGATAAAAGCTGTGATTTGTCAGTGTTTCCAGTGGAGACTTGTGTAAGGTCCAAATTCTTAAAATAATTTGTGATATAATAGCCTTAGAATCTTTTTTTTAAAAATGGCAACTATTGAAATGAGTGATTTTAACATTACGTTTGTTCAAGATTGATCTTCTTGAAAACAAATATAAAACAATTGCAAAATTTCGATTGGGAACGACAGTAAAAACATAGATTAATACAGTGAAATAAAAAAAAACATAGATTAATACAGTGAAATAAAAAAAAAACATAGATTAATACAGTGAAATAAAAAAAATAAACTATGTTTCAACATGCTTTAGAAAATAACATTACAACAAATTTTTTATTTACCTTAAACAGTTGCTGACCACTGCTGATGAAGTGGACAAACTGTCTTCTGAGTTGGCGACCATGAAACCACTCCTGGAGGACGCTGTGAAAGAATCCATCCAAACCATGGAACAGATCTCAAAAGACACGGTGAATACCTCTCACTTCATAAATTTCATAAATTTTCTTTGAAAATTAAGTAATTCCCAAAATTGCCTCCTACAATTTTAGTTGAGTAATCTAGATAAAGTTGTTTAAAGATCAATGAATGGTTGTCAAGGAAATGTTCTGATTAAAAGTTTTGATGTGTTTGCTTTTCAAAGAAAAAGTTTGATAAAAATATCGGTTTGTTTCATCCGTCTCTCATTCTAAATTCCTCATTTAGTTTTTAATTCCTCTTTCAGTAGAGACATTTTGTCAATGTCCCTTCTCATACCAAGTTCAATTACCAGTATGTTTTTATGTATACAATCGATAAGATTTTTAAATATGTTATTTCATTAGTGGTCTCTGTTTAGGAATTTTGTTTACTTATCTGAATACTAGTTTCTATGTCCTTCACAATTGTTGTCCTCTTCAACTGTTTTACACTGATGTCCTGATAGTGGAAAGTTCAACTTCATGAATTGGTCATTTTGATATTAGTTGACGGAAGATGATAAACTTCTTGTAAATAAAACTTTATCATAATGTGTTCGCATAATGTTTTGCAGGTCATTGCTAATGAAACCATGGAAATGGTGACAAAGGAGGAAGAACAGGCTACAATCAAAGCTAGAGAGACTCAAGCTATTGCAGATGATGCTCAACGTGACCTCAATGAGGCCCTTCCTGCTCTTGTATGTCCTAAATAACATTTTTAAAATAAACAAAAACATACCAAACTGTAAAGAAATTTTAAGTTTCAGTAATAACAAATTCCAAACTTACAAGTTAAAAAAAATCAATATTTAAAATCTGTTTGAAAAATGAAAAATTGTTAGCTAAACTTTGTTGATAATCTTTGTTTACTGCACATATACTATAAATAATTATTTCAGCGCTTTTTTGTATTCTGTTAAAATATGATTTCGCAGTTTCTATATTTAATCAATAAAGCATTTATTGTGAATAAATACACATTTTCAACGTGCAATATTTTTTTCAAAATTAATATTTCACCAAACTTTATCACACCAAAGTAAGTATATTTGCAGTAAACAGATTTTTAAAAATTTTCTAGACAACATTTGTATTTTCAGCATGCAAGTTTACAACTTCATATGGTATCGTTTGCTATATATAATATGAATTTACAGTTTACAATGCATGCCATGTACCCCTTCAGCTTGTTTGTTATGTAGTTTACTGTTACTATTTATAAACACTATAGTGACCTTTGACCTCGTTACAGGAAGCGGCTGTGGCCAGTTTGAAGTCTCTGAACAAGAATGATGTGGTGGAAGTGCGTGCCATGACACGCCCACCAGATGGTGTCAAGATGGTGATGGAAGCTGTCTGTATTATGAAAGCTATCAAACCCAAGAAAGTTCCTGGAGAAAAGGTGAGAACACCACTGTAATTAACAGTGTTAATTAGTGTTAATTGTCTTGTTTTCTGAGGAAGAACTCCTGCCTTACCTTACCTTGACCTAATTTTACTCCCTCACCACAGAGTATAATTCATTGAAGTCTGGTAAATTTGATCAGACTTGACAAACAATTAAAAAAAAGAAATATTGTTGGTGAAACATGTTTACAATTACCTAAAAGAGATATTTGAAATTAGTTTTTTATGGTAAAATCTGTTTAGAGCACAATGTGGAGACCATAAGACATTATGAAGTCAAACAATCTCTGTAGTGGTAATTTTTTTCACAGTTACGTAGATGTTCATGGCAAGGTGTTTACCCCTTTAATTTAATCCGAAATATACAGAAAGACATTCCGCTTAAATCTTTACCATTGTCTTTGTAGCCTGGTCAGAAGATTGACGACTATTGGGAGCCTGGTAAGGGCATGTTGTCTGACCCTGGCAAGTTCTTGGAGAGTTTGTTTAAGTATGACAAGGACAATATTGGTGACGATACCATCAAAAAGATTCAGTCATATATCGATGATGAAAATTTCACACCTGCAGCCATTGCAAAGGTAAAAAGTGCATAATATTTTATTTCAAAATTGACTTGTATGGTTTCAGCTTTTGTCATTGTTTACTTAACGATAATTTTTAAAATCAGTGTTAAACAAAATTTAACAGATTCCACAATCTGCTGTCTAATTATGTTAATTGATTTGTTTTTGACGCATCACTAGCAATGTAATATTAATAGAAATTAAAAAAATTGAAAATTCTTTATTTTTTTGAAAGATGCATCTCTGATAGTAACTTATTTTTCTGGAGAATCTGGAGAACAAAAAAAAAAAAAAAAACTTTTATTCAAAGTTAAGCAAAAGGACTTATTACTGGATGGTGAAATAGCATTGGATTAGTTTCTAATTCTACTCAACACTAGTCGTAATGATAAATTTTACAGGTATCCAAAGCCTGCACATCCCTGTGTATGTGGACGAGAGCTATGCACAAGTACCACTTCGTAGCAAAGGGTGTGGCTCCTAAGAGAGAGAAGTTGAGGGTCGCACAGGAGGAATTAGCCATCACTCAAAAGATCCTGGACGAAGCCAAGGCAAGGCTTCATGAAGTGCAAGAAGGTATTAGGACACTGCAAGCAAAATATGATGACTGTGTACGCAAGAAGGAAGAACTGGAGAATAAGTGTACGGAATGTGAGGGAAGACTCGGCAGGGCTGACAAGGTAACACACCATATATCTCAGTAAACAGGGGAGAGAATAAAGATGTCTACTTTATGATAAGATTTATCAAAAAAAACACAATGGAATTTTTAATTTACAAAATATAAATTTATTTTGATACTTTTTTTAGGTTGAATAGTTGTTGTTGTATTTGTTGATTTAAAGAAGAAGACACTGAAAAAAACAACTTGTATTTATTGTCAAAATGGCTAGTTTCTTAACAGTTGATTTATCAATATAGTTGATTGATTAATTGATTGATTGATTTTATTGATTGATTGGTAAATAGGTTAATTTGATTGGTTGATTTGATTGATTGACTAATTTGTATTGCAGCTGATTGGTGGACTGGCTGATGAGAAAGAAAGATGGAAGGAGTCAGTATCAAGACTTGAGAAGATCATTGACAACTATGTTGGTGATGTTCTTGTGTCGGCCGGTTATGTAGCGTACCTTGGACCCTTTACTGTAAGTGTTGGCCACTGATCTGGTCACTACTAAAGAGCTTATTCACATATTTAAAAATCTACCTAACCACAAATCCTATCAGTTTTCGGCAGTTTTCATACTCCCTCTATTACAGGGGATACCTAGACATACATAATGATAGTGGACAAAAATTAATCTGATACTATAAATACCTTTTTCAATTTCACTAGACATGATATAATTAGAAAGTCAGCTCTAACAGGCTGGTGTATATACAATTTTTGAGCAAATAGAAAATCTATGACATGTGTCAGGTAGGCTTGTTGCAGGACTATGAAATACCATTGTAGTATTTAGTATCCCATACTGCAATGAGCATGACTTTTTTATCTTAATAAATAGCTAATGTCTTTAAGATGTATGTCTGAAAAATTTGAAAATGAATTAGAATATTTTCTCTCAAAGAAAAAAAATAATGAAAATTGCAGTCAGTTAGCAAAACTATTTAATTTTATAACTGAAAATTAAGCACATTTAAAACCTCAGTCTTATTATCATTTGTTTAGGGTGAATACAGACAAAGAATGGAGAAAGAATGGGTGAAAAAGCTGGATGAACTAAAAGTGCCACGGACTGATGATCCCACCATCATATCTTGTCTTAGTGATCCGGTGAAAATTCGGAGCTGGCAGATTGCTGGTCTTCCCAAGGATAACTTGTCCGTGGAGAATGGTGTCATCGTCCAGTATGCTCAGCGATGGCCACTCTTCATTGACCCCCAGGGCCAGGCCAACAGATGGGTCAAAAACATGGTACACTTGGAATATTATCTTAAGTTTTTTTTTTTTTAATTAAACATTTATGTGAAGGATACATGCTACCTTACACTTTATGCAATATATTTTAGAGTTATCTCCCCTAAACACAAAGTTATTTCCCTTAAGCACTCAAAATATCCAAGTGACTATACATATTTATTTGTTTATTTGTGACATTTTTTTTTTGAATGTTGCCATCCATTTTCTAATAACACTTTATACAAAATGTTTTATAGTATTTTATAGAATGGAACTCTTTTAAAATTTGAACGTCACATCAAGTAATGTACATGTAGTTTTTTTGGGTTTTTTTTTTTTTTGTGAATTAAGAAAGAATAAAAATTTAAGCTGTTTTTCAGTACAGGTAGATTTTACAAAGATTTATAATAAATTTTGAAAAGTTTCCAGTTACAAAGTTTTCTGAAAATAATTCCCTGAACCTACTCACTTCATTTTTGAAAATCATATTAATATTCAAAAACCTGATCTTAAATGTCATTGATTTTTACAGGAGAAAGATAACACCCTGGACGTGATCAAATTGTCTGATAAAGACTTCCTGCGTAGCTTGGAGAACGCCATCAGATTTGGTAAACCATGTCTACTTGAAAACATCAGCACCGAGTTGGATCCTGCTCTGGAACCCATTCTTCTTAAACAGGTCTGTGGTTGTTATGATAATGACAATCAAATGCATACTGGGAAATAAAATATTTGGTGGAGCTCAATTTTCATTGTTTTTCAAAAAAGTACTTTTTTGTGGACATTTTTTTTTGTGGGTATATATAGCTAAATGATTCTTAACTAATCTAACTAATTTTAACAGTTCGTTTGTAAATGAACTTTTGGATTAACAATAGTCACAAAATCAATTAAAGTAAATCTCTTACTAAAATAAATGATTTAACTGTAAGTGACACACAGGGAAACTGCCCTGGCTGTTTAACTTCGTCTGTTTTTACGTTTTTGGCTAAAGGACAAAATTAAAAGCTGGAAGTTGAAACTGAAAGATATGTTTCCTCTATTTCTTCTCAAATTTAACACTAAATAAATGAACAATTTTCTGGGGGAAAAAATCCATTGGTGAATTTTTGACAGTGTTTCAATATGGCAGACATTTTCTATATTTCTGGGATGGTATTTAAAGAAAAGAGTACACACATTCTCATGTTATTCTTAGAGTTGGGATTGCTTCAACTATGGTCAGTATGAGAATAGATAAATTAGGGACATTTGATATTTATTATTGCTGAAAGTTGTCTCCGAACATTTGTACACGACCCTCTTTGAAAATTTTGATACATTTTAAACTGAGTGCTGAGTTTTGAAATATTTTTAATGACACAATTAATGCATTCTTACTTCTATCACAGATATTTTAATTTTCTCTTTAATATCATTAAATTTGTCTTTTTTTTTTTATTGAATGTTATCTTTTTTTTCAGATTTTCAAACAACAAGGTAGTATGGTAATAAAACTTGGAGATGCTGTAATTCCTTACCACGATGACTTTAAGTTCTACATCACCACCAAGCTTCCTAACCCCCATTACACCCCAGAGGTGTCAACAAAGGTCACACTTGTCAATTTCACTTTGTCACCAAGGTATGTCATCTTCCTGTCCTGTGTTTCTGTCAGATTAACTATTAAAGATTGTAAAGAAATAAAAATGATCAGCATTTTGCTCTGCAAATTTAGACATTGATACAGCATAGCCAAATACTGAAATAAACAACCACTGCTCAAATGAAGTAAAACGTGGTATACAGATGACATCAGCAATGCTGGGGATCTAAACTCAAGTTTCTTTCTAAATTCAGTTCTTAGTTATTTGAAAATAATTTGCAAAAAATTTATTTAAAAAATGATAAAATCTGACATGCAGTGTTTGAATGGTCTTTAACCTGTAATTTTATATAGATGCTGAAATTGTCTTCTTTCTCCACTGATGTTTCACTTGTGTAAAATTATTAATTCATTTGTGTAACCTTGACCTCTGACCTTGACCACATTCCAGACTTTGATATGAAATCTGTTACTTAGTCAACCCTGATAAAATAAATGAGTATGTGAGCTCTCAAGTGAAAATATTGGTCAGTAGCCAGCTTACTGATACTTTTGATAAAACAGTTTAGTTGTAGCTTACCTTGACCTTGGGAAGGACTGATATTTGACCTTGAAATATAACTGATACATGAGCTTGACCTCAACAATGACCTTGAATTCTAGATTGACAAATATTTGACCTTGAATTCTAATATTTCACATTTAAATTTAGTATCAGTAATACTCAAACTTGACCTTTCACCCCACAGTGGCCTTGAGGACCAGATGTTGGGTATTGTGGTGGCTGAAGAAAGACCAGATCTAGAGGAAGCTAAGAACCATTTGATTGTTAGCAATGCTAAGATGAAGCAGGAACTGAAGGAGATTGAGGACAAGATCTTACTGAAGCTGAGCACCTCCGAGGGAAGTCCTGTGGATGATGTTGACCTCATTGCCACACTGGAGGCATCCAAGATTAAGTCACAGGAAATCAAGGTCAGTCTTCTCTACAATTTATACAAATATTTGTTAGTTCTTTGTTTGGTTAAATTTTTAGGATGGTTTCTGTTAAGTTTAATTTTTTAAGGTGTTCGGATATAAAGAAATAATTTTTGATAAATGGTTAAAAGGAAATATGTGTTGAAAGTAATAAATTACACTAGTTTTAGAAAAAGAATAAAAGGATGTTTTCTTGTATTAACTGATAATATCTGAAGTCAATTTCAATAATTTGTATAAATTTTCCTAGTTCAAAGTTTCATTTTAAAGCTTTTTGATTCACGTTTTTTTCTTTCTGTTTTCTCTTTTAATTTTATCTGAAATGTGCAAAAACTGATGGTTTGACAAGGCTAATAATGATTGGGATTGAACCAATTTTCTATTATAGGCTAAAGTGATTGTAGCCGAGCAGACAGAGAAGGATATTGATGTGACCAGAAGCCAGTACATTCCTGTTGCCATCAACACTCAGATCCTTTTCTTCTGTGTAGCGGATATGGCCAACATTGATCCTATGTACCAATACTCCCTGGAGTGGTTCATCAACATCTTCCTTGGTGGAATCGCGCACGCAGATAGAGCAGGTATATCAATAATGTGATTTTTTTGTGATTTCAAATTTCAATGAAGCTTGTAAACGATGCAGCTTTAAATTTACAGTAAAACTGCAAAAAAAAAAAAAAAAAAAAAACTATTGAATGACTAAATTGATAGGAAATCTGAGCCATCAAATTAAATAAGTATTTCAGTTGTCACAGAAAAGGTTTAAAAATATCAATTGTTTATCTAGAAAAATATGTATTTCTCTTGCTGAAAAAGGCGTTCTACGGAAAACTGATTTCTGTAATTACTTGATGCAAGAAATTCAAATAATCCCAGAAAATTTCAACACTTCAGATTGATGCTGTATTTATATTTTTGTTGTTTGAACTTTGCAGACAACCTTCCCCAGCGTGTAAAGAACATCAACGAATACTTCACCTTTAGCCTCTACAGCAATGTGTGTCGCTCACTTTTTGAGAAACACAAACTTCTTTTCTCTTTCCTCTTGTGTACCAGGATCAAGATGAACAAAGGACTCATTAATATGGTAGGTTTGTTTTACTTCATAGTATTCTATATATATGTCAATAAATGAAAAAACAGTTTCATATTTTAATAAAATTTTCAGTGTGAGATCTGTTACACACAAAATAATGTTTTCTTGAAACACCTCTAAATTTGAGCCTCACAATATTATCTATTTTTACAGGAATTTGGATCTGGTTTGTTGGAATGTAGTTGTGATTCAATAAAATTTCAAACCATTCATCAGATGAGTAAAAATCGTCACATATTTATTTTGTAGGATGAGTGGCGTTTCATGCTGGCTGGAGGCATCATCAAACCCAAGGTTATAGATAACCCTGCCCCAGAGTGGATATCTGCCCGGTCGTGGAGTGACATTCTCACCACTGCAGTCCTTGAAAAATTCAGTACATTTGCAGATGATTTCAAGAACAATGTGGATGGCTTTAAAAGGATATTTGACAGTGGTGATCCACACAAGTATGAATGATTATTTGTTGTAAATCTTACCCCTCAAAATTCATTATTTCAATGCCTAAACAGCCTGTAACTTTTGTATGACTTCCTCTCTGAAAATTTTTTTTTCAACAGAAGTGGCTTTTGTGTCACAAAATAATATTATAGAATTTTCATAAATAGTTAGATTCAAGCAGGAATTGAATTATTTTGATATTGATCTTTTGAAATTTTTTAATTTTTTAATTTTTTTTTGTAATGTTTATTGCGCATTGTAGTTACTTAGCTTACTATAGCATTGGCTAACATAACCTCAGGTGAAGGTTTGAGGTATGGGGTTTGATGCACCTTACTCATGGTGGTTCATGTTGCTCACGAATCCGAGAAACGAACCAAACTGCAGTTATGGCAGTGTCCAAGGGAAAGACCTTTACCCTTATTGCTTTGAATGGTATGGAATGGGCCTCCTTTATGTTGTTCATTGAGGTAGCCACCAGTGTTAAAAATTGTGATCATTAGCATTAAATACCACTATTTCTGACTACCTGTTTTATAAAAATGCTGGTGTTTCTTTCTGTACAACAGAGAAGATTTACCTGGAGAATGGAATGATTCTCTAGACTCCTTCCAGAAGATGATCATTCTTAAGTGTCTACGACCGGACAAAATCACGAATGCCATGCAGGAATACGTAGCCAGTAACCTCGGACAGAGATTTATTGAACCACAGGTAATTCTCATAATTAGAACAGGTAAAAAATTCATAGGAAGAAATTCAAAGCATCTGCCAATGATTTTTATTCCATGAATCAAGTCAACAACATACTTGGTAAACTTAGGCAATTTCTGTTCGTTAGTTTGACCACCTGGACCAAGGCTGTTCATTTATGTTCATATTTTGCTTTCTGACTTTCCCAGATAAAAACATTTGAAGCCGAGTATTAATTTCTGCAGTCTGTCCTGACATATGCCAGAAATGTTACACTTAAAATGTTGATGACCAGACTTTTCTGTATAGATAAAAGTAACATTGTACTTACCCTGTTGAATTACCTTACAGACTGCCGACCTTCACCTTGTCTACAAGGATTCCTCTCCCACAACACCTTTGATCTTCGTCCTGTCCACTGGTACTGATCCAGCCGCTGATCTGTACAAGTTTGCTGAGGAGATGAGATTCACCAAGAAACTAAGTGCTATATCTCTGGGTCAAGGACAGGTAAGAAGCACTTATCAACAATCTGCAGCATTATTCATGAACTATTAAAACTGCTTAATATCATGTCCAGTCAGAGGAAAATGTGATATTAACAGGAATGTGATATTAACAGTAGATATGGTTTTTTTTCAGCTGTCAGAACCTAGAAGTGACCTAAATTAGAAATCAATATCAACCAAAATGTGATATTAAATGATGTGACACTAACTGGTTGTCACTCTATCCTCTTTCTACAATTGTACTTTTTGCAATTACTTGAAGAAGGGACAATGTATACATCATTTTTTACATTAATATCTGTAAATATTTCTGATTTGAAATTGACTCTTCTTGCAATTTTGAATTGATCCTTATCAGCAAGTCTTGAGGTAGTTTTAATATTACGTGTATAGTAATTAAGTCGCTTGAGCTCAAGTCCCAATAGCCATATAGCTGGTCATCCTTTTGATTCCATCTGTTGACTTAACAGTATCTGGTATTGCTGCATTTTGTTACCAGGGTCCAAGAGCTGAGGCAATGATGAGAAGTGCCATGGAAAGGGGTAAATGGGTGTTCTTCCAGAACTGTCACTTGGCACCAAGTTGGATGCCTACTCTGGAGCGACTTATTGAACAGATAGACCCAGACAAGGTCTGTACAGATGTGGACAGTCTAATAATGCTATTGTCTTTCTCTAATGATTTAACTTTTTGTCTTCAATCTGTTTAATTTACATTAATAGAGAATATTGTGTTCATTTCTATTTAATATATTCATGGAACAAGTCTCCAGAATTTTTAATTTTTTTTCTGAGTCATTGTGTAATTTGCGAAGTAGAATGGTGCTATTGAATTTCTGATTAATTTATTTTTCATGCATTTTCAGTGGTCATTTCACATATATATGATGTTATATTCTGAGTACAGGTGCACCGAGACTTCCGTCTCTGGCTGACCAGTATGCCCAGTGCCATGTTCCCAGTTTACATTTTACAAAACGGGTCTAAGATGACTGTGGAGCCGCCCCGTGGACTGAAGGCCAATCTTCTCAAGTCCTACACAGGGTTTTCTGATGATATGCTCAATGCTTGTGGGGACAAGGTGAGAATCAAAACCGAATCTATGATTAATTATTTTTTTAACCTTTATTTTATATAATATATATTGTTTCTTTTGTATGTGTTCATTTCTGTAACAAAATTACATTTAAAAATTATCAGAATGTTGTTTTTTTGTTAAATTCATTGTATATAAAAATTGACTTCTGTGGGGGAAAATACCGAATTTTAGCTTTTGGTAAAACAGCATAGATTTGACCCTTACAGTATATACAATTTTTACATCAGTTGTTGACTTTCGTTTTGTATTTCAGACACAAACATTTAAAATGTTGCTGTTTTCACTGTGTGTGTATCATGGTGTCGTGATTGAGCGAAGGAAGTTCGGAGCTCTTGGTTTCAACATTCCGTATGAATTCACAGACGGTGATCTGCGTATCTGTGTCAGCCAGTTGAAGATGTTCTTGTTGGAGTACTCAGAAATCCCCTACAAAGTAAGAAAGCTACTTCTTGTATTTACATACCTAAACATAGGGTTTAATATCATAACAAGCCCAGGGGACCCAACACATTATAGTAGACTCAGATTTGGAGAATGGGCTTATTAAAGGACCCTTGGGGGCTAACACATTATATCTGACTCAAAGTTAAGGGGCGGGCTTATTACATGACAATGGATTTGGTTCTTATTCTTCTGATTTGTATTAAATGTAAGTGGGTTATTACTGGGTTAATATGGGAGCGAAAATTCACACAAATTTTAAACCATGGGAAAAAAGTGATCTTTATAAGAATTGCAGCAGGATTGCTGAGTCGTTGGATGTTGTCTTATGTTTTTTTCGCTAATAATCACTTATCTGCCAACAGGTGCTTGTGTACACAGCTGGGCACATCAACTACGGAGGTCGTGTTACGGATGATTGGGACAGACGCTGCATGATGACCATTCTTGGTGACTTCTACCGACCCGCTGTCCTGGAGGATGGCCACAAGTTTTCGGAATCAGGGATATATTATCAAATCGACACATCTAACGACCATAATGTAATTACGTGATACATCATTAGTGCATGTGTTTAGTCTAACTACGGGCTACAACTCCCGCCTGACCTCTGGGTGTGGACCCCGTTCGTAGTATGATAGGTCACTCATGCCCATTACACTGGGTGTATCACAGTTAACTTATGGACGTTGGGGCGAGAGATTTGAGTGAATGTTGGTGCTGTTTGGAGTTGGGGCTAGCAATCCAAAAAAGAACACATTTTCGACATAGCATCTACCTGATAATTGGAATGAGGAAATTAAATCAATTAATTAAGCTACCAGATTGAAAATTCTTACAACTAAAAAATCTCATCTCAAAAAGAAAGTGTTATTTCAAAATTCAATGTTTCATATTTAAATTATAAATATATGAGTTGTTGCAAATATTTGTAAAATGTTCAAATTTCTCTACTAAAATTTGCATGTTTTATGTGTATGATAGTAAGTGAAATGTGTTCTTAGTTGAAGCTGTTGTGATTGAGAAAGTTTGCAAACCTATTTAGTCAATCCTGTTGTTGAAAGTCACTGTTAATTTAAACAGTGACTTTAACAGCTACCCAGTATTCATTTAATATACGGATGGTATAATTAAAAGTCTACCCAGCTGTATAATTGGACACCAAGTTTTAATACATTATGAGAAGTTATGTGTTTGCTGTTCTTTACAAGAAACTCTCAGGTCAAATCTATATTTGACTGAAAAGATTTAGAGAAAGATTCATTAATGTTTTACTGGGATAGTTAACTATACCATCATATTTGCTTCTAGTTAGTAAACAGTATACTACAACTGTATCACACTCTCTGTAGGGGTAGATAAAATTCTACCCATGGAAAGTCCATCCTTAAAAACTGTTTGTTGTTAAACCTACTTTATATTTTTCGTTATTTCATTACTGGCAATTCTTTTTTTTTTAATTGTATCAAAAATCAATATTACGAATAATGAAAGTTGATAATTCATGAAAATAATGATTTTATAATTGTTCAAAAACCTTTGCAGTATTTGCCTACACAAAATCTGTTGACTTTCTTTAACCTAATCCTGTTTTTGCATTAATTCTATTTTTAGGAGTAAGGATGAAAATAAAAATTGTTCAAAATATTTTGAAAAAAAAAGTTTGAAAAAATTTTTTTTTTAAAAAATAAAAAAAAAAGATAGAAATTGCTTAATGTATTATATGGTAATTGATTATTTACTTGTGTTAGAAGACACATGTAGTATTTGTGTACATACAAACAGTTTTAAAGGATGTGAGACTTATTTTGGTAACACTAACCTCCTATACTATATACCATTTAAAATTATTATAAATCATTCGCATTTGAAAATTGATCATTTATAATGGTGTTCAGGCCAGTGCCACACATTGGCAGTGATCTGAATGTGATGAAATTTTATTGAAAATTTTCAAAAATGAACAAATCTTCACAAGATCAAAAAAAAAAAAATTTGAAATTTAACTGTTATGTTGCTTGCTGATTTGACGTAACTTATAATGATCTTCAGTCATGTTTAGGCCTTGACTAGAACTCTTGTTTAGTCTTTCATTTACTCCACTCGCACATTTCTCAGTGGCTTTTTTCTGTAGTGACGTTCTGTTCTCTATAAATCTTTTCATTTCTTTATAAACTATTCTATAAGAAAAAAACACTGTTACAGTTCACCTCTTTTCGGGGCTTCCTGTCTTTCTGATTTGCTTTTTTTTACGACAGCACTTTAACCATAAAACACTAGTAAATAACAAGGAAAAATAGCTTGCATGTTAAAATTACTGCTTAGAAAATTTTTAAGATTTTTCTTTCTTTAGAAAAGGTTTCACATGTAGTATTTAAAAAAAAAAATTTTTATTGACTTTATAGATGATATGTTTTATTTCAATTAATCTAGCTTAATTTACCCAGTAGACATATCAGTTATTAACTGGAGAATATTTATAGCTATAAATCAGCTTTCGTATCCGTACCTCTTAAGTTAGACGGAGAATCTTATCACTTCACAAATAGATGTACATAATGGAGAATGGAAGTTAGTTTCACTTTCACTTCTGCATGCATGTGTCTTTATAAAACTATTGTATAAATTTCATATCTTTTTCACAATTTTAGTATTTTCTTATTTGAAAAAATACTATATAAATTAGTGCACTTTTCTGTATAAAGAAAAATAGGCAGAATTGATATTTTAGAAATTTAGTTTCTGTAGAAAAACCACCATGTGTGTATGAAGAGTGTGATTGATGTTGAGGAAGGAAATGAGTGTAACTGAATATAATTGCACAGGTAAACTACGATGAAAAATATTTACTACATGTAAAATTTTATTATACTCAAGAATAAGAGAATGAGAAAATGATATTATTTCTTTGATAAAAGGTATACTTATTTTGGAGTATCTTAAGTTATTTGAATGACTCCTAAAAGTGATATTAACAGACATGACAATAAGTGATTTCCAATTCACTGGTTTTCACTCTTTTGTTACTTTACTAAGGTGACAATATAGGAAGATAGAAATACAAAATCGTATTTACAAACAAACAAAATAGAAATTGTATTTACAAACAAACAAAATAGAAATTGTATTTACAAACAAACAAAATATGGTATTGTATTTACAAACAAACAAAATATGGTATTCTATTTGCAAACAAACAAAATAGGATATTGTATTTACAAACAAACAAAATAGGATATTGTATTTACAAGCATAATATGATATTATATTTACAAACAAACAAAATAGGATATTGTATTTACAAGCATAATATGATATTATATTTACAAACAAACAAAATATGGTATTCTATTTGCAAACAAACAAAATAGGATATTGTATTTACAAACAAACAAAATAGGATATTATATTAACAAACAAACCTTTTTAAATAATTGATTTTAACCTGTTAAAAGAAATAATTAGTAAATCGCTATTGTTTAAAGAATATTGACTTTACTAGAGAGATGTTTCACTGAGAAAGTTATCACAGGAGTGAAGTATTTGTTAGGGTAGCAGGTGCTCTTAGGATTTAAATAGACCTATTCATGTTTGATTTTCATGGCTTTTTTGTTTGAGATTTGATTTTGCTAACACCTTTTAATCAAAGTTTTCGTTTTGACTTCCCTAACCTAACGAACCCTCATGTGTGATTTTATATTACGCCCGTCTGCTAAAGTTTATGTATGTAGTAAGGGAATTGACCAACCATAAGGAGCTTGTCTTCCGTACAGAAAGGAAAGACCAATTTCATCCCTGGTTGTATGATATTCATTACTATGTACATAAACCTAGACATCCCTGAAATATTGTGTGGCTTTTTTAATTCTATTTTTTTTCAATTTTGAAAAAAAAAAGATAAGAATAACAGAAACAAACAACCTTCTTTACTTCCATATTTCAAAATAACTAATTATTGTACTAAAACATGTTAAAAAATCCCCAATGAAGGCAGAGGCCAGAAAATTTAATTAGATTGAGCAGTTTGATTTTTGTCATAAACAGATTTAAATCTATATATATATATTATCAGGTATATACATGTATAAGATACCGACTTTATTTTGAAGGTAGAGTTAATTTGATTTTTATCTTTAAAATATAAGCTCAAATTACAAATGTAATGTTTATGTAATAGTGAGAACTGTTTTTTTGTATAAAATAAAGTGCCTGCTTTAGCTGCTAATGTTGCTAGGTAGCGCTGTGCAATGTCGTCACAAGTTTACTTTTCCACAGGGATACATGGCATACATCAAAAGTCTGCCCATCAATGACAACCCAGAGATGTTCTCGCTCCACGATAACGCAAACATCACGTTCGCAAACAATGAGACAGGAAATTTGTTGGAAGGACTGCTCAAGCTGCAACCTAAAACTGCCAGTGGTGGTGGCAAATCACGTGAGGAGGTAAGGAAAGGGGAAACTTTATAAACGTTTATACTGGAAACGTGATATCTTTATATGTCATAATCTGTGTTATGTTGACAGGGTGTTAGAGTGGGGGGCTAACAATTTATGTTGACAGGGTGTTAGAGTGGGGGGGCTAACAATTCATGTTGACAGGGTGTTAGAGGGGGGGCTAACTATTTATGTTGACAGGGTGTTAGGGGGGGGGGCTGCTGGGCTATCTACTTATGTTGACAGGGTGTTAGGGGGGCTATCTATTTATGTTGACTAGGTGTTTGGGGGGCTATCTATTTATGTTGACTAGGTGTTTGGGGGGCTATCTATTTATGTTGACTAGGTGTTTGGGGGGCTAACAATTCATGTTGACAGGGTGTTAGGGGGGGGCTATCTACTTATGTTGACAGGGTGTTAGGGGGGCTATCTATTTATGTTGACTAGGTGTTTGGGGGGCTATCTATTCATGTTGACAGGGTGTTAGGGGGGGGGCTATCTACTTATGTTGACAGGGTGTTAGGGGGGCTATCTACTTATGTTGACAGGGTGTTAGGGGGGCTATCTATTCATGTTGACTGGGTGTTAGAGGGGGGGGGGCTATCTACTTATGTTGACAGGGTGTTAGAGGGGGGCTATCTACTTATGTTGACAGGGTGTTAGAGGGGGGGCTATCTACTTATGTTGACAGGGTGTTAGAGGGGGGCTATCTACTTATGTTGACAGGGTGTTAGAGGGGGGGGCTATCTACTTATGTTGACAGGGTGTTAGAGGGGGGCTATCTACTGATGTTGACAGGGTGTTAGAGGGGGGGCTATCTACTTATGTTGACAGGGTGTTAGAGGGGGGGCTATCTACTTATGTTGACAGGGTGTTAAGGGGGCTGTCTATTTATGTTGACAGCGTGTTGGGGGGCTATCTTTTTATGTTGACAGGGTGTTATGGGGGCTGTCTATTTATGTTGACAGGTTGTGAGAGGGTGCAGGGTGGGACGATCTATTTATGTTGACATGGGAAACATGACCTTAGTGTACTTTGATATTTGGAATATTACCTGTGTTTTATGTTGACATTGGGAATAAGACTTCTGTTTATGTAAACATGGAATATAACTTGACATGGGGAATATTAACTCTGTTTTTGTTGACATTTGGAATATAACCTCTGATGATGTTGACTGGGAATATCACCTCAGTCTCTTTCTGTTGATGTATGGGGAATGCAACCTTTATTTATTTTTAAAACTATGAACAAATGCTGACTTGGTATTAAACTGATGAATGGGATTAGAATATTTTTATATATAGTTTTATCTGCAATTCTAATTTACGAAATAGATCGAATTCAAAATCATAACTATTTGTTTAATAGAAAAAGAAAAAATCAGGTCTATGGATGATTTAGAAAATGAGAAGAAAATCTGAAGGAAAACTTGTTTGGACTTTATTACAATAAAATTGTTATGCTATGTGACTGTGTACCCAGGTGATGGAGGAGACAGCCAAGAGTATTCAGTCCAAGGTCCCTAAGGTTGTCGACATCAACATGGTGATGGAGAAATATCCAGTTATATACGAACAGTCCATGAACACTGTCATCATCCAGGAAGTCATTAGGTACAATAATCCAGCAGGCAGGGGTCTGATCTCATTGAAAAACAATTTATATTGAATGTGATGACTGTGTTTCCATACATATAAAGTATCTGTCTATTGTAGATAGAAAATAGAGAAAAAGAAAGAAAGCAAAAAAACACAAAATGAACAAAAAAAAAAAAAAAACAAACAAAAAATAACAAACAAAAAAACAAAAGATATGAATGAAATGATGCAAAAAATTGAGAGATGATAAATAAGTAGAATTCAGAAATATTTCTTATCTCAAAAAATGCACAGAAAAATAGCATTCTCAGGTAAAATATTTTTAAGGGGTATTTCAAAACTAGAAAAAATTGATGGCTCTGATCAGAGACGTATATATCACATATGTTTTATATATGTCTCTTCTCTGATCACTGTTTAAAAGGCTTGTTTGCATTTTGTAATCAATTACAGGAAAGACAAGTATATAGATTACTTTGCTTTCCATTCTCTATTACAGAAATTAACCTGATTTCTATTATTCATACAACTTTTACAGGTACAATCGTCTCCTGAGTACCATCCACACAAGTCTGAGGGACATGTTGAAGGCCCTGAAGGGTTTAGTGGTCATGTCTCAGGCCCTTGAGGAGATGGCCAACAGTCTCTACAACAATATGGTACCCACCATGTGGTCAAGCAAGGTCAGTATGCAGTCTTAGAATAGGCAGTGGTCAGTCCTATATTTAACATTTACTTAAGGTAGTATGTCACTCTTACATAAATGTTTGGTGTGTAGCCTTTGCAGTGACATCTATTCTGACTTCACTGATAGTGATATTCCTATCATCCGCTGTTATTGCAGATATTAATTGTGATTAAATCTATTTTCCTCATTTAAAGGCTTACCCGTCCCTGAAACCCCTGGCAGCTTGGGTCATTGATCTTCAGACCAGAATGGTTTTCATTAATGGCTGGATTGAACAAGGAATGCCAAAAGTAAGCACATGTTTCTCTTATCCTCATTTATTGGATATATCCTCTTAACTTTGGGAGAGAATATTAAATATTCCCCTAGCGTCCCGAAAATTAAAGTGGAAAAAAGTAGGTTTTTTTCCCAGATTTCTACAAATGGACAAAGATTTTCTCTATTAATTTTATTTTTGAGGTATTTTTTTTTCTGCAATTTTGTTCCATCCTCAAAAATAAAAAAAAAATGAAAACTCACAAAGATAATGAACTTTACAATAATCAGAAAAGTTGAGATAAGAAATTAATGAATATTTTCATTTTAAACATGACAAAGAAACAAACCAAATAACTGCTCTGCCTGTAAGATGTATATTTGAAGTTCAATTTCTCGGTTGTGGCAATAGTAAAACCTGATTTAAACACCAAGATAATTTTAATTTGTCAGTAATAACATTTTTTGTGGTACTTAATATAATGGGCTGCCTTTTTCCCCACACAGGTATATTGGATTTCCGGATTTTTCTTCCCCCAAGCTTTCCTCACTGGAACTCTTCAGAACTACGCCAGGAAAAGTATTACCTCCATCGATATCATTGCCTTTGATTTCCAGGTGAGTGAATTTGTCTTTGATTTTGTTAGTCATGACAATTGTTATGGTTTTTTTTTTTTTTTTGCATATTCATAAGCTCATGAAAAAATATTGACTGTTGCAATTTCTTGAAAATAATTAATTTTATTACAAATAATTTCAAATCTACTTTCACTGACGAGTCCTAGAAGGTTGAAACAGATGTATTATACACTTCAATTGACTGTTTGGCTCTGCTGTATCTTATTTAAATCTATATTAAAAAGTATTATTTACAAGTGTGTCTTTTGTACAATCATCAACCTTGAAGTAACAGAAAGGTTTTAAGGAGGGAACTGTTTTCTACAATGTTCAAAAATGAATAAAAAATTCTACTTTTCAAACTTGTGCCATAAAATTTGACTGATACAATGATTTCTTTGAAAACTGTTTTACTTGATGAAAGAGTGCTTACGATTGATAGAAATTTGAAAAAAAAAGATAAAAAAAATAAAAAGAAAAGAAAAATACAAAAACTTAATTTTGAAATGGATTGATCTTCTCTTCCTAGAATTACCTCCCTTACCTTACTTTTGCTATGCAAGCTTGGACTGCTAATTCTGTTGACAATTTGAGTTCTGACAAACAAAAAAATTATGTCCCTTGATTTCATAATCTGATATATTTGTTTGTAGATATGTGTTTTCAAATGAAATTAATAGCATTCTAGCATCATTGATTATCAATAACTAATGATTAATGGATTTGAAATAATATTTGAAATTAAAGATAAGCAGTGCTGTAATTTTCCTAAAATAAGCCAAAGGGTCAATAAACAAACGTTTGACTTGGGTCAGGGTTGGACTTATCAAAGGACAAAAGTACAGTGGACCAACACATAAACTCTTACTTAAAGTAAGGGTTGGACTTATCAAAGGACAAAAGTACAGTGGACCAACATATAAACTCTTACTTAAAGTAAGGGTGGGCTTATCAAAGGACATAAGTACATTGGACCAACATATAAACTCTTACTTAAAGTAAGGGTAGGCTTATCAAAGGACAAAAGTACAGTGGACCAACACATAAACTCTTACTTAAAGTAAGGGTGGGCTTATCAAAGGACAAAAGTACAGTGGACCAACATATAAACTCTTACTTAAAGTAAGGGTTGGGCTTATCACAGGACAAAAGTACAGTGGACCAACATATAAACTCTTACTTAAAGTAAGGGTTGGGCTTATCAAAGGACAAAAGTACAGTGGACAAACAAATAAATTCTTACTTAAAGTAAGGGTGGGCTTATCAAAGGACAATAAATACAGTGGACTATCATATAAACTCTTACTTAAAGTAAGGGTGGGCTTATCAAAGGACAATAAATACAGTGGACTATCATATAAACTCTTACTTAAAGTAAGGGTGGGCTTATCAAAAGACAGTGGATCAACATATAAACTCTTACTTAAAGTAAGGGTTGGGCTTATCAAAGGACAATAAATACAGTGGACTATCATATAAACTCTTACTTAAAGTAAGGGTGGGCTTATCAAAGGACAATAAATACAGTGGACTATCATATAAACTCTTACTTTAAGTAAGGGTGGGCTTATCAAAGGACAATAAGCACAGTGGACAAACAAATAAACTCTTACTTAAAGTAAGGGTGGGCTTATCAAAGGACAAAAGTACAGTGGATCAACACATAAATTCTTACTTAAAGTAAGGGTGGGCTTATCAAAGGACATTAAATACAGTGGACTATCATATAAACTCTTACTTAAAGTAAGGGTTGGGCTTATCAAAGGACAAAAGTACAGTGGACAAACAAATAGATTCTTACTTAAAGTAAGGGTGGGCTTATCAAAGGACAATAAATACAGTGGACTATCATATAAACTCTTACTTAAAGTAAGGGTGGGCTTATACAAAGGACAATAAATACAGTGGACTATCATATAAACTCTTACTTAAAGTAAGGGTGGGCTTATCAAAGGACAATAAATACAGTGGACTATCATATAAACTCTTACTTAAAGAAAGGGTTGGCTTATACAAAGGACAATAAGCACAGTGGACAAACAAATAAAATCTTTATTTAAAGTATGGGTGGGCTTATCAAAGGACAATAAGCACAGTGGACAAACAAATAAAATCTTACTTAAAGTAAGGGTTGGCTTACCAAAGGACAATAAATACAGTGGACTATCATATAAACTCTTACTTAAAGTAAGGGTGGGCTTATCAAAGGACAATAAATACAGTGGACTATCATATAAACTCTTACTTAAAGTATGGGTGGGCTTATACAAAGGACAATAAGCACAGTGGACAAACATATAAACTCTGACTTAATGTAAGGGTGGGCTTATCAAAGGACAATAAATACAGTGGACTATCATATTAACTCTTACTTAAAGTAAGGGTGGGCTTATACAAAGGACAATAAGCACAGTGGACAAACAAATAAAATCTTACTTAAAGTAAGGGTTGGCTTACCAAAGGACAATAAATACAGTGGACAAACAAATAAAATCTTTATTTAAATTAAGGATGGGCTTATCAAAGGACAATAAATACAGTGGACTATCATATAAACTCTTACTTAAAGTATGGGTGGGCTTATACCAAGGACAATAAGCACAGTGGACAAACATATAAACTCTGACTTAATGTAAGGGTGGGCTTATCATAGGACAAAAAGCAATGTGGACAATCATATAGATTCTGTCTTAAAGCCATGGTGGGCTTATTGCAAGACAATGCAAAATCTTTGTTATTCTATGGAACAGCAATGAATACCACTAGACTTATTACCAGACACAGGCTTACAGTAGGATAGATATGGTAGCTATACCATAGATCCAGATAAATTATCTCTTTGTAAATCATTATTCAAATCAATTATCTACTCTTCTATAATACCAAATAAATATTTAAATGATTTTAATTTCCAATACATGTTTATTCAAATAGATGCATTTTATTAAAAAAACTGTTGGGTGTTTTTCATTGAAGTTTGGTAATTAAAATGAATCGGTGTATAGTGACACATCTGCTTTCATTATGGCGGATGATGTAGATTTATGGATGGGTGTTCACTTGATAAACTATGAAGCTTTGGAATAATTTGACCTGAGACAAAACACCTATTGATCTAGACAGTTGTAATCATCATTAAGCAGACGACGGAAACAGTATTGACATTTACGCCTTGGTATGTGTATAAGAACAAATATTGATAAACAAAATGGCCTGGATTTTTTATTAAAGGAAATTTTGTTTTTAATTTCATAACACAGAATAAAAATCTTTTTCACAACAAGCCCTGTTTGTATTAAAATGATAAAATAACAGCTATGGACTTGTAAGGAGATCATAGTGTGGTTTTATAGCCAAAGGCAGCTAGACACATCCAGATGGCCTCCAGTAAGTCCGGGCTCACTGACTGACAGAATTATGAATTGTTGGCAGATTAATTGCTGAGAATTATTGGGTATACCACAATCAAACAAAATTTCCTCACATACACACATACTGGTGTTGTTTGTAACTTAGTTTGTAATAACGCTCACTCCAGACTAGATGGTTTTGACATTTCATAAACGATCTGGTAATTAATTAAGGATCAACATTAATTATTTCTAATGTTACTAAGCCAAAAGATGGCTCCCTAAAAGATGGATTGTATGCTATGTAAATTTATTTTCTCCAATTTTAAAGAAATTTGAATTGATAATGCAGTTCAATAAGTGCTTACAGTTTTGCCATATTAGGAGATGATATATAAATTGACTTTGGATTCTTTTTTTTACATTTTTTGCGTTTAGTTGATAAATCAAAGTTATGTAACAGTGATTAAGTCCTCATTATGAAGAACAACTCGTAAATCAGTAGCACGTTTTACAAAAGAATAATATATATGTACACTGTGAACTATATTCAGAAATCCATCCTACAATCATTCATTTCAAAAGAATCGTTTTTAAGAAACCTACATTGAAATTTATTTATGTAAAATTAGCAGTGGTGAAAATTTGCAAGATAGCATTGCTGTCTTATCACCTAGTTTGATTTTTTTTTTTCTTCACATATGTTAATTCAATTTAATTCTAAAAAAAAAAATTTAGAATATTGGAGCAAAATCTCCTTTGAAACTGTAGATAAAAGTCTTTGAGATAATAATCCAGATCTGGGCGGGTCAGGAATAAATTGAATATCCCAACTTTACAGTTCTGAAGAAGATTTCCATGTTATACATTTTTTTTTTCAATTTTGTTGAGATCAGGATTATTGGGAAAGATGTTCATGAAAGAATTCAATGTATTTAGGAGTTCTGTTTCAGTTTTTCTTATATAAAGCAATTTTTTTTTTTATATTATTTGTTCATACTGTCAGTAGCCTTTGCCAAGACTTGTGAGATGAAAAATTTCTAGACCAAGAAGCAATGAATTGAGTATTGATGAATTCAGATATGAAGTAATCGGTTTTAAAGAACTAATCAGTTTAACATTCCAGCTGTTACTCCAATCTATAACTTGTGGTAAAAGAAAATCTATATAAGGTGACGTTTTCTTTTCACTTCACCACGATAGTAATTGACTCGTCAATATCCAGAGATCAACTTAATATAAAGAAAATAACACAATCTATATATCTGAAAAGTCGTTCATTCTGTATATGTTTGATCAATAGAATGAAGTAAAGATGAGAGACAGAGATGTACAGAAGAACAGATCAGCCCGCAACATAAAATCTCCATCTGTCTCAAAAACATGTCTGAATCTCAAATACAGTTAGATATCTCAAAACTATATAGACATCTGTTCAATATGCCAATATTGTCTGATTTTTATGCAATATCTGAATTGCAGTCAAATATCTCAAATACAATGTGATATCTCAAATACAATCTTGAATCTCAAAGAATTCTCAAATACAATGTGATATCTCAAATACAATCTTGTATCTCAAAGATTTCTCAAATACAATGTGATATCTCAAATACAATCTTATATCTCAAATACAATATGATATCTCAAATACGATGTGAT